TAATTATAATAATTTTATTAGTTTCTATAGGCCATATAAAATTATTATATTAAACTTGTCATATGTCGTCAAACAGAAAGAACAGCATAAGTTATTTTTTTGTGATCTTAATTTTGAATAACGTTTTCAAATTATTACGCAGTTATAATTTGTACCATAGAGTCTCCTCATATAGGGCGAGTAAATTGATATAATAGCTTCGAGTCGAGAGGTAAAATTTACCATTGGGCTTGCAAAAGGTCTCCCGGGGATTCCAACTGTCGCGTGCAACATTTAATGCATAACTATGGAGCGATATCTCAACTAACATGCAAATGTTTTCCGTAACATGTTGCATTGTTACGTTTTTCAAATTTAGACTCGGCAGCCATTACCATTTACTCTTTATTTAATACACACGCTAAACATTTTTAACCCCTTAACTGCGCTGATGACGACAATTTGACGCACAAAATTGTCGTTATCGCAGTTAAGGGGTTAATCTGCCTATGGAACTGTTTTCATTGCGAAGAATAAAAGTAAGGAATGGATAAATTAAATTTGATATAAAGTTACATCCAAAAAAATATAAGAGAAGCAAACGCATTGTCAATATTGCTAAGGAAAAAAAATGGTCATGGTAACGATTGTTACGGTAACTATTGTCATGGCAACCGTACAAGTGTACGACGGACAGACGGACGCCAAAAGGAAAACTATAAAGCTTTCGAGCCTGGGTCACAAAACACAAATAAAAACTGATTTTTGATTTTACATATGTAATTAATTATAATTATAAAAATATTCTATGTGTTTAGTAAAAATGTCAGTACATTTGAGGAATCTGTTGGTAAAATAATCTCTTTTCATCATAACCTGAATAGTTTTCTGAAGAATTCACTGAAAATGGAAAATTCTACACAGCACTGTCTGTATTATACATATATATATACGTGTATAACGTCCTTTTATCAAGTATAGGGTTGCTTGTTATTGAAAATATGATCAATCGATATTCTATAGATGATAAGACAGGCATACAGAACTGTTTGATTGATTTCTTCGATTTCAAACAAACTTCTCAGGTCACTGAACACTCAAACATTGAAATAGATAAAGTGATTTCGTATAACATTTGTTAATTATTAAATTTAGCGCATTATTAATATTATTTTATTACTAAAATTAGTAATTTTATTAACTATGAATAATTAATGAAATTAAAATTAATACAATACATACATATATATATATAATTACTGTATAAATCTTTCTCGCGGAAATAAGATAAGAAGTTTATGTACATTTTGAAATATCGCAGAATTGCGGAAACAGATGTTATATAGGATAGCAAATTTCACTGATATGAGATCAATTCGACTTGAATTTATCACGAAATGTTTGTCACTACGTCATTTGAAAATTTAAAACTAAATTCTATTATTTATATAAAAAAATAATTTCAAAAACATGATTTTAAATTGACTATACAAAATTTAAAATTGGTTTAATTTACATAACACAGAAAATTAAAAGGCATTAAAATAAGCTGCAACGTTTCTTATTTTAATCCAATTTTTCTTATTTTAATCCATTTTGGTATTAAAATAAGCAAAATTGGATTAAAATAAGAAGCGTTGCAGCTTATTTTAATGCCTTTTAATTTTCTGTGAAAACATTAAAAAAAAAGAACTATTTTTCATTACAAAAAAATAAAAATTAAAAAAAATTTTTTTTTTAAACAAATCTTAAAAATTGTTTTAGTCTTCATGCTACAGAGAAATGTAAATTATGCGTTGAGTATTGATTGACGGTGCAGAGTAATTGTATGCACATATAACATATAGGTCTCTATGGATATAAAACATGCTCAACATTAAACATATATTACATTATTATGAAAAATAATTTAACCTATCTTGAACTTACTAAATTTGCAAAAAAAAAGAAAATAAATTTCTGTATTTTTTGAAACTATATATATATATTCAAATTGCTATGTAATTCTTATGCGAAATTTAAATTCTACAGGGAAATCATATTTTGTTTTTGTAATAAATATAGAAAGATCTATTTTTTTTTTACAAATATTTCAATGTCTTCTTTTTTTTTTTTTTTATTATACAAATGAATTTTTACACACTCTCTGAATGTGAATTCTCTTTTTGATGTATATACGTTATAGTTGTGCACTGGTACGTTTATCATTGCACGTTTTTTGAACGAATAGAAAACAAAACAGAAAGAAAAAAAAATGATGAAGAGTAGTTTTCAATGATGAATAGTGGTTGATATATTCCATACCTATATATATATATATATAAAGGAGAAAAAAGTTCGAGAGTACGTTTAAATTGAGATTTAAAGTTTAGAAGAATAAATATCGCATGAAAATTATAAGAACAGAGGAAAGCTTTCTCTTATAAAGAGAGGGTGGAATTGAAGGGAAGCCGACGCAGTTAAAAAAAAGTGCGGGCCGTGGGACACATCGCAGGTGAATGCATTGGCACTGTGCCATTAGAATGACCCACTTTTAACGCGTAGATTGACCCGAAGCGGCGCGACGCGATGCCGACGCCATTATTATATATATATATATACACTTGCGCTCGCGGGCGCCTAACATGCTGCATTTTAATGATAAAACCGAGGACTAATTTTCAATGAATAAAAAGATTTTTTAAATATTTAGAAACTAAAAAAAAAATATTTTATTTTTTATCAATTTGTATTGATATTATAATATTTCAGCTAAATATTGTACTTTATCATTTTTTTTTAAAAAACAAGAAAACAACTACAATTTGACATGTCGAAATTTAAATTTTGTATGATTTTTGGTTTTATTGAAAAAAAATTAATAACATTGATTTTTATTTACAGAATCTTCTCATATATTGATTTACACCGTCTGTTTAAAAATAGAATATAAAATCATATATGCAACTTGGATGTAAACATCTTCCTTACTTTGATGAAACTCAGATGCCAATTTTTTATTCCAGTAATCGCATTATACTTGCAAATCCCCTTATTTTTCAAAAAAAAAATTGACGAAAGATTGCTTAAAATGTGGATTATGGGTTAAATCGATTGAAAAAGCCATTATACAATAATTTGAGAAACGAAAATATTTACTAAAATTATTCCATCTTGTGTGACTTGAAAATTGAATTTTCAGTTTTTGATGGAGAAAATTTAGAGAAGGGAAAAATAGTACCTAAGTGTAGAAATTATATGCCAAATTACTTACTTTATTCATTGTGTACTAATGAGGTAAGAAGTAGGCAGAGATGAAAATTGAAGTTTGAAACGAGCAAAAGCTGGTTAATTGTTTCGAGGTCGAGATTCACTTTGCCAAAATGAGAACACCTTCAACCAGTGACTTTTCAGCAAAAGAGTCAAGGGTGGTTTTGTGGCCTGTTGTTCCAAGTCAAAAGGTACAGAAGTAGGCCACCCTCGAACTCGAAGGCTCATGTAAACAAAATGAAATGCTCACTTTCACTTTTGGACTCTTCATATACTCCCCAAAAATTTTTACTTCACTCAAGAAAAAGAATATTCAAATTTTAGTCTAAAAAATTCGACCTTTTTTTTCGTAAATTATTTTCTGTTTATAATTGTTTAAAACGCAGGAAAAAAGTTCCGTCATAAATAGTTATTCTATATTCATTGTGTTCATTATGAGAGAATTTATTTGAAAAATGATGATGAGAACCACCAATATAAATTCAACTGAAATAATGAAAATGAGAATCTATCAAAATCTGCTTTTACGAGATGTTTGATCAAATAAATCATTGATATTTCGATAACGGATGGTTTGAAAATCCGCGTATCAAAACGGAATTGCGAATGAATCATAATAGCAAGATTGAAAACCGCTTTCATGAACGAATGTACATGTAAATCAAAGTAATAAACATCTGCAAAATGTTTGCGCAAATATCATTATTTGTAATCGAAACAATAGATTTTGTAAAAAAAACCACAAACATTCGAGAAAAAATATAAAGTATCTAAAATAAAGATTTTGAATTTTTAAAAGAATCCTCGTCTATTAGTTTATATAAACCAAAAACAGACGGATGTTACCTTCATTAGATTTTGTAATTAATCACTCAAGTAACTCTCTGGACTTTCTGGAAGCTCACTGAAAGCTCAATGATATAGCTAATGAGGTTTCCAGAAAGCCTCCAGTGAATTCGTATCAGAGGCTATATACTAATTTTATGAACTAACTAAGCACTTAACTAATTATTTTTCACATATTAAAAAGCATTATAATACAAAAAAAAATACTAACACTATACAATACAAATTACAAAATTTTATCTATGCAATATGTGTGTATAAAAAAAATTAATTTCTACTCCAAATAATATACGCGTGAGCTGCTATATAGCATCACGTAAATATGGTATTGAATAGCTCATTTATGTAAATGGTCACATAAATATTTTAATAGCACACAAAATGAGCATGAAATCCTTTTGCGCATGTAGATATATGTCGCTAAAATGCATTAATAGTTCAATACAAATATATATTCGACTCATTTTACTGTATAATAATGAAGAAACTGTTATATATATTCTTTAATTAGGAATTCAATTAAAATTAGCATTTAATATTCCGTTAAGAGAATTGACAAACAAAAAATTACGAAAACAATGGATTTGTCCTTTTCTTATGCAAAATGTTTTCTTTTTTTTAAATTTTCAAATTAATAATAGGAGAAAAATATTTTTTAAAATGCCCTCTCTTGATATTCTCTCATCAAAAAACTGCATATATGTTCCTCAGTAGCCTTTTACCCTCGATTTCATCCATTGTATATTTCAAGTGTGGAAACCTCAATACTGCAATCAAGCAGAATTTCTCAGTGAGGTAGTAGAATGAACTCTATTTATATAAAGAAAAAAAAACTATTTTTTTCTATGCGCAAAAAATATCGAATAATAAAAAAAAAAAAGTGTGCGAAATTGAAAAAAAAAAATGTAACTTTTTTTTTTTTACAGAACTGAAAAGCCATGGTGAACAAAAGTTCGGAGACAGCTGCAAGGATGACTCAGATTGTGGATTTGATGGATCGGAATGCCATCAAGAGCAGAAGAAATGCTACTGCCGAAAGGAATTCACGGTTACAAATCACATAGACAAATGTGGAATGCGTAAGTATTTTTTTTTTACGAATTTCTCTATAATTAAAAATGCTAATATATATCTAAAAAATTTAGTTTTCTTTTTCTATAAATTTAAACTGTTTTTTAATTTATCACCCCTCTAACAATTTTTTTTGTAACTTTTATAACTACTGCTGTAGTTTATTTCGAGAAAACATAAAAAATTTTTAAAGTATCGAAGTAAAAAAGTTTTCAATATTATAAACATTAAATCGTAAATAGTTTCATATTATAATTTTTCATTTATAATTTATTTTTAAAATTTTATTGTTGCTTTGACCTCTTTTAAAACAAAAAAAAAAAAAACGATTAAAAAAAAAATGTTCAGTGGTGTTACGATCAATCATATAGTACCAAGAATGCTAATCAATAAATGTGCAACAAGTCTAAAGTGTTCGTTATGAAACCAATTATTATCTCACCTTATCACCCAGAAAATCAACTTACTACCTAGTTCCTTAAAGGTGAGTGAGTAAAAGAAAACTTTTTTTTTTTTCTAGCTACTAGAAAATATTCTTAATTTTTAAAAATTAATTTCATAAACCTATGTTTATATATAAATATAGATATATAAATGATATTTCAGGCAATATCCATAAAAATAAAAATTATAACAAATAAAAAAATATATAATTCTTCTATAAAATTTATAGCCGCCAATATTGATGAATTGTGCTACTTCCATGAACAGTGTCAAGCAAAAGTTCCCAAAACTGAATGTCGAGATGGACTTTGTTCTTGTGTTTTTGATAAAATTCCCAGATTGAATGATGACAATAGTATAGAGTGCATCGGTAAATTTTTTTTCCAATTTTAATACAAATATTTTAAATAATTTTAAATTAATTTTGACAAATAATTATCTATTTATTTCACTTAAAAAATTTTCAATTAAAATAAATTCTGAAAAATAACAATTAATATAGAAGAAAATTCCTATGATATTAAAATTTTGATTTCAAAAGAATTTTGAACAAATCTTGTAGATTTACCACCAAGAGGAGGTAAAAAAATTGGAGATGACTGTAAAACTGATAGTGAATGTGGATTTTATGGAGCACACTGTAGTGCTGATCATAAAAAATGTTTCTGCAAGAACGAGTTTCTCACCTCAAATCAAATTGACAAATGTGGAAATCGTGAGTTTTCTCTAATTGATAGGATTGTATAGTCAGTTGATGTGTTGTAAAAAAAAAAATTATTGTTTACATGTAAAATAATAATGTCAAATTATAATTGCGATTTTCTATTTAAATCAATTATAAAAGTAATAAAAACTGTTTTTCAATAAAAAAAAATGATGAAAAATTAGTCTTTGTAATTATTCCACTTTACACAAACACAAGTTTAATTTTATAATAAAAATATAACAAATTATGGAAAATAAATAATAATAATTTGAAAAATCATTTAATTAAATTTTAAATCATCTCATTTTCATTCAATTATTCACAAAAACAATTTTCATTAAAAAAAAAATTCTAATTTGACAATTAATAAGTTGCACTATTACAAATTATCTATATTATGATTTTATTTGTTCGTATTCGTACATTATTGTTTTTGTTCGCCAATAATTTTCTTTGATAAATTGAAGTTTAATTGAAAACGCACCTATGTCTTTGTTTAAGTAAAACAATGCTCGATTGTCAAATGAATTCTTTTGTTGAGAATCCAGAAATAAATATATAGGTATATATCCAAACAATGGAAAGTACGCTTAAGTGTAAATAAGAGTTGAATATCTGATTGTGATAGCAAAGAGCACTTTGCTCAAGATGAGAAGAAGCAAGTGAAGCTTTTAGCATTTATGATATTTCTTATTTATAAAACTTTTTTTTAGCAAACTTCAACAGAGTACATATCGCTAAAAGCAAAATAAACAAAAGTTTTAGAGTCGATAAAATAAAAATATCTTGTTCAATTTTTCAAATGTTATAATTACTCTGTAAATAAAATAATATTTGATATACTTAATTTTAATATGAATTTTTGATATTTCCATATTTTCTTATTTCATTTGAAATATAATTAAGCGAATTTTCCAATAAAATTTACTGTAATAACCATTCAAGCAAAGTATAATAGCTGCTTTAAAAGTTAGATTATTGTTCTCTGTAAAATTAAGTCCAATGTCTTTCAATTATTATTCTAATTGGATCAGGTTTAGAAAAGTACTATTTGCAAAAAAGTAGCCTTGTTATCGCTTTTTTTTTTTTTAAATCACTTTAAGTAGTTAATAGCTTCTTTAGTACTTTTTTAGGGTTTCGTGGCCCAGGGCCGAGAAAGGCTTATAGTTTCGCTTTGGCGTCCGTCCGTCCATCCGTCGTACATGGTAACCGTTTCCATGGCAACAGTTAATATGTCAAAAGTTACTATGGCGACAGTTACTATGGCTACAGTTACTTACTATGGCAAAAGTTACTTACTACGGCAATAGTTACTGTGGCAACAGTTACTTACTATGGCAATTGTTACTATGCCAAAGTTACTATGGCAAAAGTTACTAACTATGGCAATAGTTACTATGGCAAAAGTTACTATGGCAACAGTTACTTACTACGGCAATAGTTACTGTGGCAACAGTTACTTACTATGGCAATAGTTACTATGCCAAAGTTACTATGGCAAAAGTTACTAACTATGGCAATAGTTACTATGGCAAAAATTATTATGGCAATAGTTACTTATTATGGCAATAGTTACTATGGCAAAAGTTACTATGGCAACAGTTACTTACTACGGCAATAGTTACTGTGGCAACAGTTACTTACTATGGCAAAAGTTACTTATTATGGCAATAGTTACTATGGCAAAAGTTACTAACTATGGCAATAGTTACTATGGCAAAAGTTACTATGGCAACAGTTACTTACTACGGCAATAGTTACTGTGGCAACAGTTACTTACTATGGCAATTGTTACTATGCCAAAGTTACTATGGCAAAAGTTACTAACTATGGCAATAGTTACTATGGCAAAAGTTACTATGGCAACAGTTACTTACTACGGCAATAGTTACTGTGGCAACAGTTACTTACTATGGCAATAGTTACTATGCCAAAGTTACTATGGCAAAAGTTACTAACTATGGCAATAGTTACTATGGCAAAAATTATTATGGCAATAGTTACTTATTATGGCAATAGTTACTATGGCAAAAGTTACTATGGCAACAGTTACTTACTACGGCAATAGTTACTGTGGCAACAGTTACTTACTATGGCAAAAGTTACTTATTATGGCAATAGTTACTATGGCAAAAGTTACTAACTATGGCAATAGTTACTATGGCAAAAGTTACTATGGCAACAGTTACTTACTACGGCAATAGTTACTGTGGCAACAGTTACTTACTATGGCAATTGTTACTATGCCAAAGTTACTATGGCAAAAGTTACTAACTATGGCAATAGTTACTATGGCAAAAGTTACTATGGCAACAGTTACTTACTACGGCAATAGTTACTGTGGCAACAGTTACTTACTATGGCAATAGTTACTATGCCAAAGTTACTATGGCAAAAGTTACTAACTATGGCAATAGTTACTATGGCAAAAATTATTATGGCAATAGTTACTTATTATGGCAATAGTTACTATGGCAAAAGTTACTATGGCAACAGTTACTTACTACGGCAATAGTTACTGTGGCAACAGTTACTTACTATGGCAAAAGTTACTTATTATGGCAATAGTTACTATGGCAAAAGTTACTAACTATGGCAATAGTTACTATGGCAAAAGTTACTATGGCAACAGTTACTTACTACGGCAATAGTTACTGTGGCAACAGTTACTTACTATGGCAATAGTTACTATGCCAAAGTTACTATGGCAAAAGTTACTAACTATGGCAATAGTTACTATGGCAAAAATTATTATGGCAATAGTTACTTATTATGGCAATAGTTACTATGGCAAAAGTTACTATGGCAACAGTTACTTACTACGGCAATAGTTACTGTGGCAACAGTTACTTACTATGGCAAAAGTTACTTATTATGGCAATAGTTACTATGGCAAAAGTTACTAACTATGGCAATAGTTACTATGGCAAAAGTTACTATGGCAACAGTTACTTACTACGGCAATAGTTACTGTGGCAACAGTTACTTACTATGGCAATTGTTACTATGCCAAAGTTACTATGGCAAAAGTTACTAACTATGGCAATAGTTACTATGGCAAAAGTTACTATGGCAACAGTTACTTACTACGGCAATAGTTACTGTGGCAACAGTTACTTACTATGGCAATAGTTACTATGCCAAAGTTACTATGGCAAAAGTTACTAACTATGGCAATAGTTACTATGGCAAAAATTATTATGGCAATAGTTACTTATTATGGCAATAGTTACTATGGCAAAAGTTACTATGGCAACAGTTACTTACTACGGCAATAGTTACTGTGGCAACAGTTACTTACTATGGCAAAAGTTACTTATTATGGCAATAGTTACTATGGCAAAAGTTACTAACTATGGCAATAGTTACTATGGCAAAAGTTACTATGGCAACAGTTACTTACTACGGCAATAGTTACTGTGGCAACAGTTACTTACTATGGCAAAAGTTACTAACTATGGCAACAGTTACTTACTACGGCAATAGTTACTGTGGCAACAGTTACTTACTATGGCAAAAGTTACTAACTATGGCAACAGTTACTTACTACGGCAATAGTTGCTGTGGCAATAGTTACTATGGCAAAAGTTACTATGGCAACGGTTACTTACTATGGCAACAGTTACTTACTATGGCAACAGTTACTTATTATGGCAATAGTTACTATGGCAAAAGTTACTATGGCAACAGTTACTATGGCTACAGTTACTTACTATGGCAAAAGTTACTTACTACGGAAATAGTTACTATGGCAACAGTTACTTACTACGGCAATAGTTGCTGTGGCAATAGTTACTATGGCAAAAGTTACTATGGCAACGGTTACTTACTATGGCAACAGTTACTTACTATGGCAAAAGTTACTTATTATGGCAATAGTTACTATGGCAAAAGTTACTATGGCAACAGTTACTATGGCTACAGTTACTTACTATGGCAAAAGTTACTTACTACGGCAATAGTTACTGTGGCAACAGTTACTTACTATGGCAATAGTTACTATGCCAAAGTTACTATGGCAAAAGTTACTAACTATGGCAATAGTTACTATGGCAAAAATTACTATGGCAATAGTTACTTATTATGGCAATAGTTACTATGGCAAAAGTTACTATGGCAACAGTTACTTACTACGGCAATAGTTACTGTGGCAACAGTTACTTACTATGGCAATAGTTACTATGCCAAAGTTACTATGGCAAAAGTTACTAACTATGGCAATAGTTACTATGGCAAAAATTACTATGGCAATAGTTACTTATTATGGCAATAGTTACTATGGCAACAGTTACTTACTACGGCAATAGTTACTGTGGCAACAGTTACTTACTATGGCAAAAGTTACTTATTATGGCAATAGTTACTATGGCAAAAGTTACTAACTATGGCAATAGTTATTATCGCAAAAATTACTATGGCAAAAGTTACTAACTATGGCAAAAGTTACTATGGCAACAGTTACTTACTATGGCAAAAGTTACCATGTAAATAGTTACGATGGCAACAGTTGATTTCCGTACCAACTGTTTCCATAGCAACCATAGCAATTCACAAACAATGTAATTATAAATTATTTATTTTATACAAATAACTTTTGATCTGAATTTAAAAAGCCACGAAACCCTAGATGTAGGCGCTTTGCGCCTGCTTTTTTTTCCTGATTTTTTTGTAAATCATTTTATTATTTTATTATTTTATTTTGAATATATGTTTCATTGTTATTGTAAACACGTATATGTAAATTTGTATTATTCACTACACTTTAATCATTTTCCATTTCACTTTCATTAATCCATATAATATTATACAAATTAAAACATTATTTATTATACACACTGAAAAAATTATATTCTAAATTTAAGAATATTTTCATGGCGTCTATTTAATACTGAGTTAATCTTTTGCGATAATCTTATTGTGCAATCTTGCAGTAATCTTACATCGCATTCTTGCAGTAATCTTACACTGCAATCTTTCGGTAAGCTTACCATGCAAGCCTGCAGTAAGCTTGCGACAATTTTACCGTGCAACGTTGGCAATATTGCGCGGCAAACTTTCCGCAAGGTTGCTGCAAGCTTACGTGCTATCTGGGATAATACAAAGTACACTCTTTATTAGTTTTAATTTTTTTAAGTAAGAATTAGAAAAGAAATTATGTCATTAATAAATAATGTTATATTTTGTACATGAAAATTATTTCATAAAAAATTATCCATTCCTAAAATTTCTCGACGAGAAATTATTATCAAGCGAAAAATGAAAAGTACTTCATTAAAACAGAAGAGTAGTGTACTCGAGATAAAAAACATTTAAAGAGTTCAAATTACATAAAATGGATTAAACGTTTTTTTTCCACGTCGGAAAAACGGTTAAAAGAGAGAGAAAGAGAGGAAAATAATTGCAAGAGTTATATTGTTGTTTATTTTAAAAAAAAAATAGCAGCAAAAAGTTGGATATTAAATAAGCTAAAATGCTTGAAAAAAAATTAATCTCTCTCTGTTTTTTTTTTAAATTTATTGTTATGAAAATATTTTGAAAATAATCTTTCAAGTAAATGTTTCATTATATAAGTATACCGTTATTATGAAATTAAGGGGGAAATATAAAAATCATTTATATTCCAGATATTATTTTTTTCTATAAAAATAAAAATAGAAAAGTAGGGTGGAAAATAATATAATAGAAGTCGTTAGGAACAACGATGTTTATGATTTTAGTAGGTGATTTATAAATTTATTTAATTATTACCTAACAAGATTGTAACAACTTTATCTTAGATTGGAAATCTTTGGGTATAAAATGCTATATAAGTGGTTGCTATAAGGATGCATTGATATATAATTATAATGATTGATTCCTTTTTTCAGCTTCTAACGTGAACGAATCATGTGATTTCAACGAACAATGCGAAATGAAGGTACCACAAACCGAATGTCGCGATGGCCGTTGTATTTGCATATTTGAAAAGATTCCTGTACTTCAAGATGATGGAACTACAGTTTGTATCGGTAATTTTATTCATTTTTTTTATAATTTATAGTAAATATTATTTACTTTTTATTAGGGAAAAAGAATTAATTTTTCTTTATCTTTGAAAATATAAATAAATAAAGAATTATTATATTTTATAGCTGAAATCAGGGAACCGCCAAATTTACGAACTGTTGATCCAGCAATGATTGGAGTCCTCGTTGGAATGGCTTTGATGTTTGTCATTATTTGCGTCGTTCTTAGACTTTTTAGCAAGTGAGTAAAAAAATTATCATTAATTTTTTTTCAAAATATAGAATGAAATAGAAAAATAAATAATTTTTTTTGTCTCTCTTTCTCTCTCTCTATTTTAAGAGCACGTTGGCGGGAAAATCGCACCATCTTCAATACACCAAATGCTCGTCTAATGAACGTCTCATTATTGAAGGACAACAAACTTCTTCATGGACAAGAGAGGCGCGGATCACGCGCTAGTGTCAGAGGACCATCACGACAACCATCAATGGCATCCTTGCGTGCTCATTCGCCGAACGCCTCGCAAGGTGCGAAACACTCTCAGCGAGTGAGCCGTACGGGTTTTTATTCATTCACTTATTAAGCAAGCGAGTTTATCCACCCTCGTTAATAGAGAAAGTGACTTCTATCGAATATGTAGGTACTCTTTCTGTAGAGCCATAAGTGCCGACCATAAGTCACTCAAAAAAAAAAAAAAAAAACCATTTTTGGATTAAAAAAAAAAGCTTTTTTTATATTTTTTACAATGAAGCGATTTCCTCGCCCAAACTCTCTAAATCTGAATTAGTAAAAATGTTTACTAATTTAAATTAGTGACTCACTTTTTGCTTTGGAATTAGTTAAATTTTACTAATTGTTAGTGAAAGTTACTAATAATTAGTAAAATTTTACTAATTATTACTGAAAGTTACTAATAATTAGTAAAATTTTACTAATTATTACTGAAAGTTACTAATAATTAGTAAAATTTTACTAATTGAGAAGAAAAAAGTGAGTCACTAATTCAAATTAGTACTCTCTAAATCTGAATTAGTAAAAATTTTTACTAATTTGAATTAGTGACTCACTTTTTGCTTCTGAATTAGTAAAATTTTACTAATTATTAGTAACTTTTACTAACAATTAGTAAAATTTAACTAATTCTAAAGCAAAAAGTGAGTCACTAATTTAAATTAGTAAACATTTTTACTAATTCAGATTTAGAGAGTAATAACTAATAATAAATAATAACTAAATAATAACTAATAGTTAGTAAAATTTTACTAATTGAGAAGAAAAAAGTGAGTCACTAATTCAAATTAGTAAACATTTTTACTAATTCAGATTTAGAGAGAAACTTGCATTTTTTTTTTTGGGAGACATTTTTCAAATTCCAAAAAAAGTTTTTAAAACTGTAAAAAAAAATTTTTAGACTAATCAATTACTAATTGTACTATTACTATCTGATCTAAGTTTTTAGCTTCAATTATTGATGCTGCATATCTTTTCTTGAAATAAAATTTTAATAATATTAGTATATAAAAAGAAATTTTCTTTATTAAAATATTGATCATAGGGGGTAAAATAATTTCTTTTGCCCCTAGAGAGAAAAATAGTAATTTTTAATCAATTAAAATTTAAATAATTATATAAAAAATTAATTAAGAAATAAAAATTACAAAATAAAATTCTTCGTCGGCACTTATGAGTAGAGAAGTTTTCTACCTCTAGAAACTCAACTGCGTCTAAAGTATATGAGAATATATTAAAAGCAGATTAAATATTTTTTTCCAGACTTTGATTTAATTTTAATGAATATATTATTTTTCAATAGAATCTCATCTTTTTTTCTTTTTTGTTTTCTTCTTTAAACTTTAAATTAGAGGTCTTGAAAAATAATTTAATTTGTATTTTATTTTTGAAATTCTCATTGTTTAAAATTTCATATATATATATATTTATTTAATGAAATCTTTATTGCATGCCTTTTACTTTTTTATTGAAGAATTATAATATAATTTTTTTTTTTTGATATAATTTAGATACTATATTTTATAACTAATATGATAATTTTTTCACATCATTAAAATCAAATTAGAAAAAATTTCATTCTTTCCAGAGAAATAAAATTTCTATGTTATCACGTGCACTTTGCATTTTAAATGCACTTCGAGTCACTTGCAATTCCATTTACTTCTATAGAATTTTTAATTAATTTTTCAGACGAACCCTTTAACAAGTCACTGCATTTTCTATGATATCAACCTCATTCTCAAGAATATTATATATGCATTTCTTTTTTATCCTAATGCTTCGCACTTTTAATATAATTAACTTTTGTATTTGTTTCAATTGAAAATTATTTATTGTAAATTGTTTTTAATATTAAATATTTATATAATAATAATAGTAAACATAATAATATAATAATAATAATAATTTTCAAACTTTAAAGTTATATAAATTCGAAAGAAATAATGAAATATAAAAAAAAACATAATTCATTCTCTCTATTTTTAATATTTGCAATCTCTATTATATGCATGTTTGCATGATTTCGAAAATTCACTAAATTAGTGTTTCTATTTATGATTCATATTTATGTGTATTTTAGCATTGTTTCCATTAAAGCGCATGAAAAACCCTCAAAAAATTATAAATATTAAATTTGCAAGAATTATAATCGCATTTTGCTTGCCAGCAAATATTTATATTAAACAAAATACCTAATTTTTTAATTATTTTTAAAAAAAAAAATTGCGTATTTTGTGTCTAATTTGAAAAAAATTTTTGACTTAGGAAAAGGATAACGCAACAGGAGAAAATAGGGTAAGTTCACTGGTTACCGGACGCGTATCAGTGGTCGGACGAAAATTAAAATTTAAAAAAAAAAAAAAAAAGAAAGAAAAACTTTATCCGTATTGAAAATAATTTGATAAAAATTCGAGACATATAATAAAGATTAGTGAAATCATCTAATCATTTGTCCGAACATAAAATCGTTGTCCGTCCACCGGTGCGTTTACCCTAAATATAATTTAATTTGTTTTCTCAATTATCAAAATTGCTAAAAATTACTATATATATATATTTACATTGGACATTCTATTTTGAATCGTTTCACAAATAAAAGACTATTTAATTAGTCTAAATTTTCATTTGACGATAGTCTTTTATTGGACCATTTTTCAAAAAGAATGCCTCTGTTTATTAATTTTTTTTTTTTTAAATTTATTTATTTTAATTTTATTATTCTAGGAGGCGCGTAACAAAATTAGGTACAAAAACAATCAATTTTTAACATTATTATTTTTATCATTCAATTCTAATTAAATTTAAATAAAAAATAGTATTTTTCTACTGTTTGTAAAAAAAAAAATTATATTTAAAATTTATTCTTTCAAATATAAAAATGATAATAAGAAAGTTATGTCATAAAAAAAAATAATAAAAAAAAAAAAAGAAAGAAATGACCGTAACAAATGTGCTCAGTTATGGAGAGCTCTGGAGAGTTATATTGTTCAAGTAATAGACAACAGTAGATGTGGACAATAAAGACTAAAGTTAAAGGCGAATAATTAAACAAGTTCTATAAATGTAAACGACACTAATTTAATCTATTTAGTGACTTTCTTGGCATCTCAATTGCCCTACAATCTGCTTCTTAAAATTCACTACCTACTTCTTAATTACACTCTCAGGAGACATGCTAGAAGTTTAATGAAGAAAAAAAAATTTAAACTAACTCTCCCACTAATTCAAGGAAAAACTAAATTTCATTAAGTTTAGATTACAACACAGTTTTCCTAAAAGTATCAAATTGAGACCAAAAATTGCATCAAATCTTTGCAACGTTTTGATGCACATAAGTTATATCAAAAAGAGATCGTTTTGTGTATCATTTTTAGAAATGATACACGAAACGGTCTCATTTTTTGATGCAAAAAATTTAATCAATTTATAACAATCATGGCCGAATTGAATCGACTCAAAATTAAACGAATGTTTTTCAGATATTTTGGTAATAGTACAATTGCGGAGACCATTTCAATATTTAATTTGAAAATGAAAATAACAGAAAATCAAAGACAATGTGCAATTCGATAATTAAAAAGTGACAGCTTATAAACATAACCTAAAATGCATGAGAAAAAATTTGTCGATAAAATCAATATAGCCGAGCTTTTTAGAAGGTAGATGGCAGCACTCATCTATTTTCTTTCTTTAAATTTTTTCTGAATCGTTTTTATAAAAAGCAAAACTGCCATCTACCTTCTAAAAAGCTCGGCTATATTGATTTTATCGACAAATTTGTTCTCATGCATTTTAGGTTATGTTTATAAGCTGTCACTTTTTAATTATCGAATTGCACATTGTCTTTGATTTTCTGTTATTTTCATTTTCAAATTAAATAGTGAAATGGTCTCCGCAATTGTAGTATTACCAAAATATCTGAAAAAAATTCGTTTAATTTTGAGTCGATTCAATTCGGCCATGATTGATATAAATTGATTAAATTTTTTGCATCAAAAAATGAGACCGTTTCGTGTATCATTTCTAAAAATGATACACAAAACGATCTCTTTTTGATATAACTTATGTGCATCAAAACGTTGCAATAGAAAAAGATACAACCAAGTTTACTGTGAATAAAACAGAAAAAAAAAAACTAAATTTTTGTTTCTAGAAAAAAAAACCACAAAATGTTCAATTTCGCTTACGTGCTTATTTATTATTTATTATATTTGGTTTATTATTATTTATTTATTTTTTTTAATTTTCCCAAATGGCAGTAAAAGAAAGTAAATAGTAAAATCTATTTAAACGTATAATTTTGGCTGTCTGCCTGCCTGGAGGTTACTATGGCAACGCACGAGTGTGAGTAAGACAGAAAATTTGAATATTCAAATTTTTAAATTTTCTTTCGCACTCACTCTCATGCGTTGCCATGGTAACCTGCAGGCAGCCAAAAAAAGGTGTGAGAGCGCCTTAATGCATCAAAAAAGGAAATATTATTTTATGTATAAATTAATTTAATTTAAAAAATTTAATAATATTTCTATATCTTAATAAAATCTGACAAATTCTTTTTTTTGCTAAAATTGATAGACTGAAATTTCAAAAATCTCGAAAGAAAAGAGGGCGGTATTCATAGTTCCGACTTAAGCAAGGACTTAAGAGTTGCTTGATCAAGACGGTCTTATTCGAATGAGTCGAGCTTAAGACCATATATATTCATAGTCAAAAATAAGCAATTGCTTGGTAAAGGAAATGCAGCTTAAGAATTTCTTGACCAAGCAAATGCTTAAGATGATCTTATTGAACGATCGGATTTTTCCGTCAATATTCTTTTGAATCCACCAATAAGAAATGGTTTTGAAAATTCGCCTCAATGCGCCAAGGAATATTTATACTTGCGTTGTATTCAATTTGAGTTTTTCGTTTCAGCGTTTTTAATGTTATTTATAAAATTGTTTTGTTTAATCATTTGAAAAAAGTAAATTTGTAAAATATTTTTCTTATTAAATGTTTGTAATAAAAAACAGTAATAAAACAAAATTCAAAAATATAAACCTGTGAATATAATTAATGTTGTTTAAAAGTAAAAATTTTTAATAATCAACGAATGAAATATATTTAAAATTTGATAAATAATGATACATAATAGTGAAATATTCAAAATAATGATCAATATATTAACATTAATATTTTTAAAATTAGGCGTACAATTTGTAGAACACAATTTATTTTTTCTTTTTCAAATTAAAAAGACTGGTAATTTTTTTTATATCTTATCTTATATACTCTCGTTTTTAAAAAAGTGCTGTACGCTAAATTTTAATTGTTTATAAACATAAAATAACTACTTTCATACATAAATTCTTTTTTCTTGTAGAAATAATAAATGTATCCAAATATAAATCTGCTACTCTCACTCCCTTAATTATATATTAAAATAAAAATATAATGGAATATAAAATTTGTAAACAATAAATAATTAAATTATTATAAATAATACTAAATTTTAATACTAATTAATGAAACTTTTTGTAGTAATAAAATGTCTAAAAAGCATTACACCAATACGGATAAAGAAAACTTTTCCTGCAAACTATCAAAATTTTTGCCCATGTTATTGAAAATCGCAAAAGCGATTGTTCCTTGAAAGCTAAGGAGGCTGCGTGGAGTGAAAACGATAACGTCTCTGAAACTCTCACTCATCTATTTCAAAAGAATTTTCCGCATCTCGAATGTATCGTTTTGCACGTCTTATATTGTTTGGACCATCTTCATTATCAATATCATCCTCAATGTCTCTTAAATAATGCATTATATCCATTGTTAACACTTTTTTCACTATAAATACACTAATAAGTTATTGCTTAAGTCAACTAAAACGTTGACTTTAAATCATAACCTCAATTCGTTCAAATAAGTTCACCGGTAATGTCAAATAAGAAAATCCTATTTGACTATGAATACTTGGCATTCTTAAGATGGGACTATGCATCTCAAAATCAAAGCATTTACTTCTTTAAGCAAATGCTTAAGTTGCGACTTAAGTCAATCCACAATGCACGACTATGAATCTAGGTGTCAGCTTAAGTCGCTGCTTAAGAAATGAGTATCGACTATGAATACCGCCCAAGAGATTACATTTATCTCTTGTTTTTCCCAATAGAAAATACATATTGTCGATATTATGTTTTTTTATGGATGTAATATCAATAAACTGTTGCCATTTGGGAAATACATTTTTCTTTTTTTTTTTTTTTTCTTTCACGAGCTGTGCTTTCTCATCGCTTCTATATCGTAGCAAAATCGTTATTTTCACAGACGTGGTACAAGATACTCGAATAACAAAGCCTTCGTTGCCAGGGTCTCGTACAGGATCACGTCGTGGAAGTCGTGGAAGCAGTGGGAATGCATCCGCAGTTTCCAATAGATCCAATAAATCGCCACCCAATCATAATACCCCGGCTGATCCAGCAATGGAGGACGTCGCGGTCAAGATACTTGAGGCCAAGGCGTAAAAATACTTCGATATACCCGTCTTCTATTTATATAATTATAATCAATTACATACAGATATATTATAATATAAGAAAATCGCATTTTATGTAGAGAGAGAGAAAAAAAAAAAAAAACGTTAAGTGCATTTACATTGAGCTTAATTTATCCGCAGGTTTTGAAAAAAGAAAGAGAGCAGTGACCTTGAGAATGAAGTGGGAGGGGAAAAGAATGAGAAAGAAAGAGATAAAACGTTAGCTCTTTCTCACTTTTGCTCTTCTCCCCACCTTTTATGCTCAAAGCGCGCGCACTCGCTCCTCCTCCTTTCAAAAATTTACGTAAACTAAACTCATTTTAAATGCATTCATAATCAACAGCTTCAGATTGAAACGCTCCTTTAATGAATTTAATCTAACAAATTATACAAAAGCTTTCAAATGAATCTCACTCTATTAGGACAAAAGAATTATTCAAAAACAAAAAAAACAAAGCTTGAGTTGTTTCTTTCGAAGCGAAAATTGACCCTAAATTTTTTTTTTGGGACATTTAGCGGGTACATTTTTCGAAAAACTCATTATAGCGAAAGTAATATATATATATATCAAGTAGATAATTTACTTTGGCGAGTCTTTTATGCTCCCGCAAATTATTATTCGTCTTTTCTGTCGATAATGTAATCATTGATAAATGAAAAAAAATATTATGTATAGAACATATATTTTAGAATTTCAGACATAGTTTTTCTCTAGGTTTTAGAATTTTTCTACCACACACATACACACACTAACACACACTTTATTTCTCAAAGGCTTTTTTTCCAATTTTCACCAATATATATATATACTGAAAATAACCAAAAGAAAAAAAAATATTGATCCTTTGTGGTGACCAAATTGAATTTAAGATTTATTGTCATTTCAAGTGAGAAAATTGCCGGATATGAAATTGTTATAACAATTATTTTACGAAATGACTAAAGGTGTTTTTTTTTCAAGAAAACATTTTTATATTTTATTAATTTCAGTAAAATTTTCTACTACGAAATTAATGATTTTTCTAAAAAACTAAAATTCCAAAATATTTATTTCTATTTATTTTGAAAAATAAATTAATATGCATTTGAGTTAAGTGGAAAATGGGAAAGAATGTGAGAATGATTTGAAACATTTTATCAATTGCATTCCATCAATCAATCATAATCTGGGAACACGTGTATTTAAAAAAAAAAATCTCAAGAGCCACACGAAGGGACCAGATGAAAGTGAAAATTTTGGAAGTAATTTATACACCAATTTTTTCTTCTGTCCCTATTGAATCCTAAAAAACTCAACTTGAAATTATATCGTACCTCTAACTAATAAAGTCTAGATCTTAAGCTTTGTGATAAGCCTAATTGACACCACTTTTAGAAACAATTATAAAAATTCATTTTATATATAAGTATATATATATACATATATATATCTTCAGATAACTGATGAAACTTCATTTATCATTTATGCTCAGAAAAAAAATGATTTATTTTTAATTTCTTTTTTTAAATTAGAAAAAAATTTATTAGACGATACGAATTTTCATATCAGAATATTTTTAATAAATTATAAATTTTTTTATAAATTTAAAAATTCATACAAATTATTTGAATTTTTAAGAAAATTATGTTATTTAAAGCTAACTAACTCGATGAAAATATTGGTTTTACTATCAAAGAATTATGATATTTTGAAATTACATAATACAATAAAATATTCATAGGGCATTTCGGCTATTATTAACACTACAATGAAATATAAATATTTCTCAAAAATAAATTTTTAAAAATTATATTTTCTTTAATCAAGAACAAAATAAAAATTATTCGAGTCTAAAAAAAATGATCAATTGATAATAAATTTTAATAATTTATAACAATTTTAATTATAATTAATAAACTTTTATTAATTAATTTAACGATTGAAATAATATTCGATTTCTAATTAACATTTAAAAATTCTCGGAAATAATGGAAAAATTTTTTTCATTCCCGATTGTGACTATATATATAAAATAATCATCGAACCGCCACGAAGATGAGAAAAATCCTAATGCCACACAAAATATTGACTTAGAAAAAAAAAAAAACTTATATAATAAAATCCTGGAAATGTATCTGAAAGTTGTTTCATTATTATATATACATACAATGAGCCCAATTAAAAATTAATCATAAAAAATATTAATAAAAACAAATTCAGAGACAATTCTTTGATTTTTTTTTTTGCTTTTCATAATATAAAAAAGAAATCTACAAATATTCGTATTAAAACGCGATTTTCAGAAATCTAATTAATTAAGTATCTATTTAACATTATCATAATAAAATCTACATAATTGAATAATATATAACATGAAATATTATATACAATAATAATGTACAATAATTATTCATAAAATATAATATCACAATATATATAAATATTGTTAAAGCAATACAAAAATTATCAAAAATTGTTACAAAAAAAAAAAAATTAATGAACATATATAAAAAATAAATTTAAAAAAAATACTTTTTTTTGCAAATTTTGGTATTGCCTTAAATATATACACTTATTATATATTCTAAGATACTTATAATAAACTTTAAGCTTGTATTTAATTTCTTTAAAAAACTACTTCAAGAATTAAAACCGTCGGATAGGTTTCAATATTCAGTGAAAAATTGTGTGAATGTGATTATTATAAAATAAGAAATATTGATAATTATTAATATTAAGTATTAAATATAAATAATTGCTTCTATAAATAAAATATTGTTACTAATATACTACACTCTATACTATTAAATCTAAATATAACTTTATATATATAAATATAAAATAATATATTTACTAAATTGGAATTTACTACACCCTATATAATAATTTCTTCTGATTTTATAAATATATTTTAATGATACTATTTATCATATTAAATATATATATAATATCATTATAATATTTATAATATAATGGAATATTTAAATAATTTTTTGTCTCTAAAATGTAGAATTTAGAAATTTTAATCTTTATTAATTAAATCTTAAAATTTTTTAATCTATAATTAGAATATAAGAAATTTTCATCTATTTATATTAAAGTTAAAAATGAAAATATAAAAATTTATCTATTTTTTATGACTAATTTTTCTTATCAATTTTCATCTATAAAATTAAAAGAACTTTTCAAATCAATGTTTTAATCAATATTGATGTTAATCACAAATAAATGAATTTAATTTACAAAAAAAAAATTTAATTTTTAATTATATATTTTATTAATAAATAATAAAATAGATAAATGTTTATAATTTTTCTCTAAATCATAAATAAAGTTTTCTTCTTAATTTTAATCGGTGAAAAAAATTTTTTGCCGAAAATTAATAGAAAGAAAACTCTGTTCATTGATTTAGAGAAAATTTTTACATTTTATTAAAAACTTTATATATCCTAACATACATTTATATTAATTGAAAACGGAGTAAAATAATAATCATCAACATACATTTATATTTCCCAAATTATTAAAGAAAAACAAAAAATTGACACAATTCAAGAAAACTAGTTCCAAAATATCTATAATAATGCACGTAATTAATAGAAATTTAAAAGAACTATGAAAATAAAAATCCAAAAACAAACGCAAATGAATAATTATTGACTATTACTTTCGAGGAATTTGAATGAAAAAATTTTGTTCACTTTTTCAAAGAATGTGCTTAAGGGAGATAAAAATTCTCGATTAAGAAAATTTGGTTAAAAATTTATTTAGCGAAATAAACGTTATGGCGGCCACCTATCTAAATTATAACAACACTCATCGTTGCTTAACCTCATTGATCGTCGAGCCAATGTTTTTATTATGTTAGCTAGTTGATATTTTATATACTTTTTCAAATAATAATAATTTTTTTTCAAATTAATTAAATAAATTTTATTTAAATTATTAAGAGTAATGTAATCTTTTTATATTATACAAAAAAAAAAAAATAATATTTGAAAATTATCATCAGAAATCTGAAGATGTATTTATAATTTCTATTTATTAGAGACTATAATAAGAAAACTGAAGCCAATAAAAAAAAAAAAATTGCAGAAAATTTGTAGATCTAGACTAGTTGAGGAAGAAATATAACCAAAGTAGTACAAATTCTAGAAATTCGAATTCACTATAATTGTAGAATCGTCGATATACCACGATTAATAATTTATTATATTTAAAAAAAACCACTATTTCAGTTAATGATTATAATTATCAAGAAAATTTAATTACAATGATAACAATTTTTTATTACATATATAATTGTAATTTAATATTATTATTATTATTATTATTATTATTAATATTATTAATATTATTATTATTACAATTATATATTATATCATAAAAAATTGTAAAACGAACAATTATAATTATTTGACATAATTATAATTATTATAAAAAAAGAAAAAAAACTTAATTTTTTTTTTCAATAAATTACAATAATCTATATTATGTAAATATGAGAATATGATTACATTGTTAATTTATAATCGTTATGATATACCGATTAAATAATTATATAAATAAATAAAAATTATATAATTAAAGAGCGATATTATATTATAATGACGTGCACTTAGTCCTGTAATAATGATATATAAATATATTATACGTCTTTGCAATTCGGTGCCTACACGCTGTCAAAAAAAAAAAAAAAAAAAGAAAAAAAATATATTAATACGTCATTAGGATATTTCATATATAATATGCTATATATTATTATATGAGATATTATAATATTATATATTTCAAAAATAATAAAAGGAGGCTTGACACTATCTCTGCAGCATTATACCAAAGCTATAATTCTAGTCTATCGTCTAAAGGGACTATAATAATGCTACTTTATGATTGAGTCTTTACTTCTAATTATCAAATTATACATTATATAATTCGTATGCATTTGCAATTTAATTATATATATATTAAATTTTCAATTATTATTTATTAAATTATTGTTTAAAATTATTTATCATATATTTGTAATTTTTATTCATAAATTCAATTAATAATAATTACAATATTAATAAATTAAGATAAAATTATTACCATGATTCATTGTCATACATAAATAATCACAGATGTTTCATAATTTTAATCTGAATAATAAAATGTTTAATTTATTTTATATATAAATCAAATAAATCCAATAAATCCAATTAAAATTTAATACACATTTTTATTAAATTTAATTATTTAATACATTTTATCTTAATTAATAATTACAAATTAAATTTAAAATTAAATTAAATAATACCTTTTATGTTAATTAATAATTAATAATTAATAATTAATAATTAATAATTAATAATTAATAAATTTAATAAAAATTTATATATTAAACATGGAGTGACTAAAAACAGTCAAAGATTGGTTTTATTTTCTTTCTCTTTCTATTTATAATTATTATTGTAATTATAATAATTATATTAATTATTATTGTAATTATACATTATATAAATTTTATGTGTTTTTTTATTATGATTTAATGTTACTAATAATAATTAATCCATGACGGGATTAAATTTGTATGATAATGATTGTGATATTAAAATTATATTAAATAGATGGTATTTGCTATATAAAATTTATGAATAAAATTTACAAATATTCGACGCAATTTTTAAAAATAAAAATTTCATGTCATTATATATATATTGACTCGCTTGGGTCAATCGAACGAACTCTCATCCCGCACCTGTAATTGCCTCTCTGATATCGAACCATTTCATTCCTGTAGGTTAGCGACAAAATCATTAAAATGTCAAAATATTCTAGTTCTTATCAATATAATATTTAGGCTTATTAAAAAAAAATATGTTAACTTACAAAACAAAACCTATGTTTGAGGCGGGAAAATTCAATTAGTTTTCCATTATTCAATTATTATTATTATTGCGTTGTCAAAGAAAGTTTATTCGAAAATTTCTTACAACTAAAAAGATTAATTTCAATTTCTATAAAGGAAATAAAATATTTATTTTTAAAAATAAATTAATCTAAATAATTCAAGTTTTATTTAATTTTTTCTATACTAAATTTTGCACAATTTTTTTGTCTAAGAAAAACAAAATTATTTATATAATAATTTTGCTTTTAATTAATTTTTTTCCATTTTTTTGCGAGTAACATTTATTCAATAAGAATTATTTATATTTTATAAATAAAAAATTGACTTATAGAATTTTAGTTCTTTTATAAAAGAAAAAATAAAATTATTTTATTTTTTTTTGGAAAATTCAATCAATTTTCCAGCCTCCTGGTTTCCAGAAGGATCTTATCTAACCCTGAAAGGAAATTAGGGGAAGGTTTCTGTTTCAGGATTAGGTTCTCTAAATTTATCTTTCAATAAAAATTACAAAAAATATAATAAAATATTTACGCGTCACTTTTTACATTATATAAATAAATAAAATAAATATAAATGAAATCAGTATTAGATTGATTTTTAAGAAAAGAAAAACATATATGTTTACAACATACTGGATTGTGGACTCAATTTTTCAAATTTTCGACTAAATTTTTTGACCAGATAATTTTAGGAAAATGCTTTGCATGTTTTTCAATTATATACTCAACTCATAATAATATTAATCAAATTAATTCATGATTCATTTTTTTGAATTTAAAAAATATTTCTCAAATCTTTGTTTTATTTCACTAAAATCGATTTCCCCTCTAATTTTTTTTAATTAATTTTTTTGTTCTTATTTTTTTCAATCCTTTTAATATTCTAAAACATTTTTTTTTGTACCTAAAGACAAGAAAATAAAATTCAAAAATATTAACTGTTGATAATTTATTTCGATAATAAAATAAATAATTCTTTATTGACAATCGTATTATTAATATAAAATTCAATAAATATTCTATTGATAAACAATCAAATTATGATAAAAAAAAAAATTGTTGAAAAAATCAATCCGAAAGGAAAATTAATATTTAATTAACTAAAAATCAACAGTTGATAAAAACATTACCTAAAAAAATTTATTTAAAGATTTAAATTATTGAAAATTGATTTTTTAAAAAAAAAAAAAGAATATAACTGGTAACGATTGTTCCAATTATGGGGAAGTATTTGGACAAACGTGACCTAAAAAGTGATAATAAATGATCTCAATTTAAAAAAAAAATTCGTAAAGACAATTTACTCGAAAAACAAATTTTTTTTTCAAAGGAAAAAAAAATTAAAAGAATTTAATTTTTAAGTTAGAGGTTTGGAAATCGCAAAATATTGGATAACTTTGTTACACACACACAATTATAAATTAGCATGATGAATTTCTAAAATAAACTAAAAAGTAAAAAAAAAGAAAATAAATCAGTGAGTCCCCATTGGACGATAAAAATTGACAGGATTCAATCAGTACAACAAATTGTACATATTATAAGAGATATATATATATCAGTTGAAAGATAAATATATAAAAAATAAAAAAAATAAAAAAAAAAAAGAAATTACACTAAGACTATATAGCATTAATCTTCTATTTGAGAATTCTAGTTCGTTAAAAAAATACAAATATATACTTATATATAATTTAGATTGTATGCTATACAAGGTACAGTCGCACAATCCGCGTTTGTATGCAACCTTCTCTTTACTATATTTTTTTTCATTAACGACACATCGAAATCGATTAACATTTAAGAAATTTCTCGAAAATCCCATTTCGAATCTATTATATAAATCCTAGACAACAATTTGATATATGAGACTTAAAGCTTTACATTTAATTATATATGACTTCAAATCTTCTCGCTTTATAATTTCCAAACCTTGAGAATAAATCATAAATATCTATTCAACTCTTGAAATAAAATTTAGAATTAAAATTCTCAAAAAAAATAATGCGAATTAAATTCTCAAATAATATATCTCATGATTGAATACAAAACACGAAAGATTTAATGGAAAGAAAAAAAATTCAATTCTTTTGGATTAATTAGATATATAAATAAATTGCAATGGGAAAAAAAAATTAAAATCTATGAAATAAAAAATCTTTTGGTTTGGAAAGGCGATAAAATTTTTGAAGAATCATTTTTCATTTTCATATTGTAATCTATCTCACTGTCACTCTACGGAACCAGTAAAAAATCGAGTTCATTCTAGTCAAATTATATTATAGTAGAGATTAAAAAAAAAAAAAAAAAAAAAAGTGACTTTTAGGCACGAATTTCAAAGGAATGCGAATTTCCAGCGCTTAAAAATAAGTGCAAATGATATATATATATATATATTTACAAATAGGTGCGGGTAGCACGTGAGTCCCTCTTTTTTTTTAGAATCGATATTTTATAAGAAATTACTTCGGAATGTAATTTGACAATTAATGCTGATTAGCTTGATATACAAATATCTTGAGCGAATTCATTGATATCAATCATTATAATTACGTAATTACAAAATTATCAGTATATTACAATTTACATATAATATATACGATATAATATACGATAAATTATTCTAGTGATGTAGCCTTATCTTCTAGCCTTTATATATTAAACTTTTCATTTTTCATATACTATACAGCTTACACACAAATTGTACCTTTATCTACTATGTACTTCATACTTAATAAAAATTATTATAACTCTTTAAAGATATTTCAATTAGATCCCAATTTTTTTTTCAATTTATGTTAGTAAATTATGTTAATTCATAATTTATTATTTAGATTTTTGTAATTAAAATACAAAAATGAAATAATTAATACATTTAAAGAACAATGAAAAATTTATTTAATTTAATATATTGTACATTTAAATATATAAATAAATATTATTTATATGATTTCTTTGCTCGCCAATCAAGGAACTCATCAACATCATCGTCATCGCTTGATGATGATTCTTTTTCTAAATTTTCTTGCTTTCTATCGATAGACTGCATTTTTTCTTTAAGCCTAACAAGATCCATTACTTTTGATAATCGTTGTAATTGTTCTTCTATTACGTCCTCTTGTCTTTTTGCCGTCGCCTCTTCCTGATCATCTGCTATTATTTGATTTGCCTGTGCCTCTTCCTCTTTAATTTCCTTTTTAAATTTTTCCCATTCCTCTTCTATTGGATCCTTGTACTCTACATTTCTTACCTAAAATTTTTTTTTTCAATTTTAACAATATATTTTCTATAAAAACAAAATTTAATAATAAAGAAAAATTAATTGAAATAAATTACTCGAGCATCTAAAACTGGATCGTCGAAAAATCCTTCAGGAAGTGCCGATGCATTATCCTTAGCTTTCAATTGTTTATCATCATTATCATCACATTCTTCATCGACTATCATACTTTCTGATGATTCAATATTTGATGAAATTTTTACAGAATTAGTTTTACCATTTGTTAATGAACCACTTTTTATCGTTGATGATTTATTATCGAAAAAATCAGCAGGTAATTGAGATTTTGTTTGTGAAATTGTTGTAGTTCGTGAATTTGAATTTTTAAGAATACCCTTAACTTTTTTAACTGGTTGTGGCTCCTGAAATGTAGAAGACGATCTTTTTTGTCCCGAAACAGAAGATTTTGCTTTTTCAAGTTGTTGTTTTGCATTTTCAATATTTTCTTTATGTTTTTTCGAATTTATATGAATTGGCCAAGCTGCTTCATTGCTGATGGTAATCTTGCAAATAATACAAGTTAATTGTCCTAATGAATTATACGTGATTATATCGTTAAGGTTAAATATAAATAAACATTAATAAATTTCAAGAAATTGAGTTTTAAAATGAAAAAAATATGAATTTAATTAAAAAAATTTCTTTGAAAGCTAGATTCAGAAAATTTATTTTTTATTTGCTCTCACGAATAAACGAATGAATGTTTTCATAACATTATTAATAATATTTAAAAATAATAATAAAAGGATATTTTGCCAATGGCGATTCTATTTTCTTCTGTACACCTAATTTTTGTTTTGTATTGTTCATTATTTTACGCAATTCTTGTTGCGTTAATGCTTTCTTTGCACACATTGTGAAATTTTATTATTTTATTTACACAAATTTAAGTAAATATGATTTTTAACACTTTTTAATTCAAATTATATTCAAATGTCAAATTTGTCAATTTACAAAATTTTTAGGTTATGTTGTTTTGTATAAGAAGGTTAGGTTTAGGCACGAATTCTCAGGGTTGGGAATAAGTCACACTCTAATGGTAAATATATGTAATTCGAAATTTTTTTTGCATATAATTACGTAAAAACTGTAATAAAGGTGCTTATATACCTCAAATTTCGATCAGATGAACATTATTTCTGGACCGTGAAAATGTGTGAAAAGTCATTTTCACGGCGGGTATTTTTGAATTGTTTTAAACAAAAAATGTTTTTTTTAAGAAATATAATATTAAATAATTGTTTTAATATGTAAGAACACTTTAAAATAGTGATAAAAAGATGATTTGATTGAAAAATTTAGCAAATTTTGCTTTAAAACGTTTCTGCTACAAGAAAGTGTAAAATGACGATGTTTGTGAAATGGTTTGTACAGTGTACATACATGTGTACATGTTTCTTTCAGTTATTCGAAACAATTAGTTGAATTTAAATTTATTTGATAAACATTTCAACTTACCGATTTATTTTCAGCACTCATTATTTATTACAAGTTAAAAAGAACCGACATAACATAAACAAAACTCTGAGACACTAACAAGGAAGAAGCACTGTACAAACCATTTCACAAACATCGTCATTTTACACTTTCTTGTAGCAGAAAACGTTTTAAAGCAAAATTTGCTAAATTTTTTAATCAAATCATCTCTCTATCACTATTTTAAAGTGTTCTTACATATTAAAACAATTATTTAATATTATATTTCTTAAAAAAACATTTTTTGTATAAAACAATTCAAAAATACCCGCCGTGAAAATGACTTTTCACGCATTTTCACGGTCCAGAAATAATGTTCATCTGATCGAAATTTGAGGTATATAAGCACCTTTAATGCAAAAAAAAAAGTTAAATTTTGTCAATTTATTTGCATATAAATGAACAAAATTTTTTAAAAAAATCTACCCGTTCAAAAACTAAAACAGCGATTTAAACAATCGCAATGCTGAATAATAAAAAAAAAAAATATCCGCAAAATTTCCAATAAAAGATAATTAAAAAAATTTGTAATTTAAATTCAATTTAAATATTAAATGTACTCAAAAAGTTAACATTTTGTGTATTTTAAATATCAATTTACACTAAAAGTGTAAAAATATAAATCAAATTAACTAAAATGTTAACTAATTTCAGTATATATTATTTTCTATAACGGTAAATAAATATTAATATATGATAAATATAGAATAATAAATTCTATTAATAAATTAAAAATATTAATTATACATTCCTGAAAAAATGAATGATTATCAAAATTGAAAAAAAAAGATTATTGCTCACCACGATGATACATCTGAAAATAATGATCATCAATTAAATAAAAAATTCACAAAACATTTAGAAACATATTGGGATGTCCGTTACTGTGAAGCGCTCTCTGTTGGAAAAATTGTTAACCCTTGAAAGTAGGATGTTTGTCAATTTTTGTCCAGTTTAAACCAATCAGTGTAACTTTCAGACATAGTGGTGAAAAATGGTACTACTGAACGTAGGATAAAATGCTAAACCACGCCCCCAGCGGACATCCCAATACAAAACACACAGAAAACGAAAACAAAACATTAAAATGTAAAACAACATAGTGACAAAAGAATAAAATATTAAAATAAAGTAAATTTTCACTGGTACTCCAGTTACTTATTTTTTTACTTACATTTTTTATCCGATTTCCCTACCTACAGCTATATTTAAAACGAAAAAAAAAAATTTTGCCTACTTTCCCGATTTCCCTACCTACAGATATATTTTAAAACGAAACTAATACCGCCCAGGTGCAAAATTACCTACACTAGGGTTAACGTCCCGGGACGCAACCGTCACCTGAGCGATCTTTTCTGAAAAAAAAACATTCAATTAGTTCTTCATTAGAAAATTATCAAAAAACTATAAATTTTTAATTTTACATGCATTAACTTTTAAGAATTAAATAACAAATTTACAAAAATTGAAAAATTATTAACAAGATTAATTCATTAAATTATTTAATGATAAAAGTTTATAAATTTAGTTTAAATTACTTTATCTTAATAAAAAAAAAAATAAAATTACTTTGACTCAATAAGAAAACTTACAAAACATTAAAAATATTGAAAATACAATAAATAAATAACATACATGAATAAACAATGAAAAAAACATTGACAAAAAATATTAATTTACGTAATATTAAGGCAGTAATCCACAAAACATGTAATACTTTAGGATATAGGGAGTGTTACAAATTATGAAGGGGTTAAATTTCCGAAAATGTCACATGTTTTTTTTTTAGATTACTCCTAACAATAATAGAAAATAATAAATTTTGTCAATGGTGTCACTATGTTGTCGAATTTCCTTCCCTGTTTTTTTCTTTAAATTTTAATATTTTATTTAGATCGATATCTACTTTTTTAAAAATCAAAAAAATTTGTAATTTAAAAATATCCATAAAATTAATTTTAAATTTATGAATCTATTTTTAATTGAAATCATAAAACAATAACTATTTTAAACAGGGAAGGGGTTAAAGAAAAAACGACTCACCGACCGGCGAATCCCACGTCGGTGCAATAACGTCATCGCCACTTCTCGAGCGCTTCAGGCCAACTCCCAAAGATCCCTCTTTCTTGCTCGCACTTCTACGAAAGGTTGGGAGCACAAAAAAAAATCTCATAAAAAAAAAAATAAAAAGTGAAAAAAAAAATTTATAAAAAAAAAGATGTATGCTGGGACCACTTTTCTTCTTCCACATCCTTCCTAGTCTCTTCAGATATTTGGAAAATTGGAATGGAGCTGAAAAAATAAAAAAAATTATAATCTTAAAACACTATTAAATGCTGAGTTATTATTTTTTAATCAATTAAATTAATTTAGTTTTCTAATTTTTTACGTACGTGTAATTAATTACAAAATAATAATTAAACCCAGTTACAAATTTTTATGTGTGAATTTTTAAGTCAATTATCATTTTTGAATTTGTAAATAAAATTAATTAAAACACTCACCTATATTGTGAGATTTCTGCGAAGTGTCTGAGATACGATGACAGCATATCCTTTTAATAAAAGGACAAATCTTCCTTCTTTTGGAATATCTACCTGAAAAAAAAAGAATAATGTAAAATAAAATATTAAAAATCCTTAATACTATCAAATTATTTTTAAATATAGTACAATAAATTTTCAACTATTTTTATTTATTTTATTTATTGATATTTCTGAAAAATAATCACCTATAAGGGGGAATTTCAGCGTCGTGTAAAATATATACGTTGACAGCATATTCACTCTTTAAGTGGACGAATCTTTCCGCTACTGGATCAATTGTCTGAAAAAAATACATAATAATTTATTATGTTACATGTGAAAATGAAATATTTAAAATTCTAAATATTATTAATTATTATACATTGTTCTTATAATTATTATTACTTTTAAATATGTTAATATTTAAAATATTTACATTGAACTGCGACTCAGCCATGCAAGATCTCCTCCAGGAGCAGCTCCGCAACAAACACCCATCCTTCACGTATTGGACAACTCTATAAATTAAGACAAAAAATTATTTTATATAAAAACATAAATTAAGATTTTCAAATCTAAAATTAATTTCATTATTTATTGATTTTAAAAAATAAAACCTCTTAATATCACAATTTTTGGTAAATTATAATTAATTAACAATATTTGTGTTATTAATTAAGAGTAACTTCAATGTAATTTTCATTCGAAAAATTGTTAAAAATTATAAACTTTATAAACAACTAATAATTAAAAAGTAAAAAAAATAATTTTCTTTATCAAAATCAGGAAATTGCTTATACTAATAAATATTTACACAAAAAAAAGACAAGAGAGACTTACTTATTCGAAGATTTAGTAAAAAAAGTTGTCATTTGTCATCTCATCAAAATCAAAATTCCTTTTTTTCCGAGATGACTTTTTTCTATCTTTTGGCTCTGTAAATAAATAAAAACAGTTAAATAAATATAAAATACGAATTTTCAAATATTAATTTAATTTTTCTTTTAAATTTTGTCTCTAAAATACAGTGGACAACTATCCGAACAGATGTAGAATTGAAATGTGAAATTGTTCGTGTAGTCATGTTTTAGGTTAAATTCCAAAGCGTCATCAAATTTGACAAAATATTAAAAATTCTTACATTTACCAAGAAAAATTAGTTAAAATCTTGAATATTGATAACACACTGATCTTAATTATTGATATATATTTTTTATTTACATTAAAATTGGAAGATAATTTTTGTTATTCACAAAATATTCTATCACTTTCAACCGCGCTTTCTACAATGTCCACCACTATAGTGAGCAGTGGCACCAACATGAACGAAAAAAAATTATGAATCAAATAACGTCCTACCAACATAATTAGACATTTTTTAAAATCCTTTTTTCAATTATAGTAATCTTTTTTTATTATTTTCAATTTTTTAATAAAATTATTTCTAATTATTTTTTTTATTTGTATTCAATAATTATTCATATATATGTAATAATATTTTATGTTTTAAAATATTTTTTGAGTCGCGCGAGAATGCTATCTAGCGGCGATAATGTAAAGTCACAATATATGCAACAAGTTGTAATGCCAAAATTTTTAGGTTATAATTTTGTCAAAAAAGTTTTACCTAAATCTCTTTTTTTTCTTCACAGCTGCCACAAACCTTTAATATATTTTCAATTATTTATATAAAACAGTACTCAATTATCATAAAATATGTATAATTAGCTTTTTGATTAAAAAATTACTACAATATTAAATTCTGTCGAACCAAAAATGGTTCTTCTACTTTCTGTCGACGCCATTTGCAATGAGCAGAAACGCCAACCCAAGATAACAAAAAACTGAACTTTTTTTTACCAACATAAAAAAAAAAATTTTATAAAAGTTTAATTTTTCTTTAAGGTGCTTAAGGTGCTTATATACCTCAAATTTCGATCAGATGAACATTATTTCTGGACCGTGAAAATGCGTGAAAATTCATTTTCACGGCGGGTATTTTTGAATTGATTTAAATAAAAAATGTTTTTTTAAGAAATATAATGTTAAACAATTGTTTAAATGTGTAAGAATAAATGAAAATAGTGATAGAGAGATGATTTGATTAAAAAATTTAGCAAATTTTGCTTTAAAACGTTTTCTGCTACAAGAAAGTGTAAAATGACGATGTTTGTGAAATGGTTTGTACAGTGCTTCTTCCTTGTGAGTGTTTCTCAGAGTTTTGTTTATGTTATGTCGGTTCTTTTTAACTTGTAATAAATAATGAGTGCTGAAAATAAATCGGTAAGTTGAAATGTTTATCAAATAAATTTAAATTCAACTAATTGTTTCGAATAACTGAAAGAAACATGTACACATGTACACTGTACAAACCATTTCACAAACATCGTCATTTTACACTTTCTTGTAGCAGAAACGTTTTAAAGCAAAATTTGCTAAATTTTTCAATCAAATCATCTTTTTATCACTATTTTAAAGTGTTCTTACATATTAAAACAATTATTTAATATTATATTTCTTAAAAAAAACATTTTTTGTTTAAAACAATTCAAAAATACCCGCCGTGAAAATGACTTTTCACGCATTTTCACGGTCCAGAAATAATGTTCATCTGATCGAAATTTGAGGTATATAAGCACCTTTATTTGTTCGTTTTTCTGCAATTTTTATACTTATTGTTGATAAAATAAAATTTTTTTATTGTATTTCGATTTGAATTATACATTTACCTGATTTTTTTGTTTAACATTGTGATGCTAAACTTTTAAGGTTAGGTTTCTGCGTCAGATTAATTTTTTAGAAATTTTACTATTTTTCTTTTTCCCTGACCCAAAACATTTATCTATTTTCGATTATTTATATAAAACAATACTTAATTATCATAGAATTTGTATTATTGGCTTTACGATTAAAAAATTACAAGATTAAATTACGGTCGAATGAAAAATGGTTCTTCTACTTTCTGGCGACGCCATTTGCAATGAGCAGAAACGCCAACCTAAGATAACAAAAAAACTGAACGTTTTTTTTACCAACATGAAAAAAAATTTCTTTTGAAAAAAGTTAATTTCTTATTTGTTTTTTTTTTTTGTAATTTTTATATTTATTATTGATAAAATAAAAATTTTATATTATTTCGATTTGAATTATACATTTACCTGTATTCTTTTGTTTAACATTGAGGATCTGTGATGATCAGGTGATGCCAACCCATGATAACAAAAAAATGAACTCTGTTACTTCTACCGGTTATTACTTTATAAGTTTTCAAAACGTTTGCTAAGAAACAAAATGAAATAAAGGTTTTATTAATAATTATAACCAAAATTCTCTAAGAATTCTTTTTTTTTTATTTCGCTAACTATATAATATTAACAGGATAATCTCGAAGAAGATCAAGATGTTTTTTTAACAAAAAAAAAAGTGTTCACGAATCGATTTCAGTTTTGGAATTTCAGTACGTATCTATATATTACAGTAATCGTATTCGTAATCACAATTTTTTTTTTAATAATTCGTTTAAAAATAAATTAACGGTGAATTGGCTAAACTTGAACATATTTCCGCAGAGGTTTTGCATTTTTTCTACTATATATAAGCAACGAAAGTTCGATTACTTTTTGAAATTTGACATTTACTCACAATTTCAAATTATTCAATATTTTTGTGATTGAAATATTTGTCAACAAGAAATTAAAAAATCGAAATTCGATTAATAATAATTGATCTAGATTAAGGCTATTATTACAAAATCCTCTGTGGTTTTTGTCATTCTTTTTTTTTTGTAAAAATCGCATTGAATGCACGATTAATGGTGCAGTATTAAAAAAATTCTTTTTTTAAAAAAAAATCGGCATTCAACCGATTTTTGATTTTTTCATTCAAAGATTGAGTGGACGTCTTGTTGTATTGTGTTTCAATGGATTGAATGGCGTTACATTTCGAATTTCCGGTTCTAAATTCTCAGCGTAAATATCGGCTGTCACCTCTGATAATGGTGCTTCTTTGTCTGCTTTCGCTAATTTAACAGCTTCGTCGATTTCCTTTCGGATTTCTGTCTCGACTTTCTGTAAAGGAAAATAAATCATATTTTAATGTTTATTTATTTTACTTATTTAATTTCAAAAAATCAAACCTTTAATTCATCAGCGGAAACAAGATTTGCGTTGACAATTTTGTCCTTGAATCCAGTGATAGGATCGCGAGTTTGTCGAACCTCTTGAATTTCTTCTCGTGTACGATAACTCGTTCCAGGATCGGACATACTGTGTCCACTGTACCTATAGGTTGCCGTCTCCATGATAATTGGTCCTTTTCCCGAAGTACAATGTTCAACTGCAAATCGTGAAGCTTCACGTACAGCCAAAACGTCCATACCATCAACCTGCGAGTTAAATTATTTTTGAAAAAAAAATCATTTTTATTTACAATATTCTGGTAAAAAATTTACATAAATTAAAAAAAATAACTCCAAATTGAAAATTTACCCAAATTCCAGGAACATAGTCACCACGTGTATAATATTCAGTACTGGCTGACGATCGTTCAACACTTGTTCCCATTCCATAGCCATTATTTTCACAAACAAAAATGCAAGGAACATCCCAAAGTTTTGCCATATTATAAACTTCAAATATTTGCCCCTGATTAGCTGCACCATCGCCGTAAAGAGCAACGCACACACCTCCATCTTTTTTATATTTGTGAGCAAACGCAACTCCTACACCAAGAGGTACCTGAAAAAAATCGTAAATATTAAAAAAAAAATTACAATTTTAATATTTATTTTCATTTTACCTGAGCGCCGACGATACCATTTCCTCCATAAAATCTTTCGGCATAAAGATGCATAGATCCACCTTTTCCATGAGAGGCGCCACTTTGTTTACCTGTAAGTTCAGCTAAAACAGCAGCTGGACTAATACCCATTAAATAAGTCCAACCATGAGCACGATAAGCTGTTATAACTGAATCTTTATTTTTTCTCAAAGCTGCCATAATACCAACTGCGACAGCTTCCTGAAGAAAAAAAATTAACATTTTACCCATTTCTTTTTCGGTGTATTAAAAAAATAAAATGAATTTTACCTGTCCGGAGTATAAATGACAAAATCCACGAACAATTTTTTCCTTATAAAGATTACCAGCCGCTGTTTCTAACCTCCTAATTGTGTGCAATTGTGTATACATTGCCAATGCATCTTCTTTCGTAACCGAAACTTTTGTCGATGGACCACTGTCCAATTTATGCATACGAAATGGTTTCGTCTCAAAAGATACCTCTGTCGCATAATTATTTTTCTTGAAAAAAGATGCTATCTAAAAGAAAAAATTTATTTTTCAAACACTTGTTGTACGATAGCGAAAAATTTTTATTTTTAATTACAAATTTTTTTTTTTTTTTTTTTAGAGGTTATGTTCAACAAGAAACAACAAACAAAAGATATCAAGCGTGTGCAAAGTGTTTAGTTTTGTGATAAATAATTATTGTATTTAAATGACATCGAAATAAAGAGAGGGAGGTGAATAATTCTAAGAAAATAGTACCACATGAGATTAACCTTGAACAAAATATTTACCTCGTTCCAGCTCCCGTACTGATTCGCGAACCGGGACAAAAAAAAAGTATTTCAATTAAAAAATCGAGGATAAATTGAAATAGTTCGTGCGGATGATCAAATCATAATTGGTTTTTATTTCTAATATTAATTCGAGGATATTATAAAGCAGGGTTAACAAATATGGCAAAGACCCAGAGGTCATTCTTGATTTTCTTTAAGTATAAACAATATTTCATTAAACTTACATTTCTTCGAGACGCCTGTCCACTGCATGTTCTTAAACAAGTTGGAATCATTTCGATGATATTTGTCTTTTATTTAAAATATAGAATCAGTATCAAAATAAAAAAATTTTTCTTCACAAAAAATTTGATGAACTGTGTTGTCTTTCTCAATCTCCTCAGCGCACTCTGGCGGATAAAATCACGTCAAGTTCGTTTAGAGGAGAAAGGCGCCAATTTGACACACGTGACAGTTTTAACCGATTTTTTTCACGCTTTAATCAGTTTTGCTCTTGTTTTTACTTATAATATTCAGTTTAATTCTTCGTTTTTGTGTTAATTTGGAAAATATTTCATCGCCATGGGAAATCAAAATAATTCCTATTGAAAAATTGAATGTTTTTCGTTTCAATTTTCGTTAAACGATGTTTTATCTCAATCATCTAAAAGTAAGGTTAAGATCGTTAAAAAGATATCAAAAATACCGTCATCATTAATAGAGAATTAAATTTACATTAATCTTTCGAAAATTGGTGAGTTTTTTTTAAATACTATTTTTATTTAAGTAGTTTCTAGTAATTTATTTATTTTATATACTTGAAGGTGAAATCAAATATTTTTGGTTACATAAAAAAAGGAAAATTGATTAAAAAATTTTTTTATCACCTTTTTTTTAAATGCCTTTATTGTTTTTTATTCTCCATGGGAAAATAATTTCAAAAATATTTTGTTTTTTTTTACAATACATATAGCATAAAATATCTATACATATATGATGTGTGTATATATATATTGAAGGCATAATTGAAATAGTTTTTGTTTTTAAAACTGAATTCTCTTATCGCATCATAAAAATGAAAAATACATTCGAAAAAAATATGATCGCACGCGTCATTAATGATGAATATTTTATGTAACACTGTCTTAAATGTTAATCGTACCCTATAAAAAAAATACTTTTTTTTTTAAATAATGCAATAAGACAATAAAATAGTGGTTCACATTTCAGATAAAAAGTTATCAAAAAATTTCCTAAAAAAAACATTTTGTAAAATAGAAAATGATGATAAATAACAAAATTAATAATACAATTTGGATCACTATAACATTTTTCAATAAATTAATTTCAAGTTTTTAACTTAAAATTTTCATTTTCACATAATTAATATCAAAAAGATTTACGATTTACAAAAAAAAAAATAATTTAATTGTCTTAAGAAAATAATTCTCGCGTCTCTTGGAAAAAAAATCACAATAAATAGTTACTAAATAGAAAAGAGAGCGAGATTTTTTTTTTTTTTTTTTTTTCTTAAAAAAAAAAAGAAAAAAAAATTGATTTCTAGTTTCGATTTCTTCTCTCGAGAGTATAAACACACGTACACTTTCTTTCTTTCTTTGCGAATACATTTGTAAAAATACTTTTCGGTATCGAATATTCCTATTGAAAAAAATTGTTGAATTCGTTAATATAAAAATTTTAGATGAATTAAAATCTAAAAAAAATTGTTGATCTCAATTTTTATCGATTTCATCCAATAGGAATTATTTCTAACGATATGTTGGAGTGTTTTTTGCGCAAAGTGATTTCGTTGAAAAAAAAAAAAATACAATTTTGAATATCAAAATTCGATATTGTGTGCAATTAATTATATCATTTTGATATATGTAGAAATTATTATTCTACATTAATTAATTATTATGACTTGGCACATTATGGCTTGGCACATTTTCCTATTCACAGAATTTGTACAATTTTTTTTTTTTTTTTTTTCGTCTATTATAGCCAATTGTCGGTGACAGGAATGCAATTATTAAATACTTTGAGCATAGCCAAAAAAAAATTTTTTTTACTGTCAATAAAATATCGACACTAAATTTTTTTTTTACTTTTCGTAAATTCCGTTTTCTTTCGTCTTCTCTGATTTTAATGATATATCATTTAGGTCCAGAACTTTTTTCATCTTCTTTTGTTTCTCTTTTTTCCTGCAATTGAAATTTTTTCATTATTTCCATTTTATTTCAGTTATAAAGTTTTAGTTTTTTTTTTTAATTTTAATTTTCTACTTACATTCCAAATTGTTCTCCATCTTGAATGGACTCGGGTAATTTTTTATTAAGTGTTTCTGGCAATAAAAGCGATAAGAGTCCGGCGAATAAAACTGCCCCACCATAAATGAGATTCGGTAGGGGAAACCAAGTTTGATCCTATTATGATAAATAGAAATTAAATTTATTGTTTTGATTTTTTTTTTAGATTAATTTTAACTTACGAGATGATTAATGAAAGGTGCAATAACACCTCCAACTCTCGCAAATGTGGAGCTTGCTCCGAGGCCGACATTCCGAACAACTGTTGGGAATTGTTCAGCTGTGAACACATAAATAGCACCATAAGAGGCTGTGATCGCAAACTTGGCGATCATGACAAACGTGATAGTTAGCCAGTCCATTCCTAAAAAAATTGAAATTAAATAATAATTTAGTGGAATTTAGTTTGTTTTTTTTTAGAAATTAAATATTCATTTTAAATATAATGAAGACTCAATGTTTTGGTATTGATTCTTTTTATTTGATTTCAAACACACAACCTTTAATTATTTTTTTTTTGCTTTTTAGAGTGCATCACAAATTATTATTATTATTATTATTATTATTATAAAATTACCTGATGGAATTAAAGGTGTGGCAACTAAAAATACTCCTGAGGCAATCATACATCCGCATAAAATAACTTTTCTACCCCATTTATTTAATGTAAATATAAGGAATAAATAAGCAGGTACTTCCACAGCTCCGGACAGAGCAAAAGTGACAAATTCATTATCACTAAGTTTCGATGAAGCCCAGGAAAGGCCATAATACGCTCCGCTATTGATAAACCTAAAAAAAAATAATTGAAAAATAATACTTTTCATTAAAAAAAAAAAAAAAAAAAAACACTCACCAATTGAAAAATATAAGTAAACTCTTTCGTCTAAGATTTGGATATCGAAACAAATCAATTAACGATGGTTCATTAACATCTGGAGTTGATCCTTCATTACCATCATGTAAAAGAACTTCCAATGTTTCATCAATAATTTCAATTCCATTTTCTTTCGATGCTTTTTGCAATAAATCTTTGGCAGCTTGTGTTTGACCTTTCGTCAATAACCAGCGAGCCGATTCTGGAATAAACCTATAAAAAAAAAAAAATTTCATTTTTTATTTTGGAAAAAATTTTTCTATTTTTTTTAACAAAATACATACCACCAATAAGCTAAAAATAATATATTCGGAAGAGTGAGGGCAATTTGTAACATTTGCCAATCACGAATAAAATATGCAAAACCAGCAGTTAATATAAAGCCAAATGTAAAAAATAATTGACAACCAACACCGGCAATTAATCTTTTCTTCGGTCCAACCATTTCAAGTGCTGAAACAAAAAATCAAAATTTTGGTTATAATTTTTTTTTTTTTCAATTAAAATTAATTTTTTTTTTTATTTAATTACCAATTACGTATGCAACGAGAAAAACGCCACTTGTTGTTGAGCCAATAATTGCTCTGAATATGACATAGGTGATAAAATTTGGCGCAAGACCAACGATAGTTCCACTGACGAGTTGAATGACCAATGATAAAAAGAAAATTGGTCGTCGTCCATATTTATCCGACAAGTAACCAAATATTATTGAGCCAAGCATAACACCTACCATAAATAAAGAATCTCCAAATGATACTAACCATGAGTCGTCACAAACTAAATTCCACTAAAAAAAAAAAAACAAAATTAATTTATCCTTATCTCCTTATTTATTAATTTAAAAAAAAAATTCAAATAAATTTCTTACTTGAGTCACTACTGTTCGAGTAAATCTACTTTTGTCATAAACAAAAGTATCGCATGCTATGACAACATTTCGTGGATTATTTGCTGCAAATAATGCATATTGGTCCAGTGTCGTCACAGACGATGGATAATTTATATCATACATTTTACATTGTGATGGTTTTATTTTTTTAACACCAATTATTGTTTCCTCCATTGGATAGCTTACATTTATATAATTATCGGGCAATTTAAATGTTGCGTTTGATTGATTTTCTACTGGCAGAAGGCACCTGAAATTAGATAATAATTATTTATTAATTCAATAATTAATTTAATAAGTAATTAATTATTATTTCAATAATTAATTATTAGTGCGATAACTAATTTATTAATTTTAAAATTAATTTATTAATTAAAATTTTTTTTTACCTTGTGTCGGGTTTACTGCCGAGAAAAACACCTCCCATTTTGTGAAAAGCACAAATAATTGCAGGAAGACATAATAACAAATAAATTCTACGTTGATAGCGACCAAATTCACCCATTCGAAGGATAACATCGTCGTATGCCATTTTTATTAATTAAAAATTATTTTCTAAATTTAATTTCTATATATTGACAATATTTATGACCTGCAATCAAAAAAAATTTAATTTTTTAATTATTTTTAAATTCTCTCGGTATAAAATTTTTATTTTTTAAGAAAAATCTCTGAATTTTTTTTTTTTTTTTTTTTGCTATTTTTGAATACCTGACAGATTTTTCTTGTTTACCCTGACCGAAAAATTTTCTGACTTTCCTTGATTTTTAAATTTTCCCTAACCGTGTAAAATAAAAATTATCTAAAGGCCACATTGTATTTTTATTTTTGAAAATTAATTATTTATTATTTTATTTTTATTATTCATTATTTTATTTTATTATTTATTATTATTTTTCCATTAATAATTATTTGCATTTTTTTTTCAAATAGCAAATTTTTCTTTATTTATATTGATTCGTGAATATTTTCCTATAATGATAAAAGCGCATATAGATATCAAATCTTTCCGCTATAAATAAATTTTTTTCTCTAAAGAATAGATTGACCTCTCTTAATTCAAAATATGCAATAATAATTACCATCGAGCGAATAATTTCTTACACCATTCATTTATCATTTAAATATGAAAAAAAAAATTAATAAAAGAAAGAAATTTCAAAAAATTAATTTTATTCAAATTTATTTAATATAAAAAATAATAATAAATAAATAATAATTTAATACAATAAATAAATTTATTAGAATATTGTCAAAAAAAAATTATTTTTTGAAACAATAATTTTTGATTTTTAAATTTTGAGAACCTGGTTTATAATTATTGATTTTTTTTTTCTCAAATTTTAATCGAGTTTTTAAACATTAAAATTCCTTGACTAACTAATTACTATGCTAGTTATTTTTATTTCATTGCAAATATATACGCTCGTTTAAGTGTTTACTGATGGCGTCTAACCATACGAGAATTTATTTTTTTTTTCAATATTTATAATAAAAACTCCAATACGTTGAGAAAAAAAACCTTGAACTTATCCCAACTAATGTGATTATTAATTTTATTAATTATCAATAATCGAACGTGGTGATTTTTTATTTTTTTTTGTCAATTTTCATATTCTTCAAAATTAATTATCAATTAATTATAAATAAATTATTTATCAATTAATTTAAAATGAATTATAAATTAATTATTTATCAATGAAGTAATTATTATATTTCAATTTTTAAATTAAATTATTTTTTTTAAATTGTGTGGAAATTAAATTATTAACGGAGTCAAATTTAAAGGGGAAAAAAAAAAAATCCTGAAGACAAAATTATTTTATTTTTAAAATTAGATCCAGCGCACGAGTTGTCGCACTATATATATATAAATCTCTATCCTGAGTATCCGCACGTTATTTAGCAAAAATCTTTTTTTTTCTTCTAAATGCGAAAATTAAATGATTTTTTTTTTCAAAATGAGAAAAAATAAAAAATTAATTTAATTTGCAATGTAAAAAAAAAGAATCAAACCTTTTTTTAATTTAAAAACAAATAATTTTTTTTTGCACTTTTATACGGTGAAATAAAAAATATTTTTTTAAAAAAATTCCAGTCTCTCTTTGAAACACAACGAGAGACTGCGAAGGACTGACTGGAACTGACTGAAACTCGTAGGTTGTTGTTGAAACATGTCTTGTGTGTGGTACCTTTAACCGGCATGCGACGATTTGGAAAAAGTTCTTGAGAGTTGTGGCGCCTTTCGTAGTGGCGACATCCCCACTTATATTCATGTCGTTTACTTACAGGGACGGTAATAATTAACAAAAAAAAAAGGGAAAATAGTTTTGATATTATTTTAAACAATTTCACATTCCTGGATTTTTTTTTTTTTTTTCAAAAATTGTCTCGAATTTTTTTTCTCTAATATAGCAATTTTTTTGTTTCTTTAATTATGATATTTTCAAATGAAATTTTTCATTATTATTATTAATTAATTATAATTATAATAAAATTATAAAATAATTATATAATTATTTTTTTATATCAAAATTTTATTGAAAAAAAAATTTATTTGATTCAAATATTCGGTTACTTAACTATTATTAACTAAATATTTATTTGTATATCAAATAATTATTATTTGAGTCAATTAAATGGTATTTGTTTCAAATAAAGAAATTATTGCTGTCTATAAATACCAGTTTATTTAATTCAAATAAAAATTATTTGATATTTTAATCAAATAAATTTTATTTATTTTATTTAACAAAGAAAATGTTTAAAAAACAAAACTTTGGAATTACACATAATAAAATTTTAATTGTTAATGAAAATAATTAATTTTTAATTAAATTAAAAATATAATTAATTATTTTCTACTTTTTTGGTAGCTTACTTTTACTCGTTTCCCTTTTTGATTCCGCAAAAATATAATTAATTAATTTTTAATTAAATTAAATTAAAAATATAATTAATTTACAAAAACAATATTTGTGTTTTAAACTTGAGTGAATATTTAATTTCTTTTTTTAAAATAGTTTAACGCAATTGCAAAGTGGGTGAATTAATCAACCTACATAACTGAATAACTTTCAACTAAACATATTTCATTTATTGATTACAATAATTATATAGTCGCACAAACAACATTAAATTCAAAATATTTACACGGAGAAAAAGAAAAAGTAATTTTTACTACTTTCAGAGTAAAACTGGACCAACTCGAAGTTTCTGCGCATCTCTGGCAATTTTTACTCCAAAAATAGTAAAATTTATTATTTCTGTAGTAAATTTTACTGTTTCCGTAGTAAGTTTTACTATTTCTAGAGTAAATTTTACTATTTTTGGAGTAAAAATTGCCAGAGATGCGCAGAAACTTCGAGTTGGTCCAGGTTTTACTCTGAAAGTAGTAAAAGTTACTTTATAAAAGAAATCTTTTTTCTCCGTGTATCAATAAAGTTAAAAACAAATTATTTTTTTAATATCAAAAATAAAAATCATTGAATAATTTTATTTTATCTATGAAATTATTGCATAATTTAATAGGAAGGGGGGGTGAGAGATTTTTTTTTATCTAACTACACGTCTTTATTTTTATATTAAATATTGAGCAATTTTTCCTAAAAATTTCCCCCACTAATTATATATGGGATTAAAATTCTTTAAAGTAATTAAATTTTGATTTTTTAATCATTAAAAGATTATATTAATGTCAATGTTAAGGATAAATTTCTAATCTCACCATCAAGTGTTGATAACAAAAAAAAACAATTATTGTAATAAAATTTTTTTTTTTATTTTTTTAAAAATTATAATTTGATAAAATATATATATAATGTAAATATAATTAAATCAGAATTATGTATAAGTTTTTCAAAAAAATTTAATTTTTTTATTTCCTCTCTTCCCTCCCATATATTTTTATGGGAGAATTTTTTTTTCCCCACATTTTATCTCACAAATAAAATTAAATCCCATTTATTAAAATTATGTATAAATTAAATATAAAATTACAACAAGTATTTATTTGCCGGTGAATTTGAATATCACGCGATCAGTATATATATATATATATATATATATATATATAAATGTAACTTGAAACTAACCGGTGTGTCTCTTTGATATCGATAATTGTAAATAAGTAATAGTATTCATTGACCCTCCAGCCACATTGTGGAACACAAACTTTATAAATTAATACACGCGTACGCCCACACTCATATAAAATAATTGTATTATTATACCCCACGTGTGCATATATATATATATATATATATAGCTAAATTTATAACTCTTAAAACTTTTTTTCTAAAGAATATTTAATTAAAACAAATATTTCACGAAGGAACAAAATTTTTTCCTTAATTTTTTTTTTTTAATTGTTTTTCATTAAAGAAAAAAAAATTTTTTTTTATTAGAAAATTATTAGACAATTTAAAAATAATAATAAAAAAATTGCAAAATGTAAACAATGAATTATTATCATTGATATAAGGGAGCAATAAAAAAAAAAAAAGATAATTAGTGTAAGAAATAAAAACTACTTCAATATCTAAATTCAGCTAAATCCGATAATAATGAAGTCTCGAAGGTAGTGATTTTTTTTATTTCTATTACAGAATTTAAATTATATTAAATTATTAATTTATTTTCCAATAGCAACGGTTGCTATGGTAATAGTTTCCATAGCAACGGTTACTATGGTAATAGTTTCCATAGCAACCGTTGCTAGGGTAATAGATTCCATAGCAACGGTTGCTATGGTAATAGATTTCATAGCAACGCGGTTACTATGGTAATAGTTTCCATAGCAACGGTTGCTATGGTAATAGTTTCCATAGCAACGGTTACTATGGTAATAGTTTCCATAGCAACGGTTGCTAGGGTAATAGATTCCATAGCAACGGTTGCTATGGTAATAGATTTCATAGCAACGCGGTTACTATGGTAATAGTTTCCATAGCGATAGTTTCCATAGCAACGGTTGCTAGGGAAATAGTTTCTATAGCAACGGACAAACGGACGTACCTCGTTTTAAAAGTTTTAGAATAATTTTTAGCCTAAAAAAACTAAAAAAAAAACTTGTCACCCTATTTACAGTAGGAACTATCATATATTTCTAGGTTATGACAAAGTCTTATTTTAGAAAAATTCTAAAGAAACTTTACGAGGCAAAAACAAGTGAAAGGAGAAGTATTCTCAAGTAAAACTAATTAGATGCAATATATATATATGGAAAGAGAAAAAGGAGGGAAAATAAAGGCATCGAACTTTTGTGAATGTGTACCAGAATCGTCCTTGCAAGGACAATCAGTATATATATATATATATATATATATATATATATATATAAGTGCATACACTTTTTTCAAAGCTCTCAAGTGCGCATCTACCTTATATTCACTAGAACGAGTTTTTATTCAATTTTTTTCCCATCCCCCCCCCTCCCCCAATATATATATAAGTACGTCTTCGTTTTTCCCATTTTATATGCCTTGTATTATTCTCTTCTTCTCGAAGAAAACCAGTCGCGATTTTTAACAGGGTGGTATAATACCAGTAGTACATTTAGCTATAAATAGCCGACTCGCTTTTAACCCGGTTCTTGTAAACGATGAGATGGTGTTGTTAAAAGGGGGTTGGTCCACGATCTCTGGAATTTTTGCTATAAGAAATAATAATAAATAAAAAAAAAAAAAAAAAAAATTACTGAGAATGGTTCTCCTTCTTTGGTCTCAATACAAAAGTTTCAGATTTTTCTCAATTGTTTGCCTTTTGATATATATATATTTTTTTTATATAAAGAGGCTAAAAATGGAAAATTATCATCTTTTTTAATTGAAAAAATTAAACATTTCTTTTTTACTGAAATTAAATGTAAATCTATGAACTGTCGGTAAAGTTGATTTTTTGAGGGGCTAAATTTAAATTTCGCACTCTTTTTCAATCGTCTATATTACCGACAGAACATAGATTGGAAACTCAGTGTAAATATTATCTATAAAGCACAGACAATTATTATTTTATTATTATTATTCATTAAAAATAAAAATGAATTGAAAATTCGAAATTCTAATTAAAATTCTATTTTAAATAAAAGTTAAATTCTAAATAAAAATTTAATTCTTATTTTATAGGGGGGAAAAATTTTTTATCTCTAAAAAAAATAAAATATTTCAAACAAATTTCTATTGTTAGCCACTTATAATTAAACTATAAATAGTCGCTAATTTAGTACTTGTATATATATAATATATATGTCACAAAAGATAAAAGCGAAAACGTGTGATAAAATGAATTTTTATTTATCTATAGACAATTTGTTTTAATTTTGATTTATTTAAAAATTTTTTGCAAAAATTCATTTTCAACAAATTAAAACAAAAAAATATTTGATTATTGAAAATTAATAAATGTGTTTGTTTTTTTTTTTGCAGGGAAAGAGGAATATTCTCATATTTACCAATCTGATTTAGATATTACATAATTTGAAAATAATCCTCTCATTTATATTAGAATAAAATAACCAAATTTGCATGGCGTGATTATCGAACGACTATTTCTGTGCCCAATACCGTGTCGAGAGCAGTTTGGACAGATTTTATCTGTTTCCAGGGGCGTAACAGAAATTTCATTTCACTTTCATTGAGAAAAAAAGGAGATTTTTCGAAAATTATATTTGAAATATATTATGCCATCGCAAGAGACAGATTTGAATTAATTAGCATCTATTTATAAATATATTATCATATTCTTGAGTTCACGACCATCCTCAATAATCTTATTTTCATCATTTCTCTCTTTCTCCTCTTTCTGATTATTTTAATATTTTTACCATTTTGAAAATTTCAATTTGCAAAAATATAAATTTTACATTATACAATTTAAAAATACAATTTAAAAATACGATTTAAAAAAAATTAAAATAAAAAAATTAATTTTCAAATATTTATTTTTTAACACTGAATCAAAATTTTAATCTTAATTTGTGTATCTAATTATTTTAATTATCTAGATATTATTTGAAATATAAAATAATTTATTTTGTTTATTTTTAAAAAAAGATTTTTTTTTTTTTATTTAATTGCTTAATAAACAATTTTAATACCTATTTGCGAGAGTTTTTTTTTAATGAATTTAAACACACGTGTGGTGATACGTTAAAATTAAATTTAATTTACGTTTTAATTAAATTAATTTTCAATAAAAATTTATCGTTCAAACATTTTGTCACGCGCAATGCATTCACTTCTATTATAATTATTCGAAAATTTTTTTTATTACAATCATAATGATGTTGTTCTTTTTACATATAAAAAATTTTGCATAAAAAAATTTTAATTTAATATATTAATTAAATGAAATGAAATTAAAATAAATATTTTAAATTCATTTCTGGATATGATAAAAGTTTGATTGTAAAAGAAAATTTTTTATTACAATCATAATAATGTTTTTTTTACATATCGAAAATTTTTGCATAAAAAAATTTATATTGAATTAATATTAATTAAATTAAATTAAATTCAAATAAATATTTAAATTCATGTCTGAACGTAATTTTTATAAATGAAAATTTTTTTACAATCGTAATTAATATTTCTATTATTCTTTTTTAATTTATAAAAAATTTTTGCGGAAAAAATTTACATTGAATTAAATATAAATTTATTTTTCAAAATAAACTGATTTTTAAAAAATCTAGTAGAATTATTATTTCTTTAAAAAAAAAAATGATAATTATAAATAATAATAGAATATGGAGAAAAATTATTATTATATATTATTTGCACGGTACTGACTTACAGGAACGTACGAAGGAAATTGATGAGATGAAAAAAAAACAGCGCATGTGAGCCAACATGTGATGCTGGTTTTCAATTAAAAAAAAAATAAATAAAATAAAAAATAAAAAAAAAATGGTTAAAAATGTATTAATACTACATACCATATATTTATAAAGTTTATGGAAAGAATGCTGGTTGGGATCACTGATTCTTGTTAAATAAAAACCGGTTTCATACAAAAATGTCACACAATTCGAGTTTAATTTTATACACATACAGAATGAGAGAGACGACAACGACGACGACTAAGTCAGTGATGAACCCACCGAAAATGAAAGAGAAAGACTAAAAACGTGCGCGAGCAAAGGCAATATTCCCCCTTAACCAAAACTAAATCGGTCATTCCCCTCTTTTGCACACTCCCACCCTCACTTTGATAATTTTGTGGCGGGAAATTAATGCACACAAAAAAAAAAAAACATCGAATCAACAAAAAATGTGCGATATTCTAATTTTATACCTTTTTCTCTCTCAATAACAAAAAAAAAAAAAAAAATTTACAAGATTGAAAGATAATGAATTTTTCCTCCTACTTTCCATTTTTTTCATAAATTGTTATCATAAAACACTTTTGCGCAATGCATTAAAACTTATCTTAAAAACCTTGAGCAAGATATATATTTGCAAAAGAAAATCGAATGCACCAAAAAAACAAAATCTAAATTTCTTTTTAATTTTCAGAATAAAAAATGGATTCGACAGATGAAGAAATGGATTTAGACATGGAAACGAGTATTGATGATGATTTGGATGTGAACAATGAATTAAATAATGCAATCATTCTAAATGAAATGGAAATATCTGATATTGAAAATAAATCAGAGACAAATCAAAAGTATTCATACAAATTTGGAAATGCGAAACTTCAAGGTATGTAGATTTAGAGACAAAAAATAATAAAAAAAAAATTTATCCAATTCATAAAAAAATTCAATTTAAAAATTAAAATTTATTTTATATTTACAGATGAAGAAATTTCCTCTATAAATGAAGAACTTTGTAAAGCAATAAATGACAATATAAATAAAATAGAAATACCATATGTTGAAAATGAATCAGAATCTGATCTTATGAAACAATATCCCCACGATATGCTAATGTATAATAATTCATTAATTGGACAAATGTCACTCGATGAATTAGAAAAATTGGGACTTGAGAGACTTGAAGGTACAATTGAAAATAGAAATTTTTTACAAAAAAAAAATTTGAATTTATCCTAATTAATTTATTATTAATTTATTTGTTTTTAATATTTTTTTTTAATAATTTTTTTTTAACTAATTATTTAATAAATTAATTTTTCGATAGTTCTTCGAATTATAGATGTTCTCATGAAAGAATCGTCAATAAAATCTGAAGATTTCAAAGAATGCTTACTCGGTGCATTAAGAAATAAAGGCTTTTATTCTTACGTTAAACTGATAACAAGTCCTGGCTGTGATTCAAATACAACATTAGATCTTGAAACAAGAAGAAAAGATCATATTTCTCATTTTATATTAAAAATTGCTTTATGTAAAAAATTGAAAATTTTCCGTTGGTTCATTAATATGGAAAGGCAATTATTTTGTTTAAGATTTAATTCGTTAAATAAAAATGGATTTGAAAAATTTTTAATTTTTAATAACATTAATTATCCAATTGTAAGTGTAGAAAAAAAAAATTCATTCCATTTAAAAATTACAAAAATTGCAAAAAATAATGTATAATTTTATTTTCAGCTTTCTGATGAAGAAAAAAATGAAAATAGAGAAAATTTACAATTATTGCATGAAGATATTAATTTGGAGGAAACGATTTTTTACAAAGTACCTTATTTAAGTGTGAGAAATTTAATCAAATATCGAAAAGCATTTATTAAAGGTGGTATTGTCTTTCTTCCATGTAGAGAAATTTATCACCTGATCTCGCAATCTTTTCAAGAATCATTATTAAAAGAAAGAGAGGTAAGGTGTCTTCTTTTCGATTTTTAATTTCCAAAAAATAATTCTAATTTTTTTGTTTTTCAATTTTTAGCATTTAAAAACTGTGATAGAGAAAAATCCCAGACTGGGACCAATTTTAAAAAAGTTTTTTATCGCATCTAATAATTCTTTGCCTCACGAGATAAATTCATTAGATTTACAAACTCTTGATGAGGTAATTAACTGCAAAATGGAATATTTTCTTTCAATATTGAGAAAATGGAAATAAATTTTTTTTTTAATATTTCAGACTGTACAACAATCGTATCCATTGTGTATGAGAATAATGCATGAAGCATTGCGTAAGGATCATTTTTTAAAAAATGATGGTCGTTTTCAATATGGATTATTTCTCAAATTAATTGGTCTCAGCTATGATGGTGCTGTTGATTTTTGGAGTGGTGAATTTTGTAAAAAAATTAATCCTACACAATTTGATCAAAAATATCTTTATGATGTTAAATATGTTTATGGAAAAGTTGGTCAAAAGGCAAATTACACATCTTATAGTTGTAATTCTGTAATGAGTAGAACAGTTGGTTATGGATTATATCATGGATGTCCATACAAAAATATGACAGTTGAAATTCTTAATTCAAAATTAGAAACACTTGGCGTTTCTAATCAAGGTAAAAAATTTTTTTCATAATGAATCTGATCGATATTTAATTATCATCGATCATTAAAATCAATTTTTGTTAATTACGATTCTTTTCTAAAAAAAAAATAATTTTTTTTCATGAATAAATGTTGTTTTAAAAAAATTATTATGATTGATTTCAGGATTAGTTGAAATAGAAGATTTGGTTAGAGAGGAAAAATATAAAGAAGCTTGCACTAAGTGTTTTTCTCAAATACATGGTATAAATTTGCCCTCGGTGGTCGATTCACCTGCGGAATATTTTCATAATAGTAAAAATGCAATTCTTCGTAAAAAACATATTCAAATTAAAATAAATGAGAGTCTTGTCAATGAAACCCAAGAAAATAATGACAATTTGAATATAAATTCCGATAAAAGTACAACCAAATGAAAATTCATAATCGGAAGTGAAGAATATTTAACTTAATCAAGAAAGTGCTTGCCGTAAGTGAAAATAAAATTCTTTTTTTAAACTTTAATTAAAGCATGTTAATTTTTTAAGATATAAAAACAAATTACGCTTGTTGAGTTTACAATTTAAAATTAATTATTTAATCAATAAACATTTTTTTTCGTTAATTTAATAAAAAAGTAGATCATCTTTTTGAGGGGAAAATTTAGAAGTGACTTCTTTTTTTTTATCTTTCTAGTTTATTACAAAAGTATGTGAAAAAAAGGAAAATAAAAAATAGAGCTTCCCCTCGCGCACTTTTGTATTCACAAGTGTCTATTTATAACGCGAAAATTTTCGCCTGAGACCATTCATAATCGCCGCGATGAAAGGCAAAATTAGTTACCTAATTTTTTATTTTTCAAAATAGAAATAATTTTTGTTTGAAAAACTTATTTTTATTATCATACCTCGTGTATATAAAAAAAATTTGATCGCGTGATATTCTTCTTTGGTATATAGAAAAACTTTCAGATTTAAATGAAATTCACGTACATTAATTTATTGCATATATGCATTAGTGGAAAATTGTAATTTCAAAATAACATTGCGTTCTCATTTCAAAATTGCATTTTTTTTTCTTTCCATTGATGACAATTTAAAAAAAAAATTATTTTCAATGATAAAAATAAATTTACGAAAATATTAAAATTAAATTTAATTAGAATAAAAATAAATTAAAAGAAAAAGAAATTACGCAAAAATTAATAAAAGAAACGATTTTCTTAATCTAAAGTATAATTGTTAAAAATGTAATTAAAAGAAAAGTAAAAAATTTGAAATTAGAGTTAATTAAAAGCAATAGAATTTTGTTAATATTTAATATATTAATAAATACTGTCATCAAAATGTAAAAAATTTATTTTTTGAATTTCTAAACTGAAAATAGTTTCAATTATGATTAAAATAATTATAATTTTTAATACAGACCTGATTTGTTTAATAAATTTTTTTTTTCAACACTTTATAAAGCACACACATTTACTCGAGGGAAAAAAAGCTACTAACTAAACAATACTTTAGACTTCATTGTCAGGAAGCTCGACTCCATATTAGCATGTATATATGTATATATGTGCGGATTAGGTCAACTAAAAATATTTAAATTGAAAAAAAAAAATTTTCTATATATGAAGAAAATAATTTTTGGAAATTTTGAAAAAAAAATGGAATGAAAGAAAATTCTTTTATTAAAAGAATAATAAAATTCGACCCTCCTGTGTCATATTTTGCACTAAGTATAACTGACAATAATAGTAAGCTTTGAAATTTTCAGGTCCTGCGGTTGCGAGCAATTACGAACGTATACTACGCTTGTAAACCAAGGACGTGATCATTCCAGGGGCAATCGCAATTTCACGCGAGTTCTCTACCATTTTATATATATATATAGATATATATAATCATTATTAAAACTGAACTGCTTTTCTCCACGTGATCCACCACGTGCTGACGAGACACCCTTCATCTTTATAATATATGCAAAATTTTATATTATTTATACACATCATGAAAATTACAGAAAATCACTCCACTTTTATCATGAATCATTTCGAATATATTTTCATTTTTTACTTCTCTCTTGACAAAAACAAACATTTTTTTTTTATTCTTTTTTTTAGAAAAAAAAATCGTTTAAAAATAAATTGAATATTAAAAATATATTTTTCTCTAAAAACAATATTTTCTGATTCCGTTCAATCGATTGTTTTCTAATTCTTCCTTTTTCTATTTTTTTTTTTTTTTTGAAAGATAAAAAAAAGTCAGTAATTAATTTTTTTTATTACTATTTTTTAAATTTGAATAAATAAAAATTAAAAAGTCTCTATAAATTAAACAAAATTGTTCGCAATTTTTGAAATTGAAGTTTTCCCGCAAAATTGATCGAACATTAGCCGAACATCATCGAAAATCGCCGACAATGATCGAAGTTACTATCGATTCTTGTCGAAGATTGACGAAGTTACGCGAATACTTTAAAGTGACGTATGTGGGGCTGTGTTTCGTTTCATCGTTTAGAAATCATCTCATCAAAAAAGTAATTTTCGCGAAAAAGTCAAATAACGGAGCCGCCGTCGCTTGAAAGAAAAAAAAGGAACAATGCATTTTATCCTAGTCGAGTTTTAGGTTTAGGGAAGAGAAAGAAAAAAAAAAAGGGCAGGACGGCGGCAGGTCGATAACGCACGAACACGCTCTTATACTCATAAAAGAGACAGAGAGAAAAGGCCTGTGTTGGCAATTCGATCAATCTTAAAAGTTCACGACCCGGACTTATTCGCTTAATTGGGTTTCATCCGTGATTCGATAACGCTAAAGTGCTTGTGATAGTGTCGACTATTTCTTTAGGTATCAGTTACATTTCGCGTAATCCAGCGCGGCATCGATCTCGACCGCCTAACCTTGAAAATTATGATAGTCTATCGACATCAAAACTATACAATTTAAGATTTTTCTTTCTATTATTCACTGGTAGTTGTCAAATATCGACAACCCTGAGACGGTGATCTGTTAGGACTGGAGAGATGGCCACTTCAACAACCCCGGGTAATTGTATATTACTCTATAATTTTTTAATATGACACTTCTCTCATACGATCATTGGCCTCATTGACATTTGATCTGTCACAAGATTTCTATCAGATCATTTAAAGCTTCGATAAAAGCTTTTTACACAATTTCTTTTTTTTAATTATTTTAATTTTCATAATTTAATAGTAAAATAATTTTCGTTTTTTTTTTTCTACACTTGTTTTTTACCCCCCCTTTATGATAATAATCGTGATGCAAGTGCTTTTATTATTTCAATTTATATATATATCTGTAGAGGCGTAAATACCAGATTAATTTTGATTCAGTGGCATTTGATTAAAAGGCGTGAGAAATTGTTTTCTAATCTATTATTTTTTTTTGTAAAAAATTATTTATATTTAATTCATAATTATAATTACGAAAATTAACATTAAAATGTTATTCGATTTTTAAAAGATATTCTTGATTTAAAAAAAAAAGATTTTTATAAAAAAAAAAGATTTTCCTAACCTATAACAAATTTAAAATTGTTATACACAGTAGCTTTAGAAGATTATTGAAAGATTTCCAAATCATCTTAATTATTTATATGCAAGCACTTTTAAGTAGGCCAATCGATGCATCTTTTTTTTTCTAAAGAATATTTCACATTAAATAGAAATATACATTTTAATATTCATTTTTTAAAATAATTTTGTTTATTTAAAATGAATTAAAAGCATTTTTTAACTTAAAATTTTTTTTTTTTTTAATTTTTGAAAATTCGAAAAGAAAATAATTTTTTTTTAAATTTATAAAGAAACAATTATTATAATTATTATTTCTATAAATATTTTCTAAGCATACAATCAAGGTGTGTGCTACCTGTTTCACTACAAAGGTCATTTAGTATGAAAGTGACTAATAAACTATTTTCTACAGTGCATATTTCTATTAATAATTTTCCATTGAAAAAATTTCTATGACAAACAAGTTAAGTCACATATTTCCATATACCTGAGTAAATTTCAACGAGATTCGATTTTAATTATTATTTTTATTATTGTTATTTTTTGTTATTATTAAATATTTAGGCTTAAATTTATTTATTTTTTAATAGCTTGATTAATTTGGATTACTATTAATTAGGTTCAGATCCGTGGGTGATCCAAGCTCGAGAACGTGCCCGTTATCAAGAACAGTTTGATTCTCTAAAGCCAAATAATGGAGTTGTTACGGGCGATCAAGTCAAAGGATTTCTCCTTCAATCTCAACTTCCTCCACAAATCTTGGGTCAAATATGGTAAATTTTTTTAATCTTCTTTTTATCTATAATGAAAAAGAGAAAAAATTATTATCGAAAATATTCTTTTTCAATGAAAAGAAAATCGAAAAATAATAATAATTTTTTTTTTTTTTAAGGGGACTTTCGGATACGGACTCGGATGGAAAAATGGATATCAACGAGTTCAGTATTGCCTGCAAATTAATAAATTTGAAACTTCGAGGCTTTCCAATTCCATCAACGCTACCGCCAATTTTGTTGCAAAGTTTAAAGGCCTTTTCTAGTGGTAAGAGATTTTTTTTTTTACGTATAAAATTGTGAATTAATAATTAAAAATTATGATATTGAAGGATAATGATTAAATGGTTATTTTTAATTAAGTAGGAACACCGCCAGCGATAGGAGCGATTCCACAACCAATTGCTCCACCACCAAATGTTGCTGTTAGGCCACCATTGCCTGTACCACCAATTGGTAAGTTTTATTAAATTTCATTCTTTTAATTCCAGCTGCATAATTAGCTAATCTCTCTTTTTTTCTCTCTCTCTCTCATTCTGTCCTTACACTAAGACATTTATACAGTTGAAAACAAATGTAATTTAAAAAAAAAAAACCTTTGATTTCAAATTTATAATTTTTTTTTGCTTTTTATTTAAAAAAAAAGGGAAAATAAATTTGAAATCAAAAAAGAGACAAAAGAATTAAAGAATGAATTTTGGAGATTTCTTTAATTTTTTTTGTTGGATAATTTTAATTATAAGAAAATGTTACATCACTTTTTGTGTATTATAATAATGCATCATAACCATACAGCCAGTCAACAAAATAGACAGTCAGTGGTTGCCAGTACACATGCAACAACTCATAAACCGTCAAAGCCACCCGCTCGACCTGCACCTCCCTCGATTGGTATGTCACACATATCGAAAACATCTGTCCGTCGAATGGTCCGCTTCGTTTTCAATTATTTGTGTGTAGCGGGAAAATATTGTTCATTTTTTTTTTTTTTTTTGAAAAATTTTTTTCCTGCATTTATAGAAAATAATCAAAATTTTTAAACAATATTTAGATGATAAATGGTCTAAAATCGATCTGCAATATTTTTTTTTTTTTTGTACAAAAAATGATTAATTTTTATAAATATTTTTAATACTGAAATTTAAATTTATTTTTATAAAAATAAAACGAGGTTGCATATTTTTAAAATAAAAAAAAATCGATTTTCAACCACTTTTCTTTAAATATTCTATAATTTATAATATATTTTTAATAATTTTATATTTCCCGAATTCCACAAATAATTGTCTTCTTTAATTTTTTTTAAACTAAATTTTTTCTCGATTCGCTTCTTTTTCTTCTTAATTATCTAATTTATCCATATTTCAGCCTGTTCATGTATAATATACTCATTTTCTTTACCATTACTGTGAAGCATTGCTAATTTATTTCATAGAATATTTTTGCTCTTGTTTGATTATAATATGTAAAGAATTTTCTCTTTAAAAGCGGTAGGTATAATTTTTAATGTCTCGTGAAATAAATTTTTTTTTTTGAAATTTGTATTTAAGCTTTTGAATATAATTCAAATTGAAATTATAAATTATTCTTTGTTCTGTGTGTTTATTTAGGAATATAAAAATGAATTTTGACAATTAAGAAACCAGGAATTTTTACTTCAAGGGAAAAAATTACTTTTTAAAATAAAATATTATAAAAAATTTTGCCTCTATTAAAATATTGCAAAATTCAATTTTATAAAAATACAGTATTGTAGAATTTGAATGAATGTAAATGATTGTAAAATTTGTTGGAAAATAATTCTCGTGAATGTCACTGATAATCAGATGCATCGATCTTTTTTTTTTTTCCTACAATTTCAGAAAGATATATTTTATTTTTGATATTCGTATCAATGTTATATATTATATAATGACGATGACTATTTTTCGTTGATATATATATTTTTTTCTTCTTTTTAAAAAGCATTGCAGCTCTTGTATACTTGAGTGCTTTTGCCTTTTGTTCTTTGACTTTGATGTTTTATTTTTCTTGCTGCACAAAGGAAATGTCGATACAAGCACTCCAAGTGCTCATCCCCCGCAAAGACCCACTCCCCCTGGAAGTATTGGTATGTTTTTTTCAGGTGTCTTAATTGATTAGTAATTCGTTAAATATATATATAGTTCTCCCCAAAAATTCTCTACAAGTGTGTGAAAAAAATTTATTAAAATTTCGAATGAATCTTCCTTTTAAAAATCCCAGTAGAAATTAGGAAATATTGTATGTTAGTTACATGTTATTTAGTTTAGTGTTATTATAAAAAAAAATTTATTTACTTAAAAAAGGATGGTAAAAAGAGAATTCTCTTTCTATAGTTTAAAAAACAATTTTTCATTTTTAAATAATTGAGAAAAATTTTTTTCGTAATTATTTATCGATTTAAATATTCATTGATATTTTTAATGTCCACTGTAAGTTATTAATGATAGTAAATGAATATTGTTTGCTTTGAAAGCTTTTGGCTTATGCTTCAAAAGTTTAAAATTTAATTTTGTTATTTTCTCTGTGGTTTAATTTTTGTTTTTGAAAAAAAATGTTCTTTTTCTTGAATTTAATTAATTGTGGAAAATTTTCAGGACCTTCATTTGTCCCGTCAACAGGACCACCACCAAAGCCTGCACCTCCTTCGTTTCCAAATAGTCCAGCAATTTCACCAGCTAATAAAATTCAACCACCAGTAGTTCCCGCTGTTCATCCAATAACATCGACCCCCTCAATGGGTAAATTCATTTGTTTCTTCGTAATCTAAAATCGAAATTAAAATTTTAATTTATAAAAAATTGTTACATTTAACGATTAATTTAATTTAACATATTTTAATTTTATTTTTATTTATAATTTTACCTTTAAATTTAATGTTATTCATCTGTTTTTTAATTTTTTTTTTTACAGATTTACTCGATCTTGACTTATTTGAAGGTATTAAGTAATAATAATAGAAAAAAAAAAAAATGAGAGCTTTTGCTAAAAGTTAAATGTTTAGAGCCTATGCTAAAATCCTTTGAAAATTATTAACGATCCTTATTATTAATAATAATAATTATCCAATTATTCGTAACTAATATCTTCAAAAAAAAAAAAAAATTCCATGTTTTGAAACTTTTTTTTTATTTTTGCTGTCTTTTTTTTTTTGTTTATCGTTTTTTTGTATTGTTTTTTGGTTTGGTGTAGGTAAATGCTAGGAAAATAAAAATTTCTTTAAATAATAAATTTAATAAATAAAAAATTAATGGAAATTACAGTGGCACCAATTGCACCTTTAAATACAAATCCAACTCCAATTGCCGCATTTGGAATGGGACCAACTGTACCAATGCAACCAATTGCTCCAGGAATGATGCCAACAATGGGAACAGTTCCTAGTGTTGTACCAACTATGACAGCAATGCCAACTGGTAATTAAAAAAAAAGTTTTTTTTTCACTCATAAACTATTAACAAAAAAAATTTAATTACTCCTAAAGCAAGTTTTTCTTTTAATTATTAAATAGATTAGATTATAGTCAAAAAAAAAATTTTAATTTTGACTGTAAATTAGAGAAAAGTTAGAAAAAAAAGAAAATATTTTTATAAAAATTGGGAATTTTTTTTTTCACACCAGGTAATGGTACAATTCCAAGTGCAGGAGTTATGACTCCACCGGCAGTGTCAATGCCATCGGGAACTATTCCTGTTAATGGAAGTGTTATTCATACTCCAGTTTCCTCTAATACACCATTGAGTACAACGGCAAGACCGCCGAGTATAGATAGAGTTGGTTCCATGGATTCACAACACAGTCAACATTCAATTCCCTCGATTGGCTCACCGCAAAGTATCGAATGGTCCGTACCACATCAAACAAAATTAAAATATACTCAATTATTCAACACATGGGATAGAACTAGATCGGGATTTTTATCTGGACCACAAGCTCGAAATATAATGGTGCAATCACAATTGCCACAACAAATTCTAGCTCAAATATGGTATTTCTTCTTTTTATTAAATTAATAAATAAATTATTAATTAATTATTAATTAATAAAATTATTTTTTTTTTTAGGGCTCTGTCAGATATGGATTCAGATGGACGTTTAGGTTGCGAAGAATTTGTTCTTGCGATGCATTTGTGCGATATGGCAAAATCTGGTGATACAATTCCCGTTGCTCTTCCAATTGATCTTATTCCTCCAACGTTTAGACGTCAAAGACAAAGTAGTTTGACGCCTTCGCAGGGAACACCGGATATTGATCCATCCGCTGGAATGCCACAGGTTTGTTGGATTTTTTTTTTCCTAGTAATTTAAAATTATTTAATAAAATTTCAATTTAAAAAAAAAGCTTGAAATATTTTTTAACGAAAAAAGGCTATCATGTTATTGTAAATTCTTTTTTTTAAGACTTCTTTCGAGGACAAAAGGAAGGAGAATTTTGAAAAAGGTCAAGCAGAATTGGAGAGACGTCGCAAAGCATTGTTGGAAATTCAACGCAAAGAACAAGAAGAACGTGAACGTAAGGAAAGAGATGAGGCTGAGAAACAAGAAAAAATAAGGTTTGTATTTGTAAATACAAAATTTGCTTTTTTAAATTATTAGCTTTTAATTATTAATTTTTAATAATAATAATAATAAATAATAATATATTCAGGTTAGAACAAGAAAGACGTCGACAGGCAGAAATTGAAAAACAAATGTTGCGACAAAAGGAAATTGAACAAGAGAAAGAAGAACAGAGAAAGCGAGCCCAGGAGCAAAGAGAAGCAGCCCGAAAGTAGGAATAATTTTCATAAAAATATATTTTTAAATTTAATATTTTTTTCACACAATTTATAATTTTATATTTATAATATTTTCTTGTTCCTAAGGGAAATGGAAAGGCAACGACAGCTCGAATGGGAAAATCAGAAATCACAAGAACTTCAAACACAAAGACAAAAGGAACAGGATATTCTTTTGAAATTAAAGGCAAAAAATCAGACTCTGTCTATTGAACTTGGAAGTTTGGTAATTAAATTTATAAAATATGCTCTTTTTTTTGAGTAGAAAAAATTCATAACTGTGTCTCTTTTCTTTTTTTTCCAGAATGATAGAGTTAAAGAGTTATCGCAAAAAATTTGCGACACACGAGTTGGTGTTTCGGGTGTAAAAACAACAATCGACGGAATGAGATCAACGCGTGATTCACAATTAAAAGAAATGGCGGCGCTTAAGAATAAATTGAGAGAACAAAATCAAAGACTTCTTAATATAAGTCAAGAGAAGGCAAGAATTGATGCGAAAAATAAAGTAAACGCCGCTCAAGACGCTGCTGGTCAAGAGGCAATAAAAATGGCATTTGCCAATAAACAAATTACATTGAAACAAATGAAAGATAAAATCGAAGATTTACAGCAACAGGTATTTAGAATTTTTTCATTAAAAAATATTATAATAATAATAATAAAAATAATATACAAAAAAGGACAACGATAAAAATAAATTTATTTAATAAAGATAAGTTTCGTTATTAAGAGACGTTTAAAGTAGAATTTTTAATAATAATATTTTTTGTATAATTCTAGATAAATTCGAAGAAAACGGATATTGAAAATAATAATGGTCAGTTGGAGGATGTGAAAACTCAAATGCAGAATCTCATAACTGATTGTAAATGTTTGTATACTAATTTTAATGAGAAAAAATCTCAAGTATTGCAATTGAAAACAAGTTCGGGTGGAAATTATTCATCATCGGCGTGGGGTGATAGTGCTTGGGGTGATTCGGGACAAAATTTTGAAACTGTTGATGAAACATCATGGCCAGCAAGTGATTCTGCACCAGTTGAAAGTAATGCCGATACAAGTGGCGTTAAATATCGTGCATTATATGAATTTAAAGCTAGAAATCAAGACGAAATTTCATTTCAACCCGGTGATATTATTCTGGTAAGATTTTATTTTTTTTTGAAGGGGGGGAGGGGAATTCCAGAAAATGGATAAAAAAAAATTATAAATAAAATAGAAACGATTTTTTTGGAATTGATGAAAAAAATAATTCAAGTTTTCAGTAAAAATGGTTTTTAATGTATATATAGAATTAAATTTAAATCAGAATTTGACAATAAATTCTGTTGAGGAAATTGGTACCTATTTATATATTTTCATGTTTAAAAATGCAAAAATTTATTAAAATATTTATATTTCTAAATAATAGTAAAATTAAATTCGTACTTAATTTTTTTTTTAAATAGGTTACATCTGTTCCGAATGCAGAGGAAGGCTGGCTAGCGGGAGAAATTCGCGGACACACAGGTTGGTTTCCGGGAAGTTATGTCGAACCTTTGGACGCTGAAGCTAATACCGGAAGTGCTTTCGTTCAACAAGATAGTATGGAAAAGAGAACTTTGGAGTAAGTAGAAATTTACCAAAAAAAATTTTTTTTTTTTATCGAATTTAGAATATTTGAAAAAACAAATTATGGATTTATCAGACATCACAGTCCCCTTTTATTTTATTTGGAAAAAGTGCTGAGTACTGTGATGAGTGATTTACAAAAAATAATATGAATTTTAATTAATTAATAATAATACAATTTTGTTGTGAATGTGGTTTAAATTATTTGTTTAAAATAAAAATTTGTTGTAATAATTAAATTTTCAAAACAGAGAAATTGCCGAAGTTCCGGAAAATGTTTCGGATGCTGGTTCATTGGGTGGAGAAGGACCCATCGTGGATCCTATTGTTCCAACGTTAGGTTTAGGAACAATTTGCAATATACGAGCGACAGCTGTTTATTCATATCGTCCCACTACTCAGGAACATTTAAATTTCGATAAAGATGAAACTCTTACAGTTTCAGAACAACAGGTAATTTTTTAATTTTCCTTTTTTAAATTCTTAAATATTCCCTTCTTGAATAATTTAAACTAAAATGAAAGATTATTAATTGAAAGTAAATTGGAATTAAAATTAAAAAAAAAATGTTTTTTATAATAAATAAAATTGAAAATGAAAATTTGTCAGGGTGACTGGTGGTATGGAGAGAATAGTAATGGAAATACAGGTTGGTTCCCAAAATCTTATGTGAATACTGCCGTGACAAATGGACAAGAGGTGCCTTCAACTGACGGTGGACTCAATGAATATTACATGGCACTTTATGAATACACGTCAAAAGAATCGGGAGATCTTAATTTCTCTCAAGGTGAAATTATTCTTGTTGTTAAAAAAGATGGCGATTGGTGGACAGGAGTTATTGGCAATCGAACAGGAATTTTCCCTTCGAATTATGTTGATAAATGCGATATGCCAAATAAGGTGAGTGTGGGAAAACATTTTTTTTCTACTTTATGTTTTTTTAGGTGTGGAATTTGTTTTTTTGTCCGTGTCCTTGTGAACTAACAATTTTTTTTTTTTCTTCTGAAAATTGAAATCAGGGTAAAGAAATTCCTACTAACGGTGAAGCAATAGCAGCAGAAGTACCAATTTCTGAAGCTGACGTAACTAAACGTCAGGATTCGGTTACTGCAACGACAACGGCTGCTGTTCAACAATCACCAGTGTGTATTAAATTCAAAATTATTTTCAAAATCTTTTATCGGCAAATTGAATTTTTTCAAAAGAAAAATGGGTGGAAATATTTGCTTAGAATTCTAATTGTTTAGTGTTAGAAAAAATTAATGGTTGAGGAGTAAATGAATATTGCATGTTATTTTTTTTAAGCTTGAGGAAAAAACGGCTGAACAACTTGAAGAAGAAAGGGCCGAGGCGGAAGATCGGGCTGAATTGCCAGATTTTGCAGCCATGTCCGCCCAACAGGTAAAATTAATTTTTTTCCCCCTCACATTAACAATTATCCGTTTTAGTTGAGATTTTTGTTTGAATTCACATTTTATTTATTTTAACAATTAATATTTGTTTTTGTTTTTCCATTTGTTTTTCATGATTAATAATTTTTTATGTGTTTTAATGTATATATTTTGTTTTTAATCAAATATTTATTTCTCCTGCTTTCATGGATCACAGTATGTCAGGGTAATGATCAATTTTCTACTAATTCAATTCTTTTTTTCTAAAAGTTCTAATTATAATTATAGAAAATTTATGATTAAAAGAAACGAAAAATGTTTTGAGACAAATTTTTAAATACGAGAATATTAATTTTTTATATTCTATTAGTATTTATTTTGAATTATTTTTATTTATTGCCAAAGATCTGTTTATAAATTTTTTCTTATTTTCAACAGAAAAGTAGAAAACCAGAAATTGTCCAAGTAATCGCTCCTTATCAAGCGACCAGTGCGGAACAATTAAATCTTCAGAGGGGACAATTAATTATGATTCGTAAAAAGACTGACACTGGCTGGTGGGAGGGTGAATTACAGGTAAACTGAACATCGAAAAAAAAAAACTTTTGATTTTCAAATAAAAAAATTTTAAATACGAAATTTATTCTTTAAATTGAAAAAATAATTATTTTTCTTTTTCAAGGCTCGAGGAAAGAAACGACAAATCGGTTGGTTCCCAGCTTCATATGTAAAACTTTTGACTAGCAATAGCAATAGAAGCACACCCGTTTCTCATGGTTACTTAGATTCACCGACAGATCCTAATGTTGGTACGTTAATTTTAGAATTAATTTTTTTGAAAAATTTTAATTCTTTCAACAAATAAAAATCATTTTTTTTTTAATTAAATAATTCAGACCTTGGATTATACGACTTATTATTTTTTTTATTTAAAAATTATTTTTATTTTTATAGAACGTGTGATGGCGCTTTATCCATATCAGGCACAAAACGAGGACGAGTTAAGCTTCGAAAAAGGTGATGTGATTACTGTCCTTGCCAAAGAAGAAGAAGCGTGGTGGAGAGGCGAGCTAAACGGCGTTTCCGGTGTCTTTCCAAGCAACTACGTTTCGTCAATGTGTGAGTAGTCTTCTCGCATTTTCAACAACTATCCGTGGGATCCGACCTTCTAAAAAGTTAAAAAAAAAAAAAAAAAAACAAAATTAATTCCCTTATATTCGACCGACGTAAATTTTTTTTTTCCAAATTTTGTATATGAATTTTGAAAACAAATTTTCTGTCTCGCATGTGGATGGACAGACTTTGGTCGGATTTTAATGTAACAAAAAAAAAAGTGATAGTAATTTAAGAAAATAAGCTCAAAATATCTAATTTCAAAGTGATTAAAATGGGAAAATCTTTGAAATTAATTTCATAAGAGATTATTTTCAAGTTTACTTTTTAAAAAATCAAATAACGATTTTTGTATGCACTTTATTAAATTTTTGAATAGAATAGAAAAATAATCGTTTTAATAGAAAAATCCCATGAAAAAGAGAAAATTGTTCTCGATAAAAAATGAATTCAAAGATTGTACCATATAAATTGTATTTTTTAATTTATGAGCTTCTTAAATAATAATTAAAGAAGCTTGGACTGTTTGAATATAAAAATAATTGAAACTCGTTATTTTAATCGTGAATGTCGTGAGTTGGTGAAAAAAAAAAATATTTATTTTTCCGACATCGATTATTTATTAAATTAATACGGTCATAGCACTTACTATATATATATAAATATATAAAATATGTAAAAATTTATTGTTTTTTTTAGGCTTCTTTAATTTATTTGTTTTGTATCATTGTATATTGTCTTGTGTACATTTTGTATGGACTGTTGAATGAATGAGATAATTAAAATTTGTACTCATTAATTTTTTCTTTTCATTTAAATATCAAAAAATTGCGATTTAAATTAATTTTTTCAAAAATTAGAATTTTTATTTCTCCTTTAGAATTTAATTTTTCTAATTATATTTAACAATTTTAAATAGATTAGAAGTATTTTTTTTTTTCAATAAAAAATTTTTATTTTCACATAATTTTTGCATGAAAAATTTATGTATTTTAAAAGTGAAGGAAATTTAAAAGAAAATTTAGATACGAAAAACTTGAATCTCTCTTGTAAGTAGAATTTTTTATTTTATTTCGAAATTAATTTTTGTAGATTTTTTATTTAGTGAATTATTTTGAAAAATAAAATTTATTTCTTCGTAGTCTTTGGCTTGTATCTTCCTGCATGATATCACATATTTGCCCGTCCGTCTTCCGCCTGACTGTTTAAAGCTTTTTTTTTTTTGTCTTAAAGGCATGTGACAAATTATGACTTAAAAATTAAAATTTCGGTTCATTTTTTTTTTTAGAGAAGAGAAATAAAAAAAGAAATTTTATATTAAAAAATGACGTTATAATGTGTTCCATGCTGTTGAAAAAAAAACTTAAACAAATTTTCACATATTCTATTATTCCTCAGATTTAACAAATTTTTTTTAGCGAAAATTTATTAAAAACATCTATTATTATTATTTAAATATAATATTAATAATAAAGGAAATTAGTTTCTTAATGAAACTCTCTCCTCTTTTTTAGAGAAAATTTACTTTCGGTCTAATCATCTATTTTCTCTGTTGTAAAAAAAAGAAATACTATTCTAGCTTTCTTTAGTGATTTCTTTAATACTAATTGATGTCTTTCGCCTGTGCCTTAACACGCAGCATAAAGGATAGCAGTGCAGCACATCCGCAACGCAGGCTAAAACTATATATAAAAAAAAGCTATCAAATAAAGAGTTAAAAAAAAAGTAAATAATAAAAATTAGAGGTCCCTTCGCCTCGACTTGAGGAAAACACGCAACGAACAATCTCAAGAGAATCTCAACGGCTTTCGTGCAGAGACAATATATAATATGGAAAATGCGTCAAGGGTGATTTCAAGCCTTTCCTTTTTTTTTCTCATAGTCTTAGCGTATGGGTATCCTCTTGAAAAAAATTATATTAATATAAAAAAAAAAAAAATAACAGAAGAAAACACCCTCATTAATCATTGTAATCATCGCGAGGTTGTCATCGCACTGCAAAAAATTGCATAAAACGCGTTTTGTCACAATAAAAAAAAAAAAAATTGTTAAATACTTGTCGTTTAATGCTAAAAAAAAACAAACTTATGTATAGACAACACAATATGTCTGCGTGCATGAGATACTTTTCGCGAAGAACGTTTGTCACTTTTAGGCTATCAGCGTGTAAGGAAAATGTAGTACCGTATACCGATTATAATAGATAGTCAGGCAAAATAGTAGAAAGTACAAATGTTAATGGGAATAAAAAAAAATTGCCATTAAAGCCATATTCGAGATAAACAGTGTTTTCACAATTTTTTTATTTTTTTTAATTACATGCGTAATTAATATCGAAATTCAAAAAATTATCAATTTTTTTAAAAAATAATTTTTATTTTCAAAGAAATATAATAATTATGTTTATTTAAAAATAATTTTTATTACGAAAGAAAAATAGATTTTCATTTCATTTTTTGAATTTAACGATTTTAGTTTCGAAAAAAAAAAAAAAATTACATATCACTGTTTTGTCACTGATATGGTTTTAATAATGTAGGCCTCAGCTTTTCACATTTAGAATATAGTAAACAATTTCATGCGATAGGAATTTATTTGCTAAGTGCTTTTGGCAGAATTCATTGCTCTGTTATTATCATTCAAGCTAAAATCGTCATCAAACATTATAAATTATTCGTCACCATGTTAATGAATTATTATACAAAAAAATACTCTCTACAAAACTCCCATGTTTCTCAAAAAAAATTTGAATCAAATGAACATTTCGAGTTTAATTTCACTGATTCAAATTTACAAAGTACTTCACATTATTTTCTTGTATCAATCCTGTTATTTCTCTTACGAGAATCTGCAAATGAAATTTCAAATTAGTAATACAATCATTTTGAAAAGGTTAAAATATTCTTTAATCTTTATTTATTATAATAATTATTAGTTTATTATTATTATTATTATTATTATTATTATTATTATTATTAATTGAAAAATTATTTTAAAAATATATTTCCAAACAAAAATAGAAAAATAAAATATTGCCTTTACAAAATAATTATATCTAAATTGGAATTTCAATTTTTTGCAAAATTTATTCCACCTCTTATAAAAATTAAAAAAATGAAGCATCGACAATAAAAAAAATTTGTAGATTATAAAATTATAAAAACATATCAATATTTTTTTTTTGTTTTTGACCTGCACAATTTTTAATTATATTTCAAACTATGAAAATTGTATTTAAGTTTCATGAATTTTTCAATTTAACAAGAAAAACCAATTTTATTCATTTTTTTGTGTTCGGTGCTTCATATATTTCTAATCGAGATTGGAAAAAAAAAATGATAGATTTATTTATTATAGAAAATTGTTATTGTAGAAAATTTAAAATACATTTTTATGAAAATTGCTAGTAGAGGTATTCTAAAAAACAAACAAAAAAAATTCTATGAATTTTCATTTGCTCGTAAGTTCGATTTACATAAATAGAAAAGATCACATTTTTTTTTTTGAGAATTTCGATCTAATGAAAAACTTTTCTTATTTTGGGGAAAATGGAAAGGCAAAATTTCATAAACATGTACTTTAAAAAAAAAAAAAAAAAAATATTTCAGCGTTATTTTTTTCTTTTGACGCTTTTTGACTGTCAAGAAGTCGGCCTAGGATTCACAAAAATCCGGGAAGAGGAGAAGGAGCCGTCGACCTTTCCCTAAATAAATTTAAAAAAAAAAATTATAGAAAAAAAATACTGAGTCAATATGTAAAAAAAAAATGATTAATTGTGCTTCTTTATATCGTTATTAAATTGGTCACTTTAACATCGATGCGTCCGAGCCTTCGAATTTAGCCTTAAGATTACAAAAACAATTTGAAGAATCTCATTATTGGAAATAAATTAATAAAAAATGAAAGAAAATTGTAATATACGTTGGAAAAGAAAATTTCTAGGTTCCTTATTATTGTCGGGGAAAAAAAAAACTTAAATAGTCTACGTATCTATTATAATTGTATTCATAATATAATTCTAATTGTAATTCCAATGTGTTCTATAGGAGCCAAATGAGATTTTATTGGTCTCCACTAAAATGCTCCTTTCGCATATTGCGAAAAATATTCTCGGTTCCTATTTAATTTTTTTTTTTTTTGTGTACTATTATAGAAAATAATCTAGACTATATTATATCGGTCGATAAGAATCCTTTCTTTTTGGATAAATTTGCTCCTTCTTCGCGTTCCATACCAATTTATATATATATAGGTATTCTAATCAGAAAAATTGTGAGCGAAAAATAAGTCCCTCTTCCACTAGAAAAGAATTATTTTTTATTCAATTGTATTCGAAAAATTGTTAATTTAAATTAATTAATTTACAATTACAATATTGAAGAAATAATTTCATATATTAATTAGAAAATATTCGCTTCCAATTTTGTTTTTCTTTTCAAAGAAAATTTTAACAATTTTTTTATTTAGATTTTTAAAACTATTTTTATTTTGTTTAATTTCTCGTATAATTTTATTTTTAGCTCTGTTGATCAGAGAGAGAGATATATATATAACTTTTTTTTTTAAATAATTGCTCAATCTATGAATTTTCTTTTTTCTCTTGTAAATATTAACGTTTTATTAATTTTAATATTTTACCAATTTAATTACACTAGAAAACCTAATTTTTATTTTGAGAATAAATATTATATAATATATTAAAAAGTGGAACGAGAGGCTTTTACGTCCTGAAATGTAATTTATTAGCGCACAATATGTAACCGCCATCGTCAATATTATTATTTATTTCGGCCCAGGACGTGTGCAATAAAATATTTATTAGTTGCGCAAGAACGAACCTATGTGCTATATAATTAATATTATATTATTATTATTACAATTCCCTTGGGAGATAAACCAAAAAATAATTTTTTTTTTGAAGAATAAGAAAAGGACAATTTTTCTTAATAATTTTATGATATTTATAATCAATAGAATTTAATTTCTAAATATTGTTTATTTCGAACAATAATTATTTTTTGTGTGCTAGAAAATTTTTTTTGATGAATTAAAAATTTTGCAACATTTAGAAAAAAAGGAATGGAAATTTGTAATTAAAAAAAAAATATTTTGATTTATTATTATAGAGAAAAAAAAACATTTTTCTATAGTTTTGTTCTAAATTATTTGATTAAAAAAAAAATTCTTTTTCAACAAAGTTGCAAAATTTAATTTCATTAAAATATTGTATGAGTCGAATTAGATTTTCTAATTAGGATCCTGATATAATACGTTAAATATATATATAATTATATATAAAAAAAGACAAACAAAAATGTACTGCAAGTTTTGCAAACTCGTTGTTATTATTATATATACATATATATATAAAAATTAATATTTAAAAAAAAGGAAGTACTTGTGTAGCACTATCCCTCAAATTGTTATGATTGCAAGACTTATCCATATCGTTCGTTTGTCGTTGTATCATCGGTCAGGATCTCAGTAAGATTCTATTTAAAAAAAAAAAAAATAATAAACAGATACAATCTATAATTATCTAAACGAAAAAAAAATCTTGTTAAGATGCGAAAGAAATTTTTCGAAAAAAAAAGGTTTAAAAATTTCTTCGCATTTCTTTCCTCTTGTCTACCAAAAAAAAAAATTTCATCTCCCCCCCAACCCCCCTCATAAACACTCATTCTTACACATACAACGTGTTATCACACACGCAACGATTGAAATAAAGTATCTGTCTGTTGTAAATAATCAATTTTTTCGTTTTTCACCTATTTTTTTTTTTTTTTGTTCTATTCAAAAATTATTTGTATTTTTACATTGAAAACTGTATTATTGGGACGCCAAACAAATCAGATTCAAGTGTAGAAAAAAATTTTTATTCACTTTTTTTTTAATTAATTAAATTTGTATATTAATTTTTATAATAATAATTAGATAATTAAAATTTCTTGGGGAAAAATGGTATTTGTGTAATTATAAAAAAAAATGTTTGCATTTTTGGGTCATGGTTTTGGGACTAAGGTGTTTGGCATATTTTTTTTTTGCTTTATTTATTGTTTTTTCAATCTTGGTGTTAGAGGAAAGAAAACTAGAAATTAAATTTTTTTTTTTACAAATTATGCAGCACGTTTTTTATTTTGATAAAAATTATTTATTTTAAATTGGAGCGAAAATGAAAATTTAAAGGTAATTTCAATTTTTTTTTTAAGATTGCATTAATTAATTTTGTTTGGAATTAAGAATAATGGTTTTTTTTTTCGTTTTTAACATTTTGTTTGGTATTTTAATTTTTTTTTTTTCTTTCTTTTCTCTGAAAAAGTGTATCCGGCTTCAAAGCGTCAACTTGAAAAAAAAAATTTTGATATGATAAAATGCAATTTTATCAGGTTTGTACTAATTTTAGTGAAATTGAATACTAACGTGTGTTTTGATAAAATTTGGTAATATTTTACTCTTTTTTTTTTGTATATTTTGTGCAGCCAGTGAGACGATCAATGAAGTAATGATGACACAACTCGAACCAACGGAGAGAAAACGGCAGGAATATATTAAGGAATTAATTGCAACTGAGCAGGCTTACATCGAAGACATGAGACTCGTTCATGAGGTATAAATTTTTGATTATTTTTTTTTTAATTTAATTTTTTATCTAAAAAATAATAATATTTTTGTTTCAGGTATTCGAGAAACCTTTACTGGGAAGTTTAGTGTTAACTGTAGACGAAGTTGATCGAATATTCGTAAATTGGAGAGATATTATTGCCTGTAATGATAATTTTCTAAGGTAATTAATTTTTTTTTAATTGACATTAAAATAAATAATTTTATAAATAATTTTTTTTTTTTTTTTTTTTTATAGAACTCTGAGGATAAGACGAGACAATAGCGATGGAGGAATTGTAAGAATGATTGGTGATATTTTGTGTGAAAATGTAAGTTTTTATTATTTTTTTTTTAAACTATTATTATTAATTGATTATCAATGGTAAAAGAAAATTTATTTTCGTAGATTCCAAGAATGTCTGCTTATGTGAGATTTTGCAGTTGTCAAATATCAGCTGCGGTTTATCTTCAAAAATTGACTGAAAATTCGCCAGAATTTGTTGAAGTTGCTCAAAAATGTCAACAGGATTCAAGAACAAAAGGAATGCCTTTGAGTTCTTTTCTCATTAAGCCCATGCAGAGAATAACGAAATATCCACTTATCATTGGAAAAGTAATTTTTATATTTCTGTTTTGAAATTTAAAATATTTCTTTTATTTTTAGTTTAACATTTTTTTTTTGTATTTTTCATTTTAGATTTTGGAATACACACCTTTTCATCATCCAGACAGACAATATTTAATAGAAGCTCTATCAAAAGCAGAAGAATTTTGTACTCAGGTATTTTTTATTCTAAAAATTATTTTATATTGTATTTTTTTTGTGGGGAAATTTTTAAAAATTAATTTTTCTAGGTAAATGAAGGTGTGAGAGAAAAAGAAAACAGCGACAGACTTGAATGGTTACAAACGCATGTTTATTGCGATGGATTAGAAGAGCAATTGGTATTTAATTCTCTGACAAATTCCCTTGGTCCTCGAAAATTGGTCCATTTTGGAATATTACACAAAGTAATTTGATAAATCTTTTTTTTTTTTTTTTAATATTTCTCTATTCGAAAATAAATAATTGAATTGCAATTTACAGTCGAAAAGTGGAAAAGAATTAGTTGGTTTTTTAACAAATGACTTTTTATTGTTTGCTCAACCAACGAAATCATTACCAAGTGGACAACAATTTTCATTTGAGCGAAATTCTCATCATAAATTTAAAATGTATAGAAAAGTAAGAATTTGTCTTCAAATTTTTGTCTAATTTTAAAAAAATATTTGTAATTTTTGTTTATTTAAAAAAAAAACAATAATTTTTTTAAAAATAAATACCAAATTTTTGTTTTAGCCACTTTTTTTGAATGAATTGTTTCTTGTTGGAGAATCAGAAACAAGTAGCAGTGGAAATGGTAATGAACCTACGGAACATTCATCGAGGACATTGAGATTAAGAGATGCGAAAAAATTAATTATTCTTCAAGCACCATCGACAAGTGAATGTACTTTATGGACAAGAAGAATTGTTGAAGCTAAAAAGCAATTCGCTGAAAATGAAAGAACACGATTGCAACGTCAACGTTCAAGTAAATATTTTCATTTTTTTTTCTCCACATTTTCAAAATTTTACCAAAAAACAATAAAAATTTCATTTTCATTAAAAATCCATTGCAAAAACAATTTTATTTTTTAAAAAAATCTATTTTTTTAATACATTTCGTTGATTTTATCTTTTCATTGTTACTGTTGTCATTTGTGATTTTCTTTTTTTAAAACAGTTAAAAAAATAGATTTTTTTAATTTTTACATAATCTTCAAAGAAAAAAAAAACTAAATTAAAATTTAAAATCTCTATTTTTTTTTATTAATTTTAAATTGTGAATCATAATTAATCATAGTAAAAAAAATTTATTTGATTCAAATTTACTTGACTATTATCAAGTAAAGAATCAAATAAATTTTTTTTTACAGTGTACTTTAAAATTTTTTTTTAATTGTAAAATTATAAAAAAAAAAAAAAACATTGTTCGCATTTGTTTTATGTCTTGGCTATAATAGAACAGGCGCAATTTGGAGCTTGTGGACGTATTCTTGTCACTGTATTGGAAGGTTCCAGTTTAAAAACAATTTCTGGTAAATTTATGAAAAATTGATATTGTGTTTGCTTTTATTAGAAAATTGTCTTTTGCGCTTGTTTGTTGCTTTGCTTTTTTCTATTAATAATTTCTATCTGAATTGGAAAAAAAAGAAGGATCGCCTTTTCATGGAGTCAATAATCATCGTGGGATTAAATTCTCATCTGTAATTCACACGGCATTAAAATTAATTTTTTTTTTTTTTTAGAAATATTTAAGCATGCAGCATGTTTATACTAACAATATCACATTATTATAGCACGCAAGCGACGAGTAAAAGGCCTTCTTCGATTTGTTGTAATAGAAGCTGAAGATCTTGTTATTCCTCAAAAAGGTAAAACAAGGGTGTATTGCTTATTTTTTTCCTTTTTAAAATTTCCAAATTCTTTTAATTCAAATATTTTATTTTCACAGATCATAATGAAAAGGTATTTTTTTTTTTTTGTAATGTTAATTACATTTTTTTTTTGTAGTTAATGTTATAAATTATTATTAAAATAACTGAATTAGTAATAAAATTGAAAAATTGACCATTTTTTAAAATTGAAATTTATAATTTTAAAATCGAAAATTTTTGTTTTTAACAGGAAAATGCAATGCATTTTGTAAAGTATCAATGGGATCGCAAGAGGAACAAACAATTGTTGTTTCTGGCACCGATTGTCCTCTTTGGGATGCATCAATGCAATTTCAAGTCAAAGATCTTCATGAAGATACATTATGTATCACGGTTTTTGATAAAGGATATTACAGTCCCGATGGTAAATAAAAAAAAAAAAAATTCGAATTTAAAAAGAAAAAAATTTTTTTATGAAAATAATCATTTTTCTTTTTTTAAAAAATAGAATTTATGGGTCGTGCAGAAGTTCGTGTTGTCGATATTATGAGGGACAGTAACGATTCCTGTGGACCAATTCAAAAACGCATCAAATTACGAGAAGTGGAAAGAGGTGATGTTGTTTTAAAATTAGATCTTCGACTATTTAATGAATCGGCAAATTTTAATAATAAAAATGGCAACAGTAGGATAATTGACACAAGAGCGTAAAAACGAATTTTTTTTTTTGACACCAAAACAAATTAAAATTTGAAAATTAAATTTTTGTATAAAAGAGAAATATCTTTTTTCTTTATTATAGTAAAAAGGTGCAAAAAAAATGTTACAAAAAAATGAACAAATATTATAGGAAAAAAGGTAGTCTTTTTTTTTTAAAGATTACAATCATTAATTTATGATTTAAATTGGATTTTTGAAAAATTATGTTACAGCAGTATTATTTTATATTATAGTTTTTTTTTTTTTTTTTAGAAAAAGTGGAATGTTAATGTTTATAAGTTTATGTTTATGGAATTATAGAAAAAAAAAATGTTCTTTTATAAATTTATCAATAAAAGAATAAAAGTAATGATTTTTGTTTCTAATCAACTTTTACTGTTGTCTTTACAATTTACTCGAAAATTTATTTTCTAGATTAAACTTAGTTTTCTTAAAATCTAATTTAAATTCTCTCAGTCTGTTTTTTTTCGATCCGCTCTAATATAAATGAGAATAAATAATAATTCACTGTACAGAAATGGCGGAAATTCTGTTAGGAAAAAGAAATTTAAATAAATAATACAAAAAGAAAATACTAACATTATAAAATCAGGGTGACCACTATTTTTAGACTTTTTCTCTCCCGGTTTATCTCGCTGTAAAAATGAGCGATTACTCCCGGTTTTTAATTTGCAATTTAAGTGTAAGCAAAACTAATATACAATTGTAAATTATATAAATTGATTCAAAAACAACTATTGAAAATTAATATATTTTGATTTCAAAATTACCGTTCAAAAAAAAAATCTTCACGATTTTTTCAAATTATTGGAGAATTTAAAAATGATTTTTTATTTTTAAATTCTCATAACTTTCTTAAAAATGCGTCTTTTTAACTAAAAACAAAAAAAAGTGTGGCCACTCTGAAAATCCATTGAATTTCAATGAAAAAGCGTAATAGAAATAAACTCTCTCTCTCTCTCTTTCTTTCTCTCATCATACAAAATTGTTTTTTTTGATTTCACTATTTTTGAACTATGTTGACAAACTTCGAGGCATGTCTTTTATTTCCCGATCACGTGTAACTTCATCTTCAGTGGGAAATTCATAAATTGGCTTAAATCCACCAAAAAGTTGTGGTTTAAAATTATCGGGATCAAATTCACTACGTTCAGTTTGTGTATTTTCAGCTGTCAATAATGTATCATTGTTAATTGAATCATTTGATTCAACAACAACAACGTTCCAATCATTTTTTGCCGGCGCTTCTGCATTTGCACTGGCAATGAATGGCGCCATAAAACTTTGTGGCGATGGTGCTGAACTCGATGAACTCGATGGTTGTTGCGATGGTAGGAGAATTGGTTTCTCTGAATTACGATCAAATTTCATAATTTCATCATCAATAATATCGGAACGATGATGAATTATTGGTTGGGCTGTTGGTGTGAAAACATAAGCAATTGGCGTTGATTGTGAATTTATTGGAAGACGTTGAAGTGTTGTTGATATTGTATTTGGTTTTTTAGCTGCAAATGGTACGTAATCTTGTAAATAAGGAATAATATTGATATTTGTGTCTCTAGTTTCGTCGTCATCTTCGCTTGGCACAAGAAGAGGAGTTTCTTGTACTGGTCCTGATAGTGAAACAGGATCTGGTCTTTCGAGAGGATAGGGAAAATCGGAAGTTAAAATTTGATGTTTTGTGGGTTGAGCAACGATTTGTTCGGATGTTTGATGATTGTCCTGAAGAAGTGTCTCGGGTGGTAATGGTCGTTGTGAACCGTGTGTACCAAATACAACACTCTCGTCTTTTTCACGTGAATCATCTTGACGAATATTAACAGCACTATTGACGGGATAGACAACATAAACTGGTGGTTCGTCGGTGTCGTCTTTTCTTCGATTTGCATAATCGGTATTGTTCATATTTGTTCTCAATGGCGGTGGAAGATTTGAATTAACAACACTGTCGTCAACATTGCCACGTTGTTGAATCATTTGTAATGTTGCCACACGTGGAATGTCATCGTTTCTGTGTCTTGGAAAAAGTAATGGTCTTGGTGGAATTTGAGGTGGTTCCGATGGATATCTATCGCCTGTGTCATCATCCTGACGGGTATTTTGTTTTTGAACTGGAAAAAAGAGTTTTTTTTCATTTTTTAAGAACGTTTATTCACAGAAATGCAAGATCTTTAGAAAAAAATAATTAACAGATAAAAATAATATTATTAATTGTATTTTCTCAAAGAAAAAAAATTTATTCCATTGGATTTATCAATTTTGTTGGTTTTCAGTTTTTTTTTTCCCTTGAAAAATGATATTTCTTCTTTCAGAAAATATAATTATTAATATTTTAATCATTTAAATGTTTCAATCAATTATTTTCTTTCCAGAGGTAATTATTATTAAATTTATTGTAGGTATTTATTAAAAAATTAATAATTTAGAAATAAAATGTTGAAAATTATTTTCTTTAATAAAAATAGAAATATTTCTTTGATTAGTAAATTTATCGTTCAAATATTTAATAAAAAACAAATTAGAAATTAACTTTTGAAAACTGTGACGTAAAATAATTAGATTTAAATAAAAAAGAAAAATTGTATTCAAATTGAAAAAATAGGATTTTTTTTTTAAATATACATAATTTAAAATTTAAATTGAAAAAATTAGATTTTTTTAAAAAATTAATTTTTATCAGCCCTTAAAAAAATTGAAACTTACCTAAATTAACAGGAAAGTGTTTGTCTCTAACTGGCAAATTTCCCTGCGAATGATGAATTCTCTTAATTCCAATTTGTTCGGAATTCTCTACTTTTGGATGATTATTTCCTCGATGTGAAGGTGGAGGTGGACTCAATCTCTGCAAAAACGATGGCGACGGTCTTCGTGAATAAGAAGAGGAAGAAGAAGAAGAAGAAGGTGGCGGTGGTCTTGGTCGATTGTGATAAATTTGCGCCGGAAGTGTTCCAATTGTTTCTGCACCTCTATGTCCATGCGATGCCTTTGCATTTGGTCGAAATTGCGGTAAAATATTCGGTAATTTTGTATCGGGCGTGACGGGTCTTCTTTTAAAATGCATTGATTCAGGTTTCTGTCTCATTGGTAGTCGTGAAGGTCTTGAAAATTCTGGTCTTGCTGTTGGTAGCTGTTGATAGTGAAAATAAAATGGTGGTCTTGGTCTTGGTCTCTCCATAGGCGGTGTTAAATCCTCCGATGGTAATGGTGGTCCATTATTTTTTGTCACTGAATCAAGAGGCGATATTGTACTTGTTGTTGTGAATTCCTGAATTGTACCATCGGCTTCATTTATTATTACCACATGTTCCTCGACAGGTCGTTTTATATCTTGATTTCGACTCGGTCCCGGAAATACAATGTAACCATTTTTATAATCCTCGGATAAATTTGGTGAATTATCCGAATTTTCCAAATGAGGTCGAGAATCAATTTCATTTTGTGAATGATTAGAATTTGGAAATGAGACAGGAGAATTTGGTATTAGGGAACTTGTTATCGGTGCATTTGGAATTGGATCGTTCGATTCGGATAATTGGGGAAAATTGAAAATAGAAATTGGTCTTTTGTTAGCTGATGAAGTTTGATCGGATGATGAAATTAGAGGACGGAAGGAGCCTTCGCCAATAATTCCACTGTAGGTATTTTCACCGGAACTGTGACTGTAATAACTGCCGTCGACATTTTGTCTATTGCCAAGGACAAAGGAAACTGTGTCCTGATCGGGGGGAATGACAATATTGCTGGTACTTTCCGGTAACATTGGTCTATTGGAATGAATATTTGGAAAATGAACATGTCCGGAAATAACGGGAATTTCTGATTCTGAGAATTGAGAATTTTTTTCTGTGTCCATTGAATTGATTGGCATTGATGTTACAAGTTGTTGAGATTTTGTTGTTTCGATAATTATTTCCGGAATTGAAGTAGTGGAAATATTTGTTTCCGATTTTAAAGAAATTGGAGATGTAATTTCTTCCTTTGGTGAGGAATATTGATTCTCTTCTTCGTAATCCTCGTAAATGTAGTCAACGATTGGTTTTGTTGAGACTTCATTGTCATATTTCGGGGTTTGAAGTTTCTCAATAGGTAAAATATCATCGTACTCTTCGTATCGACTCGAGGTTTTTGGTTTCCATGTGGTGACTGGAGGCTCAGGGGAAGTAATTTTTTCAGTTGTTGTTGTTGTTGTTGTTGGAGCTTCTGTAGTTGTTGTCGTTGTTGTACTCGTAGTCGTTGTCGTCGTCGTTGTTGTTGTTGTTGGTTCAGTTTTTAGTTCCGTTGTTGTATAAGCCCTTCGTGTAACAATATTTGTAGCTCTAGTCGTAGATTCATGATAAGGTCTATGATTATAAGTACTATAAAGATTGGAGCCACTTTGAACTTTTGTATTTGCATATGAACTTGATATCAATGGATATTTATCCTTTCCATATTTATCCGATGAATATTGAACGGGTAAATTTAAAAAATCGTGAAAACTCGGCGAAAAGGGATTAATTTCATTTGGTCCAATTGCAATGCCATTTTTTCCTTTAATTGTCTTTTGATTTAAATAAGCCTCGACGTGTTTTCCCGTTTCCTCATCGTTAGTGTCATCAATATCTTCATATTGATCTGTGAAATTGACGGCCTTTAATGGCGGTGCTTTTTCAAAGTCAATCTGTCCTGTTATCGGATCTTTCAATAAGGAGAAAGGTTTACCTCCATTAAATGCATAGGGGAAAGGATTTCTGTATCGAGCTTCAGGTTGATCATCAGGTACATTTGCACTTTCTTCGGCAGTTAGGTCCAGGTCGAGGTCTAGGTCATCAAAATCGGCTCGTCTCGAGAATAATTTTTCATTTGTTGTCTTTTCATCTTCATTATCTGCTTGACCTCCGACAATAAATTTCTCTGATCCATAAACGGTGGTCACAATCATCAATAGCCAAAATAACGGTGCCATGATTCGTCCTTAAAATAATAAATAATTTAATTAATTTGAAAAAAAAAAATTTTTTTTTCTGAAATTAATTTAATTTTGAAAAAAAAAAAAATTAAGAAAGTGCCAAAAAGTATATTAGAAGATACCGTTATCGAAAAGCATTACGTCATTCATACAACAGTGGGTCACCAGTGTAACCGCTTTCGCGTCGAATAAGAATACAAGAAACTTAAGAATGCATATCGAGGTTCGCAAGTCATGAGATGCATACAAAATTTTTTTTTAATTATGACACTTTAAAAAATATAAAAAAAAAAAACTTTTTTTTTCTCAATGGAAAAAAAATCGAAATTATTTTTCACGAATAAATTACAAAAACTATCAAAAAAGTGTAAAGAATTTTTTTTTCATTTCAATATATATGGAAAAAAGATAATTTGAAAAATGAAATTGACTTGTCCTGGATTATAAAAAAAAGTTATTGGAGAATCAGGATGAATGAAAGGAAGTTCGTAAACTGTCGTTCGTGACACACATTCCAACAAAATTCTGGTCATCAACAATTTGTTTGAATCATATTTTTCAGAATACGGAGAATTGTCTTTTTTAAATCACCTTTAGGTCAAATGGAGATTTCTCTTCTATTGACGTCAATGGCAATAGATGGATTTTATTTATTTTTTGAAATTTCATATATAACTTTTCTAAAGAAAGTCTACGTTCTTCGAAATATTATTCATAAATAAATTTTTTTTTCCAATTACTCTAAAATAAATACTCAATGAACCAGATTTGAATTCTAGATTTAATAAACCGAGTTTTTTTTTTACTGTAAAAAATTTTTTAAATTAAAATATAAATAAAATGCTATTTATTATCTATTTTTAAGAAATTCTTATTTTTTTCAAATAAAAATAATTATGTAATTATATAAAAAGGAACGTGGGACAAATTAACTGCTTTCTGTTTACGAAGCCTTTTAAATAAGATCCAGAATAGTGTAGAAGATTCTCCTGCTTTTAAACATCACGTTTCTTTACGGTCCTCTCTCTTTTCAAAGCTACTCGCATTCTACAGGGTTTTGTCATTTCTTGATTCCAGAGATTGTTAGAACGCGTTTATTGATCTCTTTGTTTTATGTTCATTACATAATATTCAAATGTAAATAATTATTAAATTAACAATTTATTTATTTATAGAAAATATTTTTTTTTTTTAATTACTTTCAACTTAATACAAAGAAAAAGTATAGAAAAAGATTCTTTTTTTTTTTGTTTTTAAATATAACAATAATAGTAAAAATGTATAGGAATTGATCATCGTGGCAAAAACATGATTGGCATCATTGTACCGTACGTTTAATGACCTCGTCGAGAATCTATATCATTAATAAACGGGTTAACATCCGTTACTATTTAATAATCAACAGGTGAATATATAGTATTCGTTGCGGCTAATTAAATTTTTTTCTATATCAAATTTAATTTTTCTTAATATTTTTATCTTAATTTCATTTTTCTTATTATTCCATTTTTCTAATCACCGACAATTCGACAAATATTTATCAAAAATAATAATTATATTTATAATAATTTGTGAATAATTAACTAAATATTAGTTAATAATTAATAATTTTTAAAAATGTTATTTTAAATATTAAAAAATATTATTTAATAATTTTTAAACGCATTTAAAGAAGTGGACAAAAAATTAATTATATAAATTTCAAAAAATGAAAGTATTAAAAATTTTAAATAATTAAAATTTGTAATTTTTTGAAATTTTCGATAAGGTGTCAATCAAAGATTGTAATTGAATCGAATATTTGTTATACGATAGTTTTGGGTTGACCTACTTTAGTCCAACCTTCGAAAATTGAGTTTGGCTTCAGATTCTGGAATGTAAATCTGCCTTTATGTAAATTTTTTAATAGTAAAAAAAAAAATAATTTGGTTTTCTAACGAAATTTTAAATTAGAATTTGTTCCCTCAATCTTTTGTTATTTTCAGAATTGTTCAAATTTTTAACAATTTTTCACTTTCGATTTTATTTTCGACTTTGCTCAACGATAATAATAATTATTATTGTGATTAAATAATAATTATTAATTTATTTAATGGTAAATTCAATTGGATTTAGATAAATATTCCAATTAAATGAAAATAAAACGTAAGAATACGCGTAGAATGTGAAGTTCAAAGACCTTGCATATTTCGAGAAGGTGAAGGTGACGAAAGGAAATGATAAATTCCAAGATTTCACATTTTAGAGTACATATAGATAAATAAATAAATAATTAAATTAATAAATAAATAATTAAATAATAAAATTAAATATTCTAGAAGATATTATTTGTTAAAAAATTTGCATAATTTTAAAATTAGATTTAAATTTTACAAATCGACAGAAATTTTTCTTTTAAAAATTATTATTCTATTTTAAAAGAAATATGATACAAAAGGGAAAAAGTTTGTTATTTTAGAAGCAAAATCACTATAAGAGAGTGATCATCATCAACTTTGCTGTACATACCCTTAACAGTTAGAAAACTTGAAACTAAACTCGTTTTCTCTGTTGACGATTAAACACTCTTATTGATTGTGTATTGAACAAAAAAAAAAAACTTGTTTTTAACAAAGAAATGCAATTACTTTTTAATTCTTTATTTCTTAAATCCAAGAAGTAATGTATTTTAACGTTAAATTTTTTTTTCCCTATTACTCATTTAGAATTATTGAATTAATAATTGAAAAATATTTTTTTTATAAACTTTTTACTTTCAATTAAAAATAAAATTATGCTAAATATTTTAATAAATGTATTTTGTTTTTCTAAATTACACAATTTTTTTAAATCAATGGTTAAAAATTAATTGGTATTTTTAATTTTTTGTCGTTCATAATAAATAAAATAATATGCGGTCCATAGTTTAATAATTTTTGTAATTATAATTAATTTTTTTTTTAATTGAAAGAAAAATTAATTTATGCTGAACATTTTATTTATTTTTTTTTTTGTATTTTTTAAACAAATTACACGATTTTTTTAAAAATTAATTGGGATTTTTAATTTTTGTGAATAATAAAAAAACAATTTACCTGGACGATCGTCGCACAGAAATATGAAAAATCCTCGATTTTATCCAGGACAATTTTTGAGATTTTGGACTTGACCTTGGAAGATGAAGGCCCTCGATAGTGGTCAGCTGTTGAGAGCTGAGAATCTCTTTTACTCTAATGGAGCCATGGACCTATTGTTGATCCTTTTTTTATTTAATGATTGTTCTCACACGGTTTTTTTTTTATAATTCTTCGCACAACAGTTAATCCAAGATCGTTTAATATAAAAATAAAAGCTTTTTACGCGACTTGCACGCGATACAGTCAAGCTTCGTTCATGAACTGATGATGATGATAATGATGAGGCTGAAGAAGCTTCATCAGGACGAAGAGGGCGATGGTCGAGGGATTCTCCCTCTCCGCATGTGGAAGGAAGCGGCGAAATGTCTGAAAAGAAGACACGATATATGTTGGAGGTGGATATATCAGGTAAATGGACGGTATATTGAAGCAAACATGGAACGGTACGCAGAACAGTTAGACGACGACCTAGATAACGACCTGCCCACGGCCGGCCAACGTGCCAGTTTCTAAAAGACCTTACCCCTCATGCATGTTACACCTTGACCATTCAATATTTTGCCTGGAGGTGGATTTTCATGTATTATTATCCTCCTTTCTTTCCTTCGTTTCTCACTTTCTTTATTTCTTTTTTTTTTTCCCCCGTCGAGCGCAAAGAATTTCGTTATTCGCACTAGCACTACTGTTATTCATTATTTTTGAGAATCAAATCATTTGGAACGCGACCTTCACATTCGTGATGTGTCAATACTTTCCTGCGTCCCTTTCTCCTTTTTTCTTACCATTTTGTCACTATTTTTTTGAGACAAACCGAAATTTCTTCTTCTTCATAATGGAAACGTCAAAAATTATTATCCTTATTTACTCGTTAATAACTAAAGTATGTTGTAGTGTGTTATTTAAATATAATACATTTAAATATATGTTAAAGTATTTAATTTCTTTGCAAAATTGATTTGTTTATGTTTACATTACAAGAAAAGTGCAAATTTTCAATTTCGAGTGATATTATCGACATTTTGATATTCGTATGATAATAAACTTGATGATAATTTATCGAGTGTTTCTTCATTACCGACAATCGTTAATTAAAGTCGATAAAGAGTTTTCATCGCGCCAAAAATTTAAAATTACTTGTCCAACTTGAATTCTAGATGGCGTTGGAAAAACAAAATGGCTGAAGTGACAGTTACAAATTTATTTTTATTTGAAAAAACATTGCAAAAATATAAATGTACATATAAATTGAGGCTTTTTAAATCAGAATATTATTTACAATAATGTAAATATAATAATAAGGAAAATTTTAAGGTATATATGATGATTGTTGAAGGTATAAATTTAATTATAAATGTGTTTAATGATTATGGACAATAACCACTTGATGAGTTGATGCCATTATGTTTTGTACACGGAGTAGTATAAGGGCGCACTCACACCTCTGGCTGCCTGCACAGGCAGCCTCCCACCACGCAGAAAACGTACAAGAGTAAGAGAGACAGAAAATTCAAATTTAAATCTACTGACTCTCTGATTGGCTCTCACTGGCTGCCTGTGCAGGCAGCCAGAGGTGTGAGTGCGCCCTAAGGAGGCTCCACTAGGTGGGCAAAGTGTGAGAAAACCGAGTCCGATTTTCCGGAAATTAATTGCTTCAACTAGGATTAACCTCACTAGCGGTTCCTAGCGGAAAACTCTTGTAAGCTCTAAATTTAAACAGTGGCGCGTGTCAAGTGGTGAGATACCCAAAAATGCATTTATCGTGTTTTTTTTATGTTTTTAGTTACTTGTGTTTAAAAATTTATATCATTTTTAAAACTTGTATTTACAGTCATTATAAATCCACCGAGTAAGTATATCGTCTAATTAAAAACTTATGTAGTTTGATACAGTAAACATAACCTACAATTTCGATTATTATCAAGCACAACAAGGAATTATTATAACTGTGACAAATTTTATTTAAATAAATAAATGCAGTTATTTGTTGTTTTTGTGATGCTGAGACGTGCTTCATGTGCTGTTATTCGTTTTTTTGCACTATATCAAAATCAAACAAGAAAAAGGAGGTAAGTGTTGATGATTATTATCTATTTTCATAATTAATAAACATTCTATTTAATAAACTTTTTGCTCAAAGAATAAGAAATTTTTTTAATTTGTTAATATTTTAAAATCCACATGAAAATTCTTGTGTTTAATAATGTAAAATAATTTTACAGATTCTTATAATTACTGAAAAATGAAAAGTAGTAAAGACGACGTAGAAAAGTACACAAATGTTACAGCACATGCAGATTCTAAGTTAATATTCAAAAATTTACAAAATCAATTGGAATTTGTTAAATTACCTGACAAGAGGTGGTGTTATACAAAAGGAAATGAAACCTTTTTTGGTTTTCAAAGAGTTGAAGAGAATTACAAAGTTTTAAAAAGAGTGGCAGTATTTAATAATATGGAAATAAGAATTTATTTTAACAACAAAGTGATGCCTTTTTCGCCATACATAAAAGTAACTAATGTCGAAGAATTTAATAATCTTTTAAAAACTATTAACGAGGTTAATGTGAATGCAGTAGAAATGACAAATGTAATTTAAAAGAAAAGAACTTCTGATACGAGCGCCTAAAATTTACAAACTTTATACAATTATGGTAATCAACTTGTGAATTATATTTTTGTTTTATTTAGATTTTATTTTATATATTTTAAAATTTGCAATATTATTTTATTTTTAATTTATACATGAAATTTTTAAGTATAAAATAGAAATTTTTATAGTCTCAATATTTTAATATTGGAGGATTTTTAATTATTTTATTGTTATTGTATTAAATATGTAATGAAATGGAAATTAATTTTTGATTTATACAAGGAATTTTTTCATAGTTTTCTATTTTTGACATTTAATATATATTTTTTAATGCGTTTTAGCTATTTAGATGAATGAATTTGTATATATTTATATTTATTAAAAATTGTATAGATTATAATAAATAAGAAATTAAGTGATTTATAAAATGTAGTACAAAAGGTGTCAATAAAAATGTATTTTTTATTGTAGACTATTTACATTATATTATTGCACTTGATCTTGCTGTATTTTTTGTCTTTTATTTTTCAGTTCCGGGAAAGTAATTTTCCTTTCTCTTCGTATTTCGCCAATTTGTGGTTCATTTAAATATGTGTCATCATCTCGATCGCGTTCTTCGACTAATTTAGCTTCTTTTCGTTTTGCTCTTGTCTTTGCTCTCTCAGTATTATTTTTATTCCATTGTTTTGATATGAAATACATCCTGGTTGTTAAATAAAATGTTATTATTCGTCGAGTGAGTGATTCTGCGTGATCTGTGCAACCGATCAATTGTACAGAACATGAATCTTGAAGAGCAGAAGTCACCTGGAATAATGTATCCTCTTCAAGCTTGCCACTTCCTACAATTTTCATTACCGCAACCTCTAAAATGTTAATAAGATTGCATAGCTTAACTGAAGGATTTTTTAGATTTCCTTTAGTTCGTAATTCGATGAGTTTGTGTCGCTCTGGTATCGGGTCATTTGGAGACAAAATTAATGCGTCGCAACAATTTTTGCAAACGACACTTTTTTCATCTACTATGAATTTTGCGAATCTCAAAGAAGCCTTGCGTGCTACATATCCAGCAACATAAGCGTTGGCATAAACAGATGTCTCTGATTCACAATAATCGTGGTCTTGTAAAAGAGTTGTGGCCTCAATTAATGCATCAATATTCGATCCACTATCCAAAATTTTATCAAGTTCAGTTTCCCATTTTTTCTTTCTTTCATTTCTCTCCTCAATATCTTGAATTTGTAAAAGAGCGTCAAATATCTCTGAGCTTGCTACATTTGATCCTTTCGGAGACTCGATCAAAGAATAAGTTGAAATTAATCTGTATAATTGTATGAACAGTCGCGAATCCGGGTGGTCGTTCGCACCACAACTCTCTCGCATCATTCCAAAGAAGCGCTACAATACAACAAAATTATGCATTAAACCATTAATAAAAAAAATATAATTTAAATTTTATGTGGGACAAAATTTTTCAAGTATTGCACCCATAAAATTCAATGTTTTCTGAATAGTTCAAAATTTTATAAAATAAAATCTCAGTTATGTAATGACAATGCAATTTTTTTTAAATCAAGTTTTTTTTTGAAAACATTAAATTTTTATTGACTTTATGAACAAAAGATAATAAATTTATTCTTTTTTAAAATTTTTTATAAGAATTAACTACAACTTGTGAATTACTTGAAAAAAATGTATTTAAAAGTAAATTTCTTTTTCTTTAAAATTAGATGAAAGTGGAAATAAGAGAGAACTTTTAATAACAAGACTAACAAAATAATTTTGAAAAACTTTGATTTTTTTGGGATAGAACACTTAGAAAATTTAATTTCCTTTGTAAAAAATGCGTACTTCCAAGCTATCCTGATTTAATCTAGCAGTCATTATATAACTGAACCCACAGTTTTCTATCAGATATTGACATATTTCTAGGGTGGCTTTCAAAGAAACTTTTAACCCATAGAACGTTTTGTTGTGAAAACATTTATAGTTTTTTTCTGTTGCCACTGATTGCCATTCTTCAAGATATTTTAAAAAATTTTGAATAATCTGTAAAGTATAATATACAAGCGTGAAATTGAATGTTGTATTATTAAGAACAAACATTTAATTGATATTGATTTTATGTAAATGGATCATACTTTATAAGGTTCATTGTCAACTTTTAAGGCATCTATTGGTGTTCTGCTATTCATAGCATTGATTAGAGCCTTCCATTTTTTGCAAAAGGCAATCGCAGAGTCACACTCTTCTAAATCCGGGTGCTTATTTTTATTTAATTCCAAAAGGTCAGCGACTCCAAAAAACTGTTAATTTTTAAAAAGCAGAAAATATTTTATTCATTTGATTAAATCAAAGTAATATTTTTTACCAATAAAATCACGTACTTGGAAAGCCAAGGCGACGTTCATTTTCTCATATAAGCTGGGTCGCAAGTGCTTCTTTGTAAATTTGAAGTTTGCTTTTATAGAAAAATCTTCTGTATTTTCGCAATCCAATAAGGAAAACCAAATTATTAACGCGATGAATCCATCTGGAGTCTAAAAAATTCATGACAGTAAATATCATAGTAATATAATATATATATATATATATATATATATATATATATATATATATATATATTCTGAGTATATATTGAAGTACAATTTTCATCTAATTTCGTTCGAATCGACTAACTCCCAGTACAATTTGTTAAAAGTTTGGAAAGCATTAATTTCAAGATATTACTTTTTTTAAATGTAAACTTACTATATTAGATTTATTTTATTTTCCATAATATGGATTTATTTAAAAAATTGTTGAATGATTCTAAAGTCATTTTTAAAAATGAAAATTTACTAAATTAAGTTTTTAAATTAATAAATAAAAATTGATATTAATTTTTTACCCAAATTGCTTCTAGAAGTCCATGTTTTATTAAGAAATTTCTTACACATTTGACCAAGTGAGGGAAGTCAGACACAAACCACAATCGGCGACTTGAATCGACGATGTGTTCTATGCTGACTTCTTCCTCATTGACTCCAAATTGAGTCCACATTGATCGGTTCCATGACGCTCCATCAGATACTATCGCGTCAATTTTTAATCCTGCATTCTCTGTAAGAATTATGCACTCAGTTATTAACTTGTGCAATACTTTACCAGGTGCACAACCTTTACTTAAAAAACACCCCAAACTTTGCACCCATTTTCCTTTAAATGGCTGAAATAGCATAACGAGTGCATGATCACCGGCTTGATTTGTTTGATTTTCTGGGGTATAATTGCCGAGATAGGTGAATCCTTCAAATTTAAGATTCATTTCATCAAAGTGGATATATTTGGTTAATTTCATCTCATCGATTAACAGGCATCCTACAAAAAAAAAAAATTCTACTCATATTTTAGAAGCATATAAATTTGTAACTATATTTATTCAATTCAATGGAAGAGTCCACTAAATTTCAACCGTAAAAAATAGAATATTTAAGAAATAAAAAAATAAGAGTTGTGAGAAATTATTCACAGGGTTTTTTTAATTTTTGAAAAAGAAGTACGATTTAATTTTCCAAAAAATGTTTTAAAAAAATTATATCTCCTTAGCAACATGAAATACATTTTTCATGATTTAAAAAAATTGATCGTATGAATTTTGAACAATTTTTATTTTTTTAGACAAGAATTCTCAAATGGTCAAAAACATTTTTTTTTAAATTTTAATAATATTTAATAATTTTAGATCCTCGATAATGCAAAAAAGTTTTTCCCTTTAATATAAGTAAAGATTTGATTTTAGTGTACACACCGTGAACATCCAATGGCGACATATCTTTGGTTTTTAATTTAATGCCTTCGAAAATGATTTCCTGAAAACCATACTGGCTTTTAATGAATTTCATGTACCTATTTAAAGTTGTTACACTTGGTAATGGAAGAAGTTGTCTTCTTCGAATGTGTTCATAACCTTTAGGACTCTTGATCCTCAAAAGAATACATTCATAAACCCAATCCGATTGGTATCTTAATCCTTTGTTGCTCTTTACTTTTGAAGTTTCCAGTATGGTTCGCACAGCATTTTGCTCATTTTCAGGTAATTGAATTAAACACTTAACAATGGCTTCATTTTCAATTTTTGAACATTTTAATTTTAAATTTTCTACCTTTTCTTCTAGTTTCTTGATCTATTAACAAATATTTTTTAAATTTCTTATACCTTATAAATTTTGTACTTTGTGTTAAAAAAAATTAGACTGCTTAAGTAAATTTTTATAATTTTTTCCCTGTAAAAATATCACATTTTTAAAGCTATTTTTTATAATAAAAATATTTAAATATTTACATACTTGCGTAAGCTACCAGCTACAAGTTTACAAAATTGTAAAATCCTTTAGATATACATATACTTATATATAATAAGGAAGTATTTTCGAGATCAACGTGAAATTTTTACAGAAAATCCAAATTTAAAAATTGTTTTAAGTAGTGAAAAAGTTCAGAGAATTTTTCGCTTCTTACAATAATTGATTTTTACCTTAAAAAAAATCTATTGTCGCAATTCTGTTAAATTATCATTAAAAATCAAATTTCACTTATCATTACCTTGAACGATGTGCGTTGTTTTCGACGGTTTTCACTTTTCAATTTTTCACGCAATTCCTTGTTTTTCGCGTTTAGTTTTCCGGAATCGTTTTTTTTTTTTTGTAATCGTAATCGATGAAATTTACAAGGATCACAAAATTTTACGCGTTTACCTCTTTTACCACATTCTGTCTTCATTACGTAACCTTTACAATCTAAAGACCTAAAATAAAAAATAAATTTAATAATAATCTATATATATAAGTTAAATGTAACTAAATACTGCAAACCTGTATTCCGATTCATCACTAGCACATGGTAGAATATTTTCCACCTTCTTCAGTATATCTGCAATATCTTTCACATTTTGTGCAAAATTTATATTATCCACATGTACCTCCTTTCCTTTCAAAAAAATCTACCAAAAAAAAAATATATTGCAATTATTACACACTTAATAGAGTACGTACAGTATTTTCTTACCTTCACTATCATATTCGAAGAAAGTACAACTAGTTGCACACTTTCTTCAGAGCAATCTTCTTTCCAGTAATTCCATATGATTTTGCCCTCTTCTCGCATCATGAACCAGTGACAGGAAGGCAGTGGTATACAATGAGCATTTTTATAAATTACATCAAAATTAATTTCTTTTTCAAAATCGTTATTATGAGGAAAATTATGTGTTACTACAATCACACGTGGAGTAGTTTCACTCTTTTCAAATTTTTCAAAAATTTTGGGTGTAGCACCATCCTTTAAACGTGCACGTACCGACGGTAAAGTAAATTCATTTCCATCATGTCTCAAAATATCATTTTTATCAAAATGTAGCTCACAAATGGCATGATGTTTTTTCAAATTTTGTCCATTTGGTACAATTTCCTGCCACCTTCTTAACACCTCTTCCTATATAACATTTAAAAAATAATAATGACTTGAAAAAGTATCCGAAAAACACTTTTTAAAATATTAATCTTCATTCGCACACTCCTTAAAAATTTTCACTATAGGTAATTAATACATCGTTCTCTATTTATTTTATTTTTTTATCGAAAGTACGAATTGATTTAGGTTTTTTATTTTTAAATATAAAACAAATTTTTCAATTTGACATCTTAATTTTTGAAAATAACTATATATACAGTAACGTTTTCAAAACGTTTTCAAGACAAGAACTTTATTTAAAGAATTACTTTTTTAATTATCCAAATATAATTTATACAATTTACAAGATTTACTAAGAAAACAGAATAATTAATACTCACCCTGTTTGGACGAAATAAACTAATTTTTCTCTCTGAGTTTTCCTTTTGATTTTTATAGTCCGAAGACTTACATCCGCGTACAAAGCACGTCGGCATTTCAATATCACGAATTTTGAATTTGATAACTAAAACTAAAACTCCCAAACACGAGAAATCAAAGAGCACTATGAAAAAAAAATAAAAACAAACAATGACGAATATATTCATTAATGCATACACTTGACAGTTATATGACACGCGCCACTGTTTAAATTTAGAGCTTACAAGAGTTTTCCGCTAGGAACCGCTAGTGAGGTTAATCCTAGTTGAAGCAATTAATTTCCGGAAAATTGTACTCGCCTTTCTATGCTTGTGGAGCCTCCTTATATTACTTCGTGGTTTTGTAATGAAGTTCAAAAGAAAGTAAAATATGTCAAATATAACGACAGGAAGAAATGTATTATATAATTAAGGTAAATATTACACATATATACTTAATTTTACAAAATATTTGGATTTATTTTCAGTTTTGAATTAAAAAAAATTTTGCAATCGAACATTTTTCTTTTTTGTTAGGTTATGTATATTTTTTCTAGAAGCGAAAAAAATCAATTTTTATTATTTCTTATCTATTATTTTTATTTCTGGAAAAAAAATATCTGTTTTAAATTATTGTTAGTATTTCTTATCTAATTCTTATTGCTTTAAAATGAAAATATAATTTGATATAATAGAAAAAGATTTTATGCAGTTTTTTGTCTATATAAAAACTTTCTGGTTACATTTTATAAATTTTTATTTACAATTTAATTATTATTTTTAATAATTTTAATATTTCTTTAAAAAAGTTTCAACTTAATTATTTTCCGGAATTTTTTTTTTTTAAACTCAAAATTATGTATTAATTTAAATTCGAATTATTTGTTTAATTTCGAATAAATTTGCTTAAATAATTATTTTTTGATTATGAACGGAAAAATTATTTCTTAATTAAAAAATATAATTTATAAATAATATTAATCGAAATTTAAAAAAAAATTCGCTTTGTATATATGGAAAAAAAAAAAATCTGAAAGACATTATCGTGGTGATACTAATTTAATTTACAACTTTCAATATAGGTAGAGAAAAAAAAGTGACAAGTTGTCAATCATTAAGGATAGAAAATCCGCCCTTCGTTAAAATAGAAGCGACTTCGTTCAATGCGAAGAGCGTTGCCAAGCGTCGCGACGCTTGTTAAAATAATAACACTTTGGTTGCTAAGTACTTGGTGCACTTTGGCGTCACGGCGTTCGATGACCCTTCAATTCTAGAAAAAAAAATTTGAATAGAAAAAAAATTAGACTAAAGAAAACAAAAAAAATTTTGTCAAAAAATTGAAAAATTAGGAGTAAAAAAAAAAGAAATATTGAGAGCAAATGACGTTTATGCTTACGGGGCAATATTATAATAAATTTATACATATATTGAAGGCGAGAGGGAGACGACTCACCTGTTTCACAACCTGAATGACGTAGTTGGTCACATGATCCGCGTTACTTTTCGAAAGCAGGCCTAGGCAGCGCGAGCGAGCCTTCGAGCAAAGTGGAGGCTCAGGCAAAGATACCACGTCCAGGAGTCGCCAGTCAAACCGCGCCCAATGAAACGTTAGGTACTCCGTGTCATTGTTTAAAAATCATCATTATCCTCGTGCGCTCATCATTCTTTTTTTTTCATCGCAAAACACTTTCACTTCATTTTTTTTTCTTCTCGAAATTTTGTTCTCTGTGCAAAAAAAAAAAAAAAATGTTCCATTTTGAAATATGGCTTTTGCAAAAGGACGATCCTTTAAAATTGTCTCGAGAGATCGTTGATGCGTAAAAAACGCTCGAGGAATTGGAGAACGCTTCCTTTCGCTATTTTTTTTTTTTATTTTTTATATTAAAATATTGATGATCGTGGGAAACCGGAAATCGGAATGAACGATCATTGGACATGCAGTCGATTGAAAAACCGCGAAAATCAACCGGACGAGAGCGAAAGTTGAGCAAAAAATGCGCACGCCATTTTGACGCTTTTAAAAATAACCGTTTACGAACTCTCTTTTGTGGAATAAAAAAAAAAAAAGTTTGACATTTAAATCGGTTCCTCGTTGAAATCGTTTTTTATATAAAAGAAGGTGAAAGTGTATATGTGAACAAGTGTGAAAGGAATATTGTTAAAATAATTTTTATTTTTGTAGATAAAAAAAAAAATAATAAATAAAATGTGTTCAGCATGGATGATATTGGGATATTTGGCAATTATTGCAAAAATTGCAAATGGGCAAGTGGATTTAAATTCAACGGAATTGCCAACGATTTATTATACGGAGCCAAATTATGGAAGTTCGAGTTCATCAGACGAGGACAATGCATACAAAACATATACCGAATTCCCAGGTGGACAAATCACGAGAGGTCAAAGGATATTGGAGAGATCAAAGAGTCCTTATTTGTTGCGAGAGGATCTTTATGTTGAACGTGGTGGAGAACTTGTTATAGAACCGGGAGTTGAAATCCGGTTCGCCCCCATGATCGGGATCACTGTTCGCGGCATCCTAACTGCCAAGGTATTTATAATATTATATTAAATCTAATTTGCAAGATTTAATTTTAAAAAAGGCAGAATTATTCCTTATTTATATTGGCAAAAAAAAAAATTTTAAAACCTTCTTTTTACCTATTTTTACAGAATATATTTTACTATTTCCGATAAATAATTCCTATATAAAGTTTCTAGAGAAACAATTTTTGTAAAACGGTATTAGCTTCAATGTTATAAACACATTTTTCTATTTTTACTGGGTCATGAGAAGAAAAAAAAAAAAACACAGAAACAAAAGCGACTGATGAGAAAAATTCTCTGATTCCACGTAGATAATATAGTTGTAAAAAATTCGAAATTTCGGAGAAATAATTTTTAACTTTTTTATTGTTTGTATTTTTACTGAATGAGAAATTGAAATTTTTTTCATTGAAATTAAATAACGAGGATAATTTTTATATGAAAAATTCGATGGTGTTTATATTTCCTTCAATCTTGTGGCAAAGAATACAAAGGGACCTTGACCGCTTTGCATTTTTACAGATCTACTTGCATATATATATATATGTGCAAACTCAACAGATCAGAAAAATTGATCAAATCTATTAATTTTCTCGTATAATGAAGTCTTTATAAAAACTGTGCGTTATAAACCGGTTTTATTTTCTATAAAATCCAAATTATTATTGAAAAATAATATTAAAAAATTAATCCTTAAAAATTGTTTACAATTTTGCAAATTGCAAATTATATAATTTAAATATATTTTTACAACTCAGAGAAATATTTTATTTGCATTTGGAACAAAATTTTATTTAAATCAAATAAAAATATAATCGTCTTTAAAGTCTAATAGATTTTTATTTTGTTTCAAACAAAATTTAATATTAGCAAAAATACAATTTTATTTATTGTAAATAAAATTTTTATTTAGTGCAAATAAAAATATTTGTTATTTATTATTTTTGTTATTAAATGAATTTAAATTAATATAGAAATCGAAAAAAATATTTTTTAACTTTATAATGTGCAAACATGCATCTTGTTAAAAGTTTTTTTATTCTTTCGTTGAAAATGACTAATTTACCTTCAATAACACGATACACGATAAAGTTAGTCATTCTCGATGATTCAGTAACGAAGTATAATTTTAGTCTCATCCTCTCTTTTATTCTCATTCACACAATTTTTTTTTCAAATTTTTTTCCTCGACTTTAATTTTCATTAAAATAAATTTCTATTTGCAAAAATTATCCTTAAAATTTTGTATTTATAAATGAAAAATGTTTTAGTTTTAATACAAAAATTTAATTAAATTATTAAATTCTGATAATTGAATAAAATTAAATTTAATTAACAATTAAATTATTAAATTCTGATAATTAAATAAAATTTAGATTAATTAGCAATTAAATTATTAAATTCTGATAAATTAAAATTCAAAACAATTTATATAATTAAATGAAAATTATTATCTATAATAAAATTGAATTAAAATTTTAATTATTAATCAATTTCAATGAATTAAAACGTAAATGCATATAATGTAAATTGATTTTTAAAAAAACAGAATTGTGAATAAAAATAGAAATTACCAATACGTATATAAATTTAAAAAATAGTTCGCAAATTTTTTAATATAAACGTGTGTGAATGTTTAATTAACTACAATAATTCTTATCAAAAAAGAATACCTCACACGAATCAGTAATCTCGAATTTCAAAAAAGCATTATCGTTTTATTTTCCATTCTATATACCTATACGGATCGAAGAATGTTCTTTGTTCATTCAGTAAGAGTTAAAAGGTAAAAGGAAGCAAGTAGGGAGAATGAGAGTGAGAGAGAAAGAAAGAGATAGAGAGTACACGTGATTGTTAAAAAAAAAAGGAAAAAAAAAAATATTGTATAAGAGGGGAATTACAATAGTGTGTACGTGATCATTTGCCCCCCTTTCCAATTTATGTCACAAAATTGTTAAGCGTAACCAATATTTATGAAATGATCATTTTAATACGAAGCTCACTTTCTATTGATCAAAACCTGATATCTGTATAATCAAAATATGTCGAATTCTTCCCATTTTTTTTTTTTTTTTTTTTAATACTCTTCCATCCTGTGTGTAAATGAGGAAATTTTATTTTAAATGGAAAATTAAATTAACTTTTTTTATAATTGGAATTTATTAAATGAATTATTTATTTATAATTAAATTATTTATTAATAAATAAATTATTTTATAATAAATTATTTATTTATTTGAACAAAATAATTCGTTTTTCTAAAAAAAATCATAAAAATTTTAAAAGTGAATTCAACTTTTTAAATTACAAAATATTTCTATTATTATTTTCGAGAAATATTTTACAGTTTTTATTGTATCTTTTTTTGGGGACATTCCTTCTTTCTTTTTTTCTCGAGCATATCAGATTTTGAAATTCGTAGTCTTTTTTTTTTAATAATAGAAGAGCTTGACTTTCGCAGAAGTGAGAAAATAAAAATTGAAAAGAAAGTTTATAAAATACATTGCAGGTTTTTTTTTTTTTTTTAAAGGCATGTGGGGGAGGAAAATCTCCGCTATTTAACCGTATTCAAACATTCAGAAGAAATCTCGTCATACCAGTTGGGGGTTCTCTCTAATGCGCTTTAACCTTTTCTTCTCACGGTTCCATACTTAAGTCAGAGGATCTTTTATATAGTTTACTATTCGTAGTACTATAGCGACCGGATCACAAAAAAAAAAAACAGTTTTACGACCATCCGCTGCTGCTATAATGAAAAATGGAGCGTATCCTAGTTTGTGGTGATAGCTTTTGTTCTTCCATAATTCTTTATTTCAAAATACTCCCTTTTGTTGTATTTATAATAGTATAAACAGGTCATTTCGATTTTTTAACTACTTGATTAGTTTTGTCAACACTTTTATAAAAAAAAATAGGAGATAAATTCATCATTATTAGAATAACCCTAAATCATTTATCATCCTTTTTTCAAATTCTTTATGGAAAAAATTATTGTCTATTGTTAATATTAACAATAATAACTTTGAATTATCAATAATTTCAAGTCAATTATTATTTGTTTCAATAAATCATAAACGAGAAAGTTTACAGGATTCTATAAATCAATAAAAAGGATTTATTATTATTATTATTATTTTTTATTTATTTGTACAGAAGTAAACCCGTGATAATAATAATTTTTTATTAAATATCATTTTTATTATTATAAATTATATTATATAAAATAAATTCAAATAAAAATGGAAAATTAGGATAATTAATAATTCGGTGATTATTTAAAAAAAAGGAGTGTTTTTTTATTTTCACTTTTTTTTTTTAGAGAGAAAAGAATGCACTTGATTGAAAATTGTGCTTATCTTATCACGTGGCACGAGCTGTGTTTTATTGTGAGGGTAGGTGACGAAGTGTGCCAGTCATATATATAGAAATACTCTTTTTAGTATTGTTAGTGATTAGATATCTAAGTGGCACGATCTCTTGTGTCATCTTCGTGATTCATCTCTAAAGTTGACATATCTTGACATCAGATATATATAAGCGCATTTTTCTTTTATATATACAATATTGTTACCTGAGGATATGATAAAACCGAAACTTTCCTAAATATATATACATTACAATAGTATATATAAATCTCATCTATATCCAGGAATATCATTAACATTTAAAAGTCAACTTTCGAAAGCATTGAATTTATTTTTTTTTTTATGCTACGAAATTATTTTTTTATTACAAATATATATAAATTTCAACTACTTTTAGAACCAATAGCTTCATATTTTTACTAGTAAAATTTAAGAAAAAAATAATTTTTCTTAAAAAACATTGTTTTAATTTTGAAAATAATCCCCATTAGTTTCAAATTTTCGTTATTCTCTTTTTTCAAAAAAAAAGAAAAATAAATCTATTATGTGAAAAAAAAAGAAATAAGATAAAGTTTTCAAAAATATTTGAATCTATTTTTTTCGGTCTGTTGATTCAGTTTTCCTAGCGCATCAGTGCACAGGTGTAAAAATGTAGATTTCAGGGATGAAGTTCTTTGACCTCGCGAGATTGTTCTATATATACAAGTGAATCGATTTTGTTTCAACTTTACCTGGTCGAGTATCAAATATATTCTTGAGTTACATTATAAAATTCAGGCAAGATGTTGTGAAATTGCTGACTACTGCATGCCAATGGCTGATATGAATCACACTTTCGAGTAGTAGTAATAATAATAATAATAATAATAATAATAATAGTAATAGTAGTATAGTAGTAATCAAAGCCTTTCTGACTCACTCGTAAAACTGTAAGATTACAATTCCGCTCGATTTCTTCTCTATACATGTGCTTTGAAAATTGTTCATTCATAAAATTTTACTATAATAAAAATTGTGTCTTGAAAAAAGAGACATGGAAAAAAATTTTTTTAAAACTACATCAGAAATAATTTCCTATAAAAGGGATTTATAATTTAATGAATATTTCTTTTTCTTTCCGTTTCCGCTTTTGTAAAAATTTATAAATTAAAAAATTTAATTTAATTTTTAAAAAAAATGTTCTTTTAATCGGTAAAAAAAGTAATTATTTTTTTTTTTGTAAAAATTGTTTTTTTTTTGTTCATTCGAAGGCAAAGGTTTAGAATTTTTTTTTTTTTCTTTAAAGGAAATTTAGGAAAATTAGTGGCTCATTTAGAATTAGATATTGTTCTAGATATTTGAATTCCGTTCGGTAAAATATTTCTCAAGAAATATTACTTTCTAACTGCATTCAGGAAGATTACATATTATTATTTGTGCTTAAATGACAGTATATATAATCGTCGAATATTTTTTTTCGGTTTTTAAATTTCTTGTATTTTTCTATATATATATATAGAAAAAAAAAATTATTATTTATATCAAACTTTTTTTTTTATTTAAATAAATTGTGTCTGAATTCAAATAAATATATTTGATTCAAGTAAATTTTTAAAATAAATATTTTTCAATATAGATAAATTTTGTAGAGAATTTACCCACGATCAATTAAGGTTGCAACTAAAGAGAATGTTAAAAGTCGTTTATAAATGAAACCAAATGATGGTAAGAGGATTATAGAAAGATATCTAAAAGCAGGCATATAGTCACATGCTCAGGCACAGTGTTTGTGAAGCGTAGGTGTTTGCACTATGGTTTGATAATAGCATTTCTCATCATAGTATATATACAATTTGAACCGTTACTTTCAGACTTGTTAGGAATTCATCGAATAGTTTATATAATAAGATGCGCTCTTTGGTACTCGCACGTGTTTGATTTGAAATCTACGATTATTTTTGCATATTATTTTTTATTAATTCGAAAAAAAAAATTTTTTTTTTATATCAAAGAGAAATGACAAAATTAGAATTTTTTTTCATTTTTTTTTATTATAATTACGAATTAGAAATTCTTTTCCTTTTTTAATTTTATTATAATTACGAATTAGAATTTTTTCTTCTTTTTAAAATTTTTTATTATAATTAGGAATTTTTTTTCAGTTTTTTTTTTTCATTTGATTATTATAATTGCGAATTAGGAATTTTTTTCTACTTTTATAATTTTACTATTATAATTACGAAATGGGAATTTTTTTTCTACCTTAAAAATTTTCTTATTAGAAATATTTTTCTTTTTTTTTCATTTTATTATTATAATTGCGAATTAGGAATTTTTTTTAGTTTCTTTATCTAATTTTATTATTATAATTACGAATTTGGAATTTTAAAATAAATTTCGCATATTTTTTCTTATATGTGCACTTAAAAAAAAAAAATAATAACGGAACATCCTCAAAATTTTACTATACACAAACTTTTTTATGACTTTCTTTTTGTTTCACGTTACATTCAACTGCTGTTGTAACATCATCGGATGAAACTCTTTAAGATGATGTGCATATAAACCTTTCAGTATATAACTGTTTTATTCTCTTTTTTTTTTTAGTCTGTCTGCTGTGCGCACATTAAGGATTACAATGCACAATAATAACAGTAACCCGTCTCTTTTATTTCCATTTTTATTTTTCACTAATTATTATTTCAAGAAATTTTTATTAATTTCTATATATTACTCAAGAAATTCAGAAAAATACATTTAGAAAATTTTTTTGTTTCAGCGAAATTTAAAATGAAAGGAAAAAAAAATATATATTATATGGGTCGAAAATTGTAACTTAAATGTTGAAATAATGTTTTGAAATGAAAAATGGGTTCTTTTGGTTTCAAACCGTAAAAATCGGTGGCCCGAAACCTTCTAATAAGTTGCCGGAAGTAAGAATGCCTGTGCACGTGTTACATAGTCTCGCCTTGTGAATATACTGATAACTTTTACTACAGTTATAAATGCAGAAACAACAATAACAACAACTGTGAAGATTTCTAGATTTACCTTCACGTGCTGCTGACCATTCTGATTTAAAGAAAAAAAAAAAACTTCTTTGTATTAAAGAAAAATAATTATTATTGTTTTTTTTTTTTTAAATCAATTACAGCCTCGTAAAGGAAATATTTATTAATATATAAATAATTATCAGTTTTCAACATTTGAGAAAATTGTTTTCTTTTTGAAACAAAAAAAAAAAAAATTATTTTCTCATGAAAAAGAAAATATAATTAAACTATATTATGTTTCTTCATTTTTATTTTCGTGAAGAATTAAATGTAATATCTTTTGAAGATATAATTTACGGTCACTTGCGTTTATACCGGAAGTAGGAAGCCACCTTAGTTGAATTTAGAAAGGTATCGTATTCTCTCTTGGTTGATGCACCTGTGAAGCGGCAGATGTCCAGCCTAATTCTCAAAAATTAAAGAATAAGGATTATTTTTCGAAACCTATATTATATTTACGAAATAGAAGACGATATTTCAAATTTTCCCCATTAGAAAATTAAATTTTATGTTTATATCGAAGTTACGAAATTCGAAACTAGAATAGAAGATAAAAACAAAAGAAATTTATTTATTCATTAATATTATATTATAATATAATAATATTCATTGCATTGTAAAATAATTTTTTTTTATTGCTGTTTTTACCGTCTAGTTGAATGGTTAATATATGATTGTCAATTATATTGCCCTGGGGTAAAAGTATTTTGTAATATATTTTTTTTTTTTAATGTGAGAGGAGTTTAATTACCAAAGGAGAGCGGAAGGTACAACTTGGCCTAATTGTTAATTAAGAATGGGAAGTTGACGAGAGCATAAAATAGTATATGAATGGGTGATTCAACTTTGCCGCCTCTGCAACTTTTGTACGGGTCACGGATCAACGAGTAGTTCTTGCCCCGTATTAACCTTATGGCCTCTCGCTAATCTCCCCCAAATGAAATCTTCACCCCATGTACAAATAGCACTAAATTATAATTCCCTTCATATTTTTAAATCAAACATTTCTAAATTTAAAACAAAAAACATAAATTTTTGTGAAAAATATTTTTTTTTCACGAGTATTTTAAATATATAAATTTTAAAAAGATTACCGAATATTAAACTATTTTGAAAATAATTCAAATATATGGAAAATTTTGGCTTTAATTTTAATTATATAAATACTTGGAGATAGAAAGTAAATAAAATTATTACAAAGCTTATATGTATATATAATTAACGAGAGACTCGTCAGTCGTTTCTTAATCGTAGAGTAGGTAAGTTCTTTCGAAAATTTGACAAAAGTGTGTAATTAAATTTCCAATTTTAATTATTTGTAATAATTAACAGCCAATTTTTTTTTAATTATATTAAATTAAACATTTTCTATTTTTCTTTTTTTTTTAATAAATAATTATAATTAAGATATTAAATAATAATTTTGATTAATTTGAGATTTTGTTTTTTAGTTAATTAATAAAATTCAATTTTTTGTTGAAATTTAAATGAATTAATAAATTTTTGTTAAACAGGGTGAGCCGGCGGAGAGGATTGTGTTGACTTCGGAGTCACCGTCCGGTCAAACGGAGTCGAAATCGATTCGTCTCGTCGATGGACCAACGCCATATCAAGGCCGATTACAACTTCTACATCGTGGGGAATGGAGAGCTGTTTGCACTAATTCTAGAAAGTAAGTAATCAAATTTCAATTAATATTAATTTTGAATTTAATATTATTTTAATTTGTTTTGGAATCCTTAATGACATTTTTAAATAATTTAAAAAATTGAGAAAAAAAATACTTTTTTCAAAATATTTTTGTAGTTTTACCCTTTGTTTTTAAAAATAAATTATAAATAAATATAAATTTTTTTATATAAATTATAAACTTTAATATTAGAATTTGAATTTATTTAAGAAAAAATTATGATTTAATCATATATTTAAATTTTGCATGAATTGAAATAATTAAATATAAATATTTACATATAATAAAAGCTTTAAATATTATACATCTCATTAATTATGATTCATAATACACAATAATAATAAAAGTGATAATCAATAATATATTTGAGAAACAAAAGAATAAATTGACAATGAAACTATTTCACATTAAATAACATAAATGTTTGGAATTTTCTTCTTTCTAAATTTATCATCAATTAATTTTTAATATACGAATTATTCTATAAATTGAAAATAATAATTCTGTAAAATAGAAAATAATGAATTTTTTGGTTGTTTTTTTTGTTATTCTTTTTATCGTCTTTTAATTTTTGTATTATTCATTATTATATGTTTTTTCTCTATTATACTCGAGTATATATATATATATCTTAGTGTGCCAATCTAACATTTGAATATAAATCTAATTGTAGCGTTACACACACGAGAAAGGAAAACGAGGGTTATATATACAATGTAAAATTACATGGGGGGATTTCTGGCAGGAAATACCAGAAAATTGTGAATAGTGCACAATCATGGTGCATATCACATAAAAATACGATAATTTGAAAATTACATTTAGATTCTGTTGAGCATTTTTCAAAAAATTATATTTTTTCTTCATTGTTCAAATTTTATATCTCCCTTACAATTTATTTACTATTCCAAAGTAAAATATAAAAAAAAAAATTTCTCGTTGCCAGTGACAATAAAAATTAAAAACATTTGAATTTGTAGGCAAAATACTAAACTTTTCACCCCTGTCGATGGTAAATTTGTTTATTGAATTTAAAAAGAAATTTAAAACAATTAAAATTTTTTATTAGTTGGACAAGAGCGGATTTTGAAACTGCCTGTCGAGAATTAGGATTGCAAGGTGGACAATGGTGGGGTTGGATCGACAGACAATGGCCAGCGAAACCTCGACTTTTATACGAACAACCGCAATGTCGAGGAAACGAACCATCTTTACAAAATTGCGATCGCTGGTCGAATAAACAACTTGGTTCCGGAGTCTGTGGTATGTTTTTTTTTACCACTTTGACAATATTATTTTCTTTAAAAAAAAAAAAACGAAACTTTTATTTGTGAATTGTATTTTACAAAAATTTGTATTTTAAATTAATAATTAATAAGGTTAAATAAATTATCATTTAAATTTAATATATAAATTTTATTTGCAGATTATCATCCCGATTTGGGAATAGCGTGCTTACCTCATCATGATGGTGCCACACGGGCAATTAAACACTGGCGGGGAATTAGATTTGAAGGTGCACTTTTTGATAAGCCTCTCATTCAGGAAAACACCCTTTACGTCCGCAGATCAAAATCTATTTTGCGTTATGTCAATATCAGGTAATTACAATTATTTTTTAAGAAAAGAAAATTAATTAAAATTTAAAAAGAATTAGAAAATTTTAATTTTTATATCAAAATTTAACGTTGGGAAAAGAAATACTTTTTATGTTTATTGAATATTAAAAATGTGGTTCAAAAAATGAATTTATAGTAGTAATCAAATTTTTCGTTCATTTCAACGTTCAGAACTTCAAGGCACATTTAATTATATCTTTAAATCATTATCTGAAATCTTCCTTCGAGATTTTTTTTTTCCACCGATTAATCTCACAGGATGACTTTAATTAAAAAACAGAACGTATTGAATCCAAAAAAAAGATTTTTATACAAATAATTTATTACAATTTTTCTTTCTTAAAATTAATTTAAATGGTTATTTAAGAAATATTTTGTTTAAATTTCGCGAAATAACAATATTTATGGATTTATCAATTTTTGAAAACTTATTTCTTATTTTTGTATTATTAGTTTATATTTAATTTTTGTTTTGTATTTTAGCTACGCAGGTACAGGACGTGAAATCAACGTTACCTCTGCCCTACATGTGGAAGGTGTGCCACCACGAATGGAATCAATCACCATCGTTAATTCGGCCTTCAATGGAATCAACATCACCACTCCTGATGCTCCGATTATCATTAAAAATTGCACGATACAAAATAATCAAGGTAAATTTTTCTATTAAAATTTCTTTTCTTTATTATTAAAAAACAAATCTATTATTAACAATTTGTTATTAGAAATTAAATAAAATTTATTAATTAATTTAGAATAAAAAATTAAAATAAATAATTTAATACAATTTTTTGTTTTCAGGTTATGGAATTTATGTCAACAGTTCATCAGGATTGACGAATATTGATAATTGTGCAATATTAGATAATGGAGCCGATGGAATAAAATATGTACATCATGATGAAAGATTGAGCGATCGTCCTGATCGTGCGGATGTCTATGATCTTTGTACATTTCCATCAACAACAAGTCACACATTTCCAATAACAATATCAATGGAACAAAGTGAATATGCTGGAAGAAATTGTCCTCTACATATATTCACTAGGCCGGGTCATGTGATTACTTTACATTTTATTGAAATGAAAACAAATAGAAATGACAGTGCAATTATTGAAATTTTCGATGGCAGTAGTATTGGTGAAAAATTATTAGCACACGTTAAAGTTAAAAATGGAACATTACCACAGAGTGTTACAACAACGAAAAGAAATTTATATTTAAAATTTAATGCACAACCATTTACCGATATGATTGCATTTATAAGATTGACATCGGCTTATAAAAAAAGTTATGATCTTTCAATAACTGGAAGTACAATTGCAAATAATAATGGAAGAGGTATTGCGGCGGAAAAATTACGTTCAGCTCTTTATATTCATGATACATCAGTATCGAATAATAATCACATTGGAGGTGTTCATATATTGGATGGTGCTTTAGATGTGAATATAAGTGAATCGCGAATTGCTTTTAATCGTGGCGATGGTATTAATATCACTGTTGTTGGCGGTAATCGAAATATTTCCCACACAAGTATATCATCAAATCAAGGTTATGGATTTGCTGTTTGGTTAAATGATTCATCATTAACGAATTATTTAAATTTCAATCAATCAACATGCATTGAATATTCGGAAATTTTTCGCAACAAAGATATTGGAATTTTAGTTGGTAATTCAACGGGTAATTCTTATGTGAACATTACTGGCAATTGGTTTAACAGTAGTAGTGAGACGGCTGTTAAAATTGAATCAAGTTGGCGATTAAATCAAGGTTTAATGATGTTACAAATTGGACACAATATATTTATTCAAAATCAAAAATTGGGTATTAAATTAAATCCAGCGTTAAATTTAAAGGGATGCATTGAATATAATCATTTTGAGGAACATATTTTTGGTGGTATTTTAGTGAAAAATCCCCCATATGAGGAATTTAATATTCTACCGGCTGATATTTTAATTCAACATAATGAATTTTATGACAATAGTGGTGTTTATGTGGTGAATTTGGGATTATCGCCTTATAGTGATGTGCAAAAATTATTGTTCACAAGAAATTTTCTCAAACGAAACAATGTTAAGGAGCCATTTGACAATAGTGATATTCAAGGTTCAAGACTTATTCCAAGATCACGTGTCTCGGCAATTGTTGTTGTTTCATCGAGTAATGTGGAAATATTTCGTAATATTCTACAAAATTCCGAATCAAAATATGAAATTGGCTCACATTTTGAGGATCAAAGTAAAATAATAAATTGTACATTTAATTGGCTTGGCTCGGAAAATGAAAGAATAATATATGAACGTTTATTTCATCGTAAGGATCGTTATAATTTGGCGAAAATTGAATATTTACCATATTTATTGCATGGCAGTAATCCAGCTGGTAATATTATTATGTCAATACCAATGTTTGTGCCACAATTTTTATCGAGTGATTCAAAAATTGTTGGAGGCGAAGTCGATGGATTGGAAACATTGAGAGCTGGTGAATATATTGTGCAACGTGATATTAATGTTAGACCTGGTGGTCGATTAGTTATACAACCTGGTGTTACACTTCGATTTCCACCTTCTGTTGGAATGATGGTGGCAGGAAGTTTATATGCCCGCGGTAAAGGTCCGAGTGATATCCAGTTAACATTGAAGGAGGAAATTGTTATTGAGCCAATAATGGACAATGAAACCATAGCTGAAGCTATGACTTTCGATGTGTCCAGAACAATTCCCGTGAGATTACTCGGTGGAAAAACAAATCTCGAAGGAAGATTGCAGGTAATGATTAAGAGATAAAATTAAAATAATTAAATGTGCCTTGAAGTTCTGAACGTTGAAATAAATGAAAAAATTTCATTACTACTTTTTTAGCTTTATTATAAAATATTGCTTTCTGTAATGAAAAATAAATTTAATTTTTTAAATCACTAATGTAATTTTTAAATAATTTATAGAACGAAAAAAAAAATGATTTCGTTCAATTTTGAACGTTTAGAACTTCAGGTACATTTCATTAAAATATTTTTAAATTCAATTAAATTGGAAAATTAGACTTTATAATTTTTTCGATGAATTAAAATTCATCGAATGTAAACCGATTTTCTTTTTTTTTGGCGCCTTAAAGTCGATCCGAGGCCTGTAATAATGTTGAATAATAAAAGATTTACCCCACGTGTTTGAATGAAATTAAAATTAAAAATTTGAGTTACAGGTGAAAATTGGAGAAAAATGGGGAACAGTTTGCAATTATGGATGGACAATACGCGATGCAGCTTTAGTTTGTCATCAATTAGGTTTGACACTCGATCCAGACGATTGGCTATTGGAACGTTCTCAAATCCCAAACGCTGGAACGAATGAAGACATTATTCTCAGTAATGTACAATGTAATGAGGATGATATTGATATAACAAAATGTCGCGCAGAAAATGAAGAGGAATTTGAAAATTCTTGCACCCATGAAAATGATGTTGGTGTAAGATGTTCTGAAGCAGCATGGGCTGGCTTGAGAATTGGTCCATTAGCACGTAGAAGTGATTTACAATATATAACAATTGAAAAAGCTGGCCTTTTAGATTATGCAACAAATGCATTTAAACCGGCGTTGCAAATTGATTTTGCACGTCATTCATTGGAGGGCGTTAAAGTAATGAACAATCTACAGGATGGATTGGGTATTATTTATTCGGATATTTATTCAGCTGATGCTGTTAATACAGCGCGTAATAGTGATTTTTCAAATAATCGAGGTAATGGAATAAGTTTTAAACAATTGGGCCTGCAAATAATAAATTCGAGAATTGAAAATAATAAAATTGCTGGCGTTAGACACAATCCTGCGCTCTCTGCATTGCAACAGAGGGAATTTGCAGGATGGTTTTCACAATCATCGGATGTTGCCGGGGAAAATTATAATCCAATTGTCCTGCCTGATAATAGTGAAAATATTGAATTATCAATGGGACAGGAGACAAAATATCTAATAACATCGAAAATTCATGGACGGGAGATTAAAAAAATTATTAATATTAGTTGTACACCGGGTTATGTTGTTGGAATACAATTATTGAATCCAATACATAATCGAAGTACGGAGAATATTATTATTCATGATGCGCACAATATTAATCATAGGGGTAATATTTGGAATTTAAAGAGAGATTTGTCAGTGTTTCCAGTTACATCGAGTTCGTTTGTTGTTATATTGGAATATCAAAGTGGTAATGAGGCACTTGGAGGTGCGGTTATGGTACTTACTGCTTTGCGTGCGCCAATTCAAGATATCAGCAATCGAATTGTAAAGGGACCAATTCCAACGTTAAAGATAGTAAACAGTCGAATACGTGGCAATCAACATGGAATTTTGGCGTCTTATTATAATCTCTATTTAGACGATCGTGGTAATCATAATCTTCGTAAGGCAAATGAGACAATACAATTAATTGGTTGTGAAATATCACACAATACAAGGGAGGCAATTTTTATACATTCACCCCATTGGAATGTATTTCAATCGAATTTATCAGAAATTTCGATACATGTGAATAATTCATTAATTACAGATAATGGTAAAGGAATATTACAATTTAGTCGCGATATGCGTTATTCAAATAATTTGTTTCATTGGATATTGCAAGATAGTACAATTGAAAGAAATCTTGCCGGTGGTTTTGAAATTTCTCTACCCTATGTTTGGCAATATAATGAAAATTTTACACATTCATTATATTTTGATAATAATACTTGGCAGAATAATGAACAATTTTCATTTATTATCGATGGACATTTTGCTAATTTAAATATGACTAATAATCAATTTGAAAATAATCGTTGTAAAAAGGGTTTAATTTCAATACGTGGTATGGAGAAAAAAATGCAAATTGAAAATAATCGTATTAATCGAAATCATGGACATTTTATGGTTGAATTTAAAGCCGACAGTCAATCGGAAATAATTGGTGAAGTTTATGCTAAATTTTTATTAAATGAAGTTAAAAGGAATTATTATCAATTGATGAATAAGAGTAATCATCAAATGTTCAATGATCCTAGTTATGTTATTGGCTTTCACGGTATACAGAAAGTGCAAATAAATCGAAATTTATTTGGCGATAATCTTCTTGATTATGAATTATTGGCTGGTATTAAAACGGCAAAAATTGATAATGTCGTTGATGTTAGTGAAAATTGGTGGGGAACATATAATGATGATCAAATAAAACAAAAAATATTTGATTTCAACGATTGGAATGATCATGCAATTGCTGATTTTCGTCCATATTTAACTGGTAATTCATTGGATTCATCAATATCGGCGTCATGGGAGCAAACAACAAAAATTGATTTTGATAATCTTGGTGGACAAATAAGAGAAACAATTTCAATTCATGCAAAATCAACGCCTTATATTATTAAACGTGATATAACAGTGATGCCAGGTGCAACATTGTATATTTATCCCGGTGTTGTTATGGAATTTGCTGCTAATGTTGGAATTTTAGTATTGGGAACAATTCATGCTTTAGGAATTGCTGGGAATGAAATAATAATGAAGCCATGGATTAATGATAACTTACAAATTGAAAAATCGTATTTCAAACGCAGTATAGCAAACGAGCCTTTGGAAACGATTCGTCTTTGCAAGGAGGGAAATTGCACTTCAACGACTAATGAAGGCTTTCTTGAATTCTTTAATCGCACAACGCTTCAATGGATTCCACTTTGTGATTATAAATTCACCGAGAGAAATGCACAAGTCGCGTGTCAACAACTTGGCTATGATCCACTCAATGTATTTGTTTCGCGCGATCGACGATATGAACTTCATCCTGGATCGTTGACTCGTATTTGGTCCTGGCCAGAACCGTTACAGGTGAGTGAATTTTTTTTTTTTACAAGAAAAAAAGAAATAAAATCAAATTTTTTCATTTACAGTGTACAGGAAGTGAGGAAAAATTGGAAGACTGTGAAATAAGACTGAATGGCCAATTATTTGGACAAAAATACGAATGTCCATGGGATGGTGAATTTGTTTTTATTAATTGTGGAAAACGTAATTTAGAATTATCGCAAAATTATTGGGGCGGTATTAGAATTGCCAATAGTGAATTTGAACATCATCTTTATGAGCATCGTATACACGATGTTATTACTCATGAAACAGTTCAACGTGTTGAATCAATATTGAAATTTGTCAATATAACAGGCGCTGGAATTTTACATAATGAAAAATCAGCAGCTATTCAATCAATTATGAAATCACCGATTATTTCACATGTTAATATTACAAAATGCGCTTATCATGGTATCAACATGATCTCTCCAACTCACACTGTAAGATTTACATTTTTTTTCTTTCGAATTTAATTAATTTAATCAATATAAAATTTTTTTTTTTTCAAATTTTCAGGTACAATTATTATTTAATCAAATTGATAATGTCTTGGGAAATGGAATTAATATTTTATCGATAACCGGTGAAGGACGCGAAGCTGAAGAAAGTTCATTTACACCTATTAAAGATCTCAGTATTCCTTATCATTTATTCAGTATGGTGGATATTTGTGATACAACAAAAGAAATTACAATTGAGGAAAGAATTTTAATTTATCATAAATATGATAATTATCCTGTAAATTGTGTGAAAATTTTCCGCAGCGCCTATAGAGCAAAACCATTTGGCTTCAGGTTTGTTTATCTTTTTTTTTAAAAAAAAATTCCCCCTTTTTTAGCAAATTTAGATATATTTGAAAATTTCTTTTTTTCAGATTATTACAATTTAATTTATTCAATTCAACGGGAAAACCAGGTCGACCTGACAGTATTTCATTGTACGATGGCGATATTTATAATGTGACAACGGAGAAAATTGTCGAATTAGAAGTAAATGGCCGTCATGAAAAATCATTATTTCGTACACGTGGTCCAAGTTTAAGTGTAAAATTATTTGCAAATGGCGCAAGTAATGTTCATGGATTTATTGCCGAAATTGTCACACTTCCAATATCGGCAATTGGTTTTAATCGCGATGTACAACACAATATTTCTTATTCATTAGTGAAAAATTGTCGCGAAGGAGCAGTAAAATATGCAAGTGCCGGTGAAGTTAATGCAATAATTACATTAGAACGAAATCAATTTATTAATAATTGTGATAAATTTTTTGGCAATTTTACAACATGTAAAGCGGCAATTTGGCTTGATGTACAAAATACACAGTCACTTTATTTTCGTAATAATTTAGTGAGACGTAATCAAGGTGGTTTATTATTGCGCGCCGATTCACGTGGTTCAGCAACATCGCTTAAAGGTTGGATACATAATAATTTATTTGCTGAGAATTTTAATAAACCAGCATTATATATTGAGGGACGACAAAGTAGTCCATATCAGGAAGTGATAATATTTAGAAATTATTTCACAAAAAATAATGCATCATTTGAAAATAATGTTGTATTAAAACAAGTTGTCAGTAATATGACATTGAATTATTTACATGGAAATCTTGGTATGCATTTGTTGGAAATTTCTGGATTCGAGCGAGTTCGTTTACCGATTTATCAAAGTACATCGCATAATGGATTCTATAAGTGAGTTTTTCATTAAGTTTTATTTACCTTCTAAATTCTACTTTTTCTAAATAAATGTAAAATTGTCAGAATTATATAGTTTTTAAGTATATTAATTGATAATTGAAATATGTACTCCAAAAATACTCGAAAAATTGAGAATAAATTTTTTTTTTTAAAGGAATTATGCGATTAATAGAGAAGGTCGAAGTACGATTGTCGCTGAAACACCAGGACAACAATATGTGGATAATGTTTTCTTTAATCCTGACAATGACTACGAGATGTTAACCATTAATCGATCACTGTGAGTATTAAAAAAAAGTGATGTTCTTTTTTTTTAAGAACAGAAATTTTTTTAAACAAAGGTTTCTTTTTAATAGTTTGTATTTTTTAATTGTATACCAATTATTATTTTTTTTCATATGTGAATTCGCATGACCATTATTTACAAAATAACAGCGTTGTCGACATGGAATGGGTTAATAAGTAAGTACACGAGTATAGGAATTTTCTATACTTATTCGTGTGCAAAAACGCATTCATGTTCCATTTTTTTTTTCTTTTTTCGTCGCTTTTTTGCTTTATTCAAGTCATTCTGTCTTTATCGTGACTAATTATTACACACAATTAAAAAATTGTTTCCATTTCAATTTTTTTGCAAATAGAATTTTTTTTTTGAACAAGTATTTTTTAAATTAATTTTTTCAACAAAAAAAGTATTAATTTAGGTGAGAATTAAAAAAGTGTGCTTATTTTAAAAATTGTTTTATTGTCTTGATTTTGGTTTATATGGTTCAAAGAAAAATGTGGATTAATTAATTTTATAATTAATTTCACAGTCAATTAGAAATGTGGCGATCACATGTGGATGCAAGACATAATTGGTGGGGTTACAATGAAACTGTCGCTGTCGCTGGAAGAATTCGTGATCGTGGTGATTCTCCGGAATTATTGCAAGTCGATTATCAGCCATTTCACATGAATAATCAATCAGTTTTAAATGGAAAATGTCCCCCTGGTTGGGATATTGTTGGTGACACATGTTATTTTTATATTGGTGCACCAATGGATTTTTTCAGCGCTCGAGAATTTTGTCGGGTACGTTATTTTTTTTTTTTATTTTCAAACATTTATTTATTTTTTTAATATAAAGTAAATTCGATCAACATAAAACAAATTTTTTTTATTTTTTTTTTAAGTTGTAAAGTTGTAATTTGAATTAATTTGGATAACTGTGTTTTTTTTGTGTGTGTGTGTTAAATGTGTTTTTATATATTTTTTTTTTTTTCAGAGTGCAAACGCATCAATGCCTTTTATTATGGGAAATTATCATGAACTGTGGAACTTTTTGAGAAAGCAACAGGAACGTTTTGATTATTCAGAACGAGTTTGGATTCAACAATTGGAACGCGTTGATCAATGTACAATATTCACTTATCAAACAATTGAAGTCGATATTTGTGCTCAACCGAATCCTTTCATTTGTGAAATTGGTGAGTTTTTGATTTTGAATAATGTTTAATTATTAAAAAAAATATATATAAATAAATAATAATTCTAAATTTGGCAAATTTCGATACTTGGGCTATTTTTAGTTTTTAAAATATAAATTAGCATAATTAATTATTATATATTTTATATTTTATATTGATTTTTTGTATTGTTTTTACCTTTAGATCCTAGAGTTTCAATTGATCCGCTTTCATGGAGAAGAGATATTGTCGCAATTGGAGTTCTGGGCGCTGTGGGCATTGCTCTTGCTCTTTTGGCAGCTGTTATTGCATTTTGGGTATCAAAATCGAAAAATCGAAAACTAGAACGATTAGAGAGAAGAAATTCAATTCGTCAATCACTTCATTCTTTACGATCAGTGGGTTCAACATCAGGTTTCTCGGAGCTTCCTTATCGTCGCAAACCAATATCGGTAATTATTTACTCCTTTTATTTACAATAGAAGTAAATTTTTATATTTTTACGATTTTCCTTCATTTACAATTTCAATTTTTAAAAAAAGCGAGCTTAATTTTCATTTGTCAGTAATAATTTCAATTTCTTTTTTTTTTCATAGTGTAAATAATCTTAATTTAATTTACTAAATAAATAAATTACTAGTAAATAACAAATTTACTAAATTCTATAATTTTTTATAATTTCATGCTTATATTATTTATTTATTCTTGTTTGCAAAAATTTTTTTTCATCCGCTTTTCATTCTTTTTTTGAATAATTTTATGCTTTATTTTGAGAATAAATATATTTGAACTTTTAAAAAAAAAATATTTCCTTTTATAAAAGCCGTGCTTATAAATTTTTTCAATTGTAATTTTTTTTGGTTAAAATTGTAATTGAAGGAAGAATAATTTTTTTCTAAATTCTACTCGGCGTTATTCTAATGAATCTCAATATTCCGCAAGCGGCCAATTCGAGAAAAAAGAGTGGTCCTGGTACCACCAATGAAGGTCAGAATATGTAACATACCCTCTGTTTTATGTCCATTATTAATTGTATAAGCTTTAGCATCGTGTTAAGAACAATTAGTTCTTTTTGTATTCGTTTTAATAGAAATTTTTTTTAATTTTCTTTTTCAGTAAAATTAATTTAAATTGTTCCAAATGTATTTTCATGTCATGCTTTTATCGCAGTTTTGAAAATCATATTTTGGAATTTTTCGAAATTATTATCGTTTTTTTTTCAGACAAAACAGTCAACTGATACATTAAATTCGAGAAGTCTCGATTATAAAAAAATGAATAATGGAAGCTTAGATTCTATGGATAAAACACAACTTAATTCTTCCATGGAAGACAATCATAGCTATGATGTTTATGAGGCGCATAATCCGCGTTATTCTCCAAGTACCAGTGACTTTAAGGTAACTTTTTTATTTCTCATGAAATGAAAAAAAAAAAATTTCTATTTTAAATTGTAAAAAAAAATATATTTACAGGGAGTAAAATATCCAGGACCTGGTGATAATCCAGTTTTCGATTTAGCGTACAGAAATGAAGGTTTCAGAAATCATTCAACATTTACATCGAGAAATAACAGCAATTGGCCATCGGAAGTTAATAGTGAAGTTGCACCCGAGGAAGTTGTTTCGAATCCAATAATAATAAATGATTCGGCATATTTAAATAATGCTTCCACACTCCCATTAAATTCTAGTCTCGCAATGACTGATTCAATAACTGAACTTAAACGTGATATTGAAACAGGACAAACATTTACTCCTGTCGATTATAATAATCCATATGATAGAAGTCCATTGACACCAAGTTCAGAACCAGTGCCGGAGTATTTTTCTCCACCACTTCCACATCCTTATTATTATGAGGATCGTCCAAGGAGTGAGGTTCTCCTTGAAACAAATCTCGATAATAACGAAGATAAACCACTTCGCTCGAAAAGTGAAGTATTACTTGAGACTAATTTCGATACATTTTTACCAAATGAGCCAACGGAGCTCACGCAACTTTCAACACAAGCAAGAAGTAAAAGTCAACCACTTGAAACTGCGATGTAGTAGCAAAAAAAATTCACTAATGTACAAATTTAATTAATCCTTGCGAGTTTTATCCAAATTTTGTGGGTAAGTCATTTTTTTTACAAAAAAAAATCTAAATACACAAAATTTTGTTAAATTATTATTATTTAAAAATTTCATTATTATAAATTTATTACTTATATTCAAAATTTTTATTTATTATCAAAAAATTTATTTTATAAATTTATTAATTTATTATTTTTTAAAAATTTCCTTAGAAAATTTTATTACTTTTATTCAAAAGATAATTTAAAATTTCATTTACCAAAAAAATATTATTTAAACATTAATTAGCTTTATTGATTTTTGACATTAGTCGAAAAAGTGTTTCAAAATAAAATGAGAATAATTTTAAATTAAAGAGGCAATTTTTTGAAATGGATGAAAAAAATAGAAGCTGTGATTAATTACAATAAGATTGTAATTAAATAATAATAATAATAATTATAGTAATAATAGTTCAGAAAAGATTTTAAAAAATCAATCAAGATTTATTCATTGTTAATTAGTGTCTTGTAATTAAATTATAATTGAATAATTAATTGCTATTCATATTTGAAAATTAAAGTTAAGATTGTTATTCATATATTTTTATATATAAAGTTTTACAAAAAAAAAAAAAAAAATTAAAAAGAAAATTGTCACTCCACATGAACAAAAAAATATATAGAAAATATTGTAAATATAAAAAAAAGGACAAAAGCTTGAAAATTAACGCTACACAGGACTTAATGTTAGAATAAATTATTAATTTATAATATGTAAATTAAACAAAGCAACGCCAAAATAAAAAACAAAAGAAAGAAAGTCAAAAAAAAAAAAAAAATTGTTAATTTACGTATCTAACAATTACGTAGCATTTTTTGGACAAGACATTAAAAAACCCTATGGAAAAATCTTTTTTGATAGAAAGTTTTATTTTTCTCTTTAAAATTTGTAAATATTTTCAATTTTTGTTAATTTTTTTTTAGCACCTCTTCTATTTTTTTCAGAATTTTTAAAATTTTTGAAAATGAAAATAAAAATTGCCTAATTCTATGGAATTTAAAAATTATTTTTTCTGAATCGACAATTTTAAAAATCACAAGATTTTTTTCAAAATTGCAATTATTTAAAAAAAACAATTCTATAATTAAATTAAGCGAAAAATGGCGATTTTTTGTTTTGCAAAAATCTGTCTCGAATTTTACTCGCAAGGATTATGTAACATTCATAGCTCTAAGGTACCCTATGATCTCATTTTTTTTTTTATATCACAACTTTTTTTTCCAAAAGAATTTTTGTGATTATGTATTTTTTTCAAAAAAATTTTTCCGCTTTACGATTAAAAACAGAAAATTTATTTCAAAAATTCGTTAAAAATCGTCTGGCCAAGAGGCAAGTGCAATAACATCAATTTTCTTGAAAAGTAAACTGAAATTTCTGTTTTCTTTTTTTTTTTAAACAGAATTTTTCCCCGTATTTAGAAAATTGAAGTTTTTTTTGACAAATGGCATTTTGCCTCGATTTCTAACGTTTTTTTTTTTTTCATCATTACCTGCTATCATACATATATTGTAAATGTGTTCGAATTATAAGTAATTTTAATGAAAATTGACACATAAAAAACTAAATGTACATTTTTTTTATATATATTTTTATAAACGGTCTACTATAATAAAAAAAAATATGATATAAATTTAGAAATAATTTGGACGCGCGTTTAGAGAATTACTGCCAATCGTTTAGATATATTATTAATTTTTGAATGTTGTGATATAATACTTAGCGAGTGTAAAAAATACGTGTAATTAATATTAAATCTCCGTCCATTATTGATAAAACAATGACGAAATCACTTAGCATAATATATATATATTTTTTTTTTTTAGTCATATCTGTTATTTATCCGAGTCTGTCGCGATTTCGTAAATTTAAGGATCGAATTTTAATTTTATTTTTTAATGGACAATTTGTATAGTTTTTCTGCGAACAATTTTTTTTGTGGTACTATACTTAATTTACCATTGTGTTCAAAAAAAAATTTTTTCCATATTTCTTAAAATTATATTTGTTTAGAAAAACTTAAATGATCATAGTTTTTCGAAAAAGGGATTTTTTTTTAAATTAAATATATTTTAACGAAATATGGAAAATGATATTTTTCTCGATTTTCTAATATCGAATAGAACTTTAAATTGGGGAAATCCATGGGGATTAAAGTCGACTGTTTCGTTTATTATTTAAAAGAGAAAATCGAACTTATGGTGAAATTTTGTCATATATATATAATATGTACACATACGCACATTAGAATGTATTAAAAAAATAATTTTATATCTGCGACTTGTTAATAAACTTTTATAAATATCAAACTGTCTTTTTTTTGTAAATTTTGAAAAATTTCAAGTAGGGAAATAAATGAAAATTGTTTTTTTAAAACAATATTTAATATATTATATTAATATATAGGCATAACATAATAATTAAATATCCATATATAATATTACATATTTATTTAAAATATAATAGTATATCAATGTAATAATTTTTCTGTATTTCTATTTTTTTTTAAACAGATTTTAAAAAAGAAAATTCAAAAAATTTGAATAGCACTTGAAATTACAGAATTAAATAACTAATTTCTTAATTATTTTCAGTATATTGCTATATAATACGAATTAAATCTATTTTTTTTTTTTTAATTATAAAATGTACATTCGTACATATCTACAATCTTTTTCTAATTTTCTATGATATGTTAAATCTTGTGAAAGAAGGCATTTCATTTGCTGCGCAATATTTAATATCTTCAACTAAAAATATCGACATAGTATTTTAATATACGTATAACATAGACTTAATAAATATTTTTTCTAAAATATAACAATCGAATAGGAAAACATTATTATTTAAATTTTATTTCATTTATCTAAAAAAAAATTTTAATTTTTAAATTTTAATTTTAACTTCTTTAATTTTATTTACATTCTTTTTTGCGATTTGGAAAATAATTTTCCCATTTTTAAACAATAAAAAGCTAAGCATTTTACGTAGTGATCAATATTCATTTTTTTTTTTATATCGGAATGTTTTTTAAAGTATGGAATACAATTGCACAAAAATCGACGACTTTAACGAAATATCGAGTCGAAAATTAAATCTACTGCTCCTTCGACTTGTTCGTTGAGCGATTTTATTTTTTTTAATTAACAATAGTTTTTTTCCACTAAGAAAAAATTAATTATTTTTAAAAATCAAGAGATACTTTCATAATTAAATCTAAAAACTTTAAAAAATATTTTATATGTAAAATATTTATATACTATATATATATATAATATTTTTTTTTTAATTAAATTTAAATTAATTCCTTTTACTTTTGTTTCTTGATAAAATCAAATAAACTAAAAGCAAAACTGCAAATTTCATTTCACTAGCTAAATATATTTGCTACACAATATATTAATATATAAATATATTTTTTTTTTATTATTCTTTCCGGATTTTGGAAATTTAAAATATTATTTTAAACGTGAAAAATATTTGCAAAAGTAATTTTTGCAGAAAATTAAAAAAAATTATTAAAATTAATATTTTTCACGTTTTTTATTATCTCGACTCCGGCCTGATATGTATTGCACATTTTTTATTGATTATCATTATTTCTATCATTATATGTAAATATTATTAATATTAAAAATATTAAAAATATTAAAAATTATTTTTAAAAAACTAAAAAAAAATTGCACCTATTGACTGCTACCAAATAAAGGTGTTCAGATCAATAACAATCAGCTTTAAATTCACTAATCATGCAAAATAGCAAAAAAAAAATTTATAAAACGGACATTTAAAAACTAATATATAATTCACTTCCTATGAATTTGAATTTTAAAAATAATTCAAAATTTTTAATTATAAATTTTATACAACTGATTATTTGTAAAATTAATTAATATAAATATTCTTGTTCAAAAATGTAATGAAATTACATTTATATTCAATTTTTAAAAAGAAAAAAGTCTAATTTTATGTACTTTTCTAAAAAGTACACAGTCTTTTCTAAACATATTTAAATATATAATTATATATAAAACAAAAAAAAAAAAGGGAAAATTTCTATTTATATTAGAAATGAAAAAAAAGAACACTGAACGGAAGACTGTTGTAATATTTGCTGTTTGTAATTTTTTGTCGATGCGTTAATATTATGCTCCCGTATTTATGAAACGGAATTTTTTATTTCATAAGCGATTTCTATTTTGAGAGGTTAAAATAAGAAAAAAAAAATTGCTTCACTATAAACGATATACGCGCGCTTAGATATTTAACAATATAAGATATACATACATACATGGATTATAATAATATTTTTAAATTCAGTGGCCTTAAATAGCGTAACCCTTTCTTTTAATATCGACTTTGGACTATTTTTTAAAATCCTGTGAAAGGAAAATTTCCTGCTAACATTTTTTTTTTTATATTGATTTTCCTTTTTTTCTATAAAAGAAAATATTTTTCGTAACAGTTTTTTTAAATTTCCTTTTTTTAAAATTGGACTTTTTAGTCAATTATATAATAATCAAAAGAAAAATTGTCAAATTTTCCAATATTGACAAAAAAGATTTTTAATGTAAAACAAAATTGTTTCCAATTTTTAATTAAAAAATAAAGAAAAATTTTTTTAATTAAAAATGAATTTAAAAAATTAAATTTTTAAAAGAATTTCGATGTTAAAATTAAAAATTTTATGAAAATTTTCATATATCTAAAATTGATGAAATAATATAGGAATTTTGTAAAATCGCAAAAGCGAAATATTATGCGGTCAAAAATAAAAAATATATATTGCAAATATATTTATATATACGATAAGGCTGGCTCTGTCTCTAGACTAGAAAGAACGTGTCTCGTTCGTGGACACGTCGAAGACTACGAGAGCTTCTTTTTTAACTACAGAGAGAAAAGCAGGAGTTTTCATTTTTACTATTTAAGAAATCTCAAAGATAAAAAAAAAAAATGTTTACAAATTTTTTTTCTACTTTTTTTATCTACAATTTTTTCATCTTGGAAAAATTAAACCTCAAAAATTCAATCATAGGACTAAAATTAGAAATTTAAAAAATTTTTGTATAAAAATATTTATTTTAAAAATTTTCTTTTGAGATTTCTTAATTTCTGATCTGAAATAGTATTTTTTTTTTTTTGTTCACCTTTTGAAAAATTCTAGTCGTTTGGCGACCAGCACCTGCTGACTTTTGTGTTTGTTTTCGTCTCTTCAAAAAGGGATTCATCTCATCCCTTTGGCGTTTGTGTTGAGAGAAAAAAAAAAAAAAATGAGAAGGGAAACAAGATCACACAAAGTGACTTTCAGAGGTGAGGCAAGGCATTGACTTGTACGGCAATCGGAACCGGTTCCAAGCGAAACTATGTACAATTCAATGTTGTACTAGTCGCATGATGCTTGGTGAGATGTAAATTTAAAAGGTACAGTGTACTATCGGACACCGGAATCTGTTTGCCAATTCCTAGCGGTGGAATCAAATCCAATCGCGTCTCCTGTGGAGACTGAAGGCACTCGGCCGGCGTCAACTGCAAATAAAAAGACAACAAAATTTTTTCCCTCAAACTATTGGCAAAATTTTTATTAAAAATTAAATTGATAAAAATCAATTTCAAATAATAAAAATCAAATTTTACAAATAAAAAATTCAAATTCCTCTTCAGGAAAATTCAATTTTAAATTATATTTTACATTTTTATTATTTTAATTATTTAAACAAAAAATTTAATGACTTTAAAAATTAACAGAAAAAAATTCAATTATTCTTTTAATTGTTGAATAAAAGAGAAAATTGTCATAGAATTTAAAAATTAATTAAATTGAGAAAAAAAAAATGTTAATTTAAAATTAAATTATTGTAAACTTACAAGAGTCGCCTGATGTGGTATTGCCGAGACACTGGTGTGATTATAGTAATTTGTTGGACTGACTGGCGGTGAGGGATGAGGCCAATAGAATATTTGCGAATATGTCGGTGGTGGAAATGCAGATGGAGGCGGATACATTGCTCCTGTAGTGAGAGGTTGCTGTATTATTGGATTTCCTAGATGAAAAATAGAAGAAAAATTATATATTAACAAAATTAATTTACAATTTCAATTAATTAACTCTAATTTATTTATAAATTTTAATTTTTTAATTTAAAAAAAAAAAAAAAAAAAGAATTCACGTTACTAACCAAAAAGAAGTTAATAAATGTTTTTATGGGGACAAGAGTTATAAAAGTGTTTCGAAACGAAATATTGTGACACCAGGTATAGAAAGTTAATTTTGCATACGTGAAAAACACCAATAGCCAAATTAACACAGAAACCATGATTTCTATATTTACAAAAAAAAAAAAGAAAAATTAAAAAACTACTTGTTCTTTTACCAATTATTATAATTCCGAAGATACCATTCTGACTCGAGTAAAGTAAAATTAGAAAAACCCCGTTTTTCACACTTTAAACAGAACATAAATATAAAAACCCTTTTTTTAAATTAATCATAGAGAGTTTTAGACCACATGATATATTTGTAGAACTGACAAGGAATCAAAAGGCTTGTTTTTTATTTTCAATTTTGTTTAAAAAAATAAGTAATTAAAAATAAAAACAATTTTCTGTTTTAATTATTATTTTTAATAGTTTTAATTTGAATTATTTCTGGAGGAAAGAAGAAAATTTTTTTTTGATGTCAGTATAAAAAAAGTCTAGTGAATCCTTGTCAATTAGGAATAATGATTGACTTGGCCTACCTGGAAGCACAGAAGTTAGTATTGTACGTAGAAGTCCCGCTACCAAATCGCAATTGACACTGCACCATTGTGACAAAATACTTAGTAAATTTGTACGTACACGTTGCACCACCTTTTGCTTATTTTTTTTTTTTTGCCCTGACGCCAAATTACCAAATACATTCTCTCTTTCTTTCTCTCATTTCTCACCTCCATGACATTCAAAAATTTCAATAAAGCTCAATTCGCTCAGGGAATTAGAAATTTCAATATTCTCCATTCACTTGAAGCTTATCGAAACAAATCGTACCACTGTTTTTTAGAGAGCAAAATAAATAATTTATATAAAAAAAAAATATATATATCCAAACAATTTTAAAAGAGTATGTTAACAATTTTATTTTAAAGTATAAAGAGAAAAAATTAGTTTTCGAAAAAAAAATGTAATTTTTCATATAAAGAATTTATAGACATAGTTAAAGTTAACAGTGATACGATTTTCTTTATTTTATGAAAGTAGTTTGCTTCACTGAAGTAAATTATAAATAATCGTCCGTTCACCAGTTCACAGTACAGGCCCCGGAAACAGCACCAAAAAAAAAACATTAAGACCAGTTTTTTTTTCCATTGTCAATTGTTGACAGAACGTAGCAATATTGATAAAGTTCCATAATAATAATAATAATAATGTGAAAAATTAAATCTAACTCCATACAAATTTCCACGTATAAAAATATATATGTCATCCATTAAAAAATTTCACAAAAATTAATAATTTTCGATTAAAAAAAATCGTTAATTTTAATATTAAAAAATAAATAATTTTTTAAAAAATGGACCTTAAATAATTTATAGAAATAAAAAATAATTTTAAAAATATAATTAATTTTCGATGAAATTTTATACTGGTTGACAAAAAATTAAAATAGTATTAGAGCCATAGCATCACCAACAAAGAAACAAAAAGAACTGCGAGATTTTTTTTTTTGAGTAAAAAAAATGATTGTGGAACTGTGAAATAAATTGCTGTTTCCATAATTTTTGAAAAAAAAAAAAAAAAAACTAGAAAATTCTTAAATTTTAAACGCAATTTCGCATGTTTAATTAAAATTAAAGTGTTTCTAAAAATCTAATATTTTTCTAGAGTTCTGAATGAATTTTTTCAATAAAATTTCCATTTTACTATTATAAATATCATTCAAAACTCTATTTTTCGGGGTGTAAGCAGGCATCTCTGGTAAATTATTGTTAGTATTAGAAAAAATTGCAAAAAAAAAAAATTCAAAATATAGCCATTCCCCCCTAAAATAACGTTTTGTAAATCAATAAACTGATTAAAACTTCTGATAAAAAATTCATCTACTGAATAGAAAAAGAAAACCTAATATTAAATATATATTAAATGGAAATATTATAATAATGCAGAAATTTTAATTTTTATTCTAAAAAATATTGTCAAGTTTCAAAACAAAACCGGTTTTTTTAAATTCAACGATTAGCCACTTGAAATTCCAGTTTAAAATCGTATATTTAAATTTGTACTTTGAACTTTAAGCATTGATAAATTCAATTGAAATGAATAGCAATTTTTTTTTCTCCCCTTATCATTTTATTTCTATATCAGTAAATAAATTCCTCAGAATTTTTAAATTTTATACCTTGTAGAAAACAAAAAATTTGACAAAAAAATAATTCTACAACACAAAAATTCGACGACTAATTTCCCAAACTACCACCACTTGGGAAAAAAAAAACACCACAGAGCATTTCAGATAGGTTTATAAACAAAAAATTATTTTTTCTTTTGAACATAAACCATGCTGAAGATGAAAAATGAACAATGATAGGCGTTGGAAAGAAAAAAAGGGGGAAGAGAGCTTAGAAAAAAAAGAAGGGAGGTAAACTGTTATTAAAAAAAAAAAGAAAAAAAAATAGTGATAGAAAATCCCAACTGTTATGAATTTGATCGAATCGTCACGCACCAAAGATACCTGCGAGCCCCGTGAAATTACTATTAAAAACGTAATAGGATTGTGATGACCGTACTTTTTATACCCGCCATAAAAAACGATTCATGCAATTTTTTTTTCCGAAAAAAAAACCTCTTCATGCAAATATAATAATTTTCGCATAATTTCCATTTTGAATAAATGAAAAAAGGCGTCCCAAAAAAGGTTTATATAAAAGTTTATATAGAAAGAATTAATTTTCATTGTCTCGATTTATTAATCTTGTGTTAATGAATGAATTTCTATATTATACAAGATGAAAAAATCGAGGCGGATATTTAAAAAAAAGTACGACCACCCTGGCATAAGGTATTCAAGGATAAAAGACCACCAAAACCCGGCAAGCTTAAAAGATATCCACGAGACACGATTACATTTATTAAACATGATTATTGATTACTGGTATTTTTTTTTTAATAATATAATCATCGATATTACAGAGTATACAAATAAAAAAAATTGTTGTGCGTGTAGATGTGCTCGTACTTTCGTGTGGATGTGTATTTTCTTATAGCTCCCAATTATTTACGTGTAAATAAAAATTATAATAATTTCCTCCAAAAAAAAACGAGATTAAACGGAAACATCGAGAATTCCCAATCCAATTTACGCTACGAAGTGCATGACCATTAGTTAGCTTTCGCTATAGGGCAAAGGCAGAAGCTCTAAAATATCTCTTTCTATCTGAAAAAAAATTCCAATTTTTTTTTTTCTTTTGGAACTTTTGCTCGATAGAGAGAATTTTCGTTTCCCAGCTTTTTCTAAATTAGTCATAGAAGAGCCTAAAAACTATAAAATAGAGAAAAAGCTGCAAAACTGTCGAAGAACCAAAGAAACAAAAAAAAAAAAAAAAGAAGAATACAAAGCGTGCTGCGAATTTATTTCCAAAAGGAGGGAACACTCATCCGACGAAATTGTTTTACAAGTAGCCCTAAAAAATCGTCGCGCATTTTTTAAGAGATTTTTATCACATATATATATATAGACGGAAAATAAGCGACGCCGTCAATCACCAAATTTGTTAGCCATCCACAAACCAGACAACACATTTGACACAAGGTCACGTTATAAATGCAGCTTTTATGTTCAGTTAGTACAGAAAGTAATAAAAATAGAATTATTTCATAATATTAGAATATTTTTAAAATAAAATAATCTTTGCCCATATTTATTATATAATATTCGTCGTATGAATCCAGCGAAAGCCAACGGAATGATGCATTTGGTGCACATTTTTTTCTTTCTTTTTTTTTGTCTTTTCGTATATTAATACGATATCAACAAAATGAAAAGAAATTTTTTTTTTTTTTCTTCGAAATTCTCCGAGAAAAAAAACTTTTTGCGGATCGACTTTTTGTTATTTGAAAAAATTCTTGAAAATTAGATTTTGGAAATTATTTATCAATAGTCGATCCAAGTTAATAAAATAAAACCTACTGCGCAACAAGAATGTGTGCAAGTCGTCAACCATTATAAATTATAAAAAACACATGATATATATACATCTTCGAGATACTTTTTATCCCTAGATGCATGTCCCTCCACATCCCACTACATGCGTTCAACCAAATTACTAAAAAAAAAAAAAAACGATTTTTTTCCCGATGCAACGAATCATTATTTTCAATTTTAAAATTTCTATAATCGTGGCAAGAATTATTTTCAATTAAGAAGAAAAATTCATGAATCATTGCAACGAAAAAAAAAAAACTCAGATAATTAGCGTCTCTATTCAACAATGTGCTTGAAATTTTCTTTTGTTTCTTCTTTTCAAATTTTTCATTATTTTGATTTTATTATTTCCAGTTTCCATTCTAGAAATTAATTATTTTTAATTCTTTTTAATTGCAAATAATTTTAAAAAAAAAATCAAATTTCAAAAACATTAATTGAAAAAATTTTAAAATATCTAAAATTTCCTGAATTTGAGACTTTTTTTTTTTTTAATTCCCGAGTAATGTGTGATAAGCACTGCGTAGAACGTGAGACACCGAAAGTAAACTAAATTCTAAAAGCTGCTCACTCTTTGGCAAAGAATTTATATTTTCAAATTAATGAAAATAAAAAAATATATATATTTTGCAAAAGAGTATTTTCTCTAAATTAACTATAAATGGAGCATTTAGCACAATTTTTATGATTCAAAATTAGAAGAGTTAATAAAACAGTCAAAATAAGTATATAAAAAAAAAAAATAAAAAAATAGTGCTCCCAATTATATATTAACAATAAATCTAGAACAAAATTATCAATCAAAAATTAATTAAGTACAAACTTTGGCTCTTTTGTACTCTTTTTTTTGTGTCGCCCATTTTTATTTTCAGGGTATTTAGGGGCGGGGCGGAATCGAGGAATGTATTTTCAAATACGAGAAAAAAAAAATGCCTACCTCCAAATTAACGAAAAAAAGGTAATAAGCCTTAAAATTTTCAAAATATAATTTTCTACATTATAAAAAATATAACGTTTTTCTATATGAAAAAAAACACGCACACAATTTCACGGAATGTAAAAAGTTTACAGTAACAACCAGTTGATTTCTTTTTGAAACTAAATATATAATATATACTTAATTAAAAAGAAAAAAAAAATTATGTAAATAAACTATATATATATTACAGAATAATTTCTTATATTTTTAAGATTTATCTTTCTAAAATATACTATATATATTTTATAATTAATAATAATAATATATATATAAAAAAAATAGTACCGTTCTCTTGTGTGTTTTAATGTAAATGCAACGATTATTTCTAAGTACACTTTATCACCATTAAAAAAGTATTAGAAATTTAATATTAGAATTCACAATATATCTATCTATATAAATATATATATGAAGCAAATTTTTAAGGCAATTGCTTCATTAATTACAAAAAAAAAAAAACACTATGTAAACTTTTATAAAGAAAAAAATATCAAAAATTTACGTATATTACAATTTCTCAACAATTTTTTTTTGTATGGAAGAATTCGTTTGACTTTAAAAAAATAGTAATTGCAATTTGTTTTTTATAAAATTACTATTTTCAAAATTGAATATTAAATAACATTTTCAAGTAAAAATTTCATTTTTTAAATTTTTTAATAGAAAATTGTCACTTGCAAAGTTAATAAGGCACTTAATAATTATCTTATCTAGATTGTCATTAATTGGGAAGAAAATTGAAATTCTCAGCTAGGAAAACCGAATTTCAATTGTTTGACAAAAATATCGGCAATTTAAAAAAAAAAAAACGAAACTACAACTTACAATGTTCAGAAATGAAAATTCGATAATGTTTCTATTAAATAACAATAGAAATTCATTGAAATAGAAACTAGAAACTATTTTTTAATATGAAAATTGATTATTTTACTGATTAATATTTTACAAATATTATATTTATTTATCGAAATTAAAAAACTAACATTTTTTTTTTTTTTAAAGGAAATAAGAATTTTTTTCTGACAAAATATTTCGCATAATTGAATTTTTATTTAATGAATTTTGTTTCAATGAATTAGAACGTGTAAATAAAAATTCATTCAAATGAAGATTCGATGAATTGTAAATTTTGGCATTTAAAAATTCGAGACATATGAATAAGCACGAAAGCTAATTTTTTCGAATTAGGAATTCTGTACAATAAAAAATTCGAAACATAAAAATTTTGTTGAGTAAAAATTAGTTTTAAAAAGATAGATAGAATCTTATTCTTTAGAATGTTAATTTTGCAGAATATTTATTTCTTCGAATATTAATATTTTAGAAAATGTAAATGATCAAAAATCAATTTGACAGAAATTTAATTTAATAATTAATTAGATAAATAATAAGGCGGAAACTTTAAACTTGACCAATCAGAAATTATTAAAAAAAAATTGTGATTCGTCAAATTTAAAGTTTCCGCCGAATTATTTATTCTCTTTCTGCAAAATAAAAATTTTTTTAAATTACAATTCTGCAAAATTAATGTTCTAAAAGACAAAGTTTCGATCAAATTGAGATTCGATGAAATTGAATTTCTGACAAATTAATTTTCGTCTAAATAAAAATTCTGTCAAATTGATTTTTGACCATTTGTCATTTTCTAAAACATTAATATTCGAATAAATAAGATTCTATTAAATAAAATCTATCAAATTAGAACTTATTCATGCATCTCGAAAATTTCTGTTATCTTAGAGAAATATTTAAAAAAATTTCAATTTTTAGTCAAAAGAAACGATTATGGAATTTTTTCACGGAACATTGCTGTTTCCCTAAATTTGCGGATAAAATTGAGCAGGATAGAGACCGTGAGCGGTGGCCGGAGTGGGAAATGCGGCAGCAGCAGCCGCAGCTGCAGCAGCGGCGGCGGCGGCAGTGGCTGGCGTTTGCCATTGGCCACGTTTTGAAGCATTCGCCGCAGCAGTTGTGGGATCAGTTGGAAATGCTGATTCCCAACTTCTCTTCAATCCCATTAAAGCGGTTGGATTTAAGGGAGTTTGAATAATTGACGGCATAATACCGTGTGGTTGTTGAGCGCGAAGAATAGGATATCGCGATGGTACATTAAAGAGTAAAAATGGCGCCTGCGGTTGTTGTGCCGCGTGAAAAGCGGCTGCTGCATGCTGCGGTGACATGGCATAGGATGGAATTTGATGTTGCGCCGGCGCTGGTAGAGCGAGGGCTTTACTAGTCGCGTTGGAGGTAGGCGGCGATGTGGGCGAATTGGAAGTGGGCGGTGGATTTGAGGCAAGTGCCATTAGCCAAAAATCTTGATTCCTGAGTGCTTGTGCTTGCGCTTGTGCTTGGGCTTGTGCCTGTGCTTGCGCTTGCACAAGTGCATGAATATCCCAAAGGGGTGGTTGCGGCGTTGGAATTGGGACTGGGGCAGCGGCGGCGGGCGGTTGATGATGTGTTAGAGTCGCGGGTGATTGCGTTGGTAACGTACCAGGTGAGAGAAGAGCTTTTGTCTGTGGCGAGCAGCCGGTTAATACCAGATTCATGTCTTCGCCACTGCATTGGAACACCTCGATGTAACGCTGCTTCTTGCCGAAAATCATGTAACGATGATGACGTTGTGTTGCGCACAAATAGGCTGAACTCTCGCTGTTCATTTGAATGAACGCCTCGCCCGATGGTTGACCCTGAATTATCAATTAAAATTAAATATCTGAATGGAAAAAATTAGAATTTAAATTTTATTACCTGTGCATTATAAACCATGTGAACTCCTTGATAGACGATATTTTTCGAGTGTTCGCCCATAAACTCGAGAATGTGCTCAACTAGGGCTTCGTAGGGAAGACCACGTAGACGAACACAATCTTTACGTGTTCCTGAGGTAATAATGTGCTGCGGAAGAAGTGGATTGAACTTTGGCAATGGCAGTACAGGTGGCATCATTCTGTCATACGCCTTGATGTCACTAACTCGATTTAACACCTGAAATTGAAAACATTTTTGTAAAAAAAAAGTAATTAATGTAAATTTCTTTTTAATAGAAAATAATTAACCTGTTGCACTTCGGCAGTTGTACTTCTAAATAATTCAATGTATCGACTTCCGATACAATCTCTGTGTTTTCCAAGGGCCTTTGCCGCGTCTTCTTCTTTTGCAAAGAGAACAAACGCATCGCCAGTCGCTCGTCCATCTGCCTTCTTCACGAATAAAACACCTTCCTCGCCATCCAACACTTGGCACGGCTTTTGTCCGGACGCAAAAAAGTCCAACTAAATCAGAAAAAGAATAATTAAATACAGATTTTCACTGTATTTATGAATAATTATTATTAATTAATTAATTATAATTACCACTTGTTTTGCTATACAGTCATAGGGAAGACCTCTCATTCTGACGATGACTTGAGCTCCTCGTGAAAGAAAAGCATGAGCCTCTCCACTCGTTCCACCGGCAACTCCAACAAAATCATCTCCAGACGCTTTATAAACTTCAATATAACGCGGTCCAATATGATGCTTATGCCTTTTTAGCGCCATGTCTCTATGTTCTTTACTTATAAATCGTACTAAAGCTTCTCCGTTTCTCCTTCCCTGTGCACTTAAACACAAGGCAACACCACCCCTAAAAAAAAAAAAATTCCAATTAAAATCGAAAAAATACTCTCAGAAATTTTATAATTAAAATTTCCTCTTTTATATAATTAAAAATAGAAACTAAAAAATTGTCAATTTTCAAAAAATTATATTTCGGCAGTGCATTCAAAATAAAAAAAAAAAATAATAAATCGATTGTGCAAGAATTGTACTTTTTTTCGGATAATAAAGTAATAAGTCAAAAATTTAGAATCACAAATCGTATACTTAATTGTGCCAGACTGAAGAATGATCCTTGACCTGTGATAAAAGTTATCGCAAGACCAGGATGCTAGTGTTAGTTATTTAAGTTTTTTTTTTGAAAATCTTTCTTGCCAACTCTTTTTCAAAGACATATTCTCTAAACATTAAATTATATTTTCTAAAATAAATCTCATCAACAATTTCTACGACAATCGATATTCTCATAAACAGAATTAATGTATTATTAAAGAAAATTATATTAAATATTTCATATTAAAATTAAAAAAAAAAAAAATGATAAACACATTTTAAAAAGATGCCTACTTTTACCATTGATCCCAGAAGCTTGCGTAAAAATATAAATTCATTAGTATTTATTTAAAAAAAAAAAATTTCTTTTTCTTTTGTTTTAATTTAATTTTATATTGATTTATTTTTGTTATATTTATTAATAATTAATTTTCTAAATTTCGTTATATATATATAAATTTAAACATACTTGACAATATTCAGTCCTCTGAAGAATTTTGCAATGTCCTGATCAGACAATTGCCAAGGAAGTCCACGCGCTCTAACAACGCAATTGCTGTCTACCTCTTCGTCTTTTGAGCTAAAAATAAAATTAATTATATTTTATAATTTGTCACTATCGTTTAAAATGTATAAACTATTTAAATATAAAAAACTTGATGCAAATTTTGAATTTTTGAAATTAAATTTTTAAAAATAATTTTATAAAATAAAAATTAACTGTTTATTAAGTGATGCTCCAATTAAACGACAGTATTTGTAATCTAAAATGCTATATAAATAGAAGATATGAAAAACGAGAATTTGCAAATGATATTAAAATTAAGCAAATAAAAATATGTTTGACAAAATTTTAGGAGACGAGGTTTTAAAAAGTGACCTATTTTTTGTTAAATAAAGAGCATTGTCTGATAAAAAAAAAAAGAAAAAAAAGTAATGACACTACAATCTTATCTACGTGTAATTTAATTTAAATTACCATAAATTTAAAAATAATAATAAAAATTTGAATAATAATATTATTATTTATATTGAATTTGTTCTTACCATATTCCAGGTTCCAAAACTAGATTAACCACCTCCGGATTTTGAAAAACATGACCTATAACACAAAGAAAAGTATTTTTAATTCTCATTGTTATTTAAAAATTTGTTTTTTTTTTATCTATTTTTATCGCACACATAAAGATTTATTTTTGAAATAAAATTCTTTTTCTATCTTTATGTGCCTTTAATTTTATTATTTTTCTCTAACAATAATTTTGTCATAAATATTTTTTTAACTGCAAAAAAACGGAATTTTTTAAAAAACTAACAATATCATAACATAACCTGAAAACATCTCCCGGTAAAATATATATACTAATTAAACTGTAGTCTCTTAAAAAAAAAAAAAAAAAAAAAATACTTCTTGTTATATTTCTGTTGCCACTTGTTGCTTCTTGTTTTGAATTTTCTTCCAATCACCGCACACTTATAAATCACGGCGGGAAATAATTAATAAATTTAAAATCCTATAAATTTTTTTCCTTTTATTTTTTCTATAAAATATTTTTCTTTTTCAAAAAGTTATAAAACTGATAATAAAAAATTAATTTTAATTTCTTTTGAGAATTCAGAAAAAATTGAATATTTTTAAATAATTAAAGTAATTAATTTTTTTTTAATTTTGAAATAAAAAATAGATTTTCTCTAAATGAACAATAAAGAATGTAAAATAGAGAAAAAAAAAATTTTTCGTAATTTTAAACCTTCATCCTGTTTTCTTTCTTATAAGTGCCTTTTATTATTTTCATTCTCTAAATGTAAGGCGCTCTTTAGCTGCGACACAAAACGAAACCCAAGCAAAATGCCTTCGATTTACGAACTCAGCGAAATCGCGCTCCTGAGAAATTAACATTTCGCAATTATTTATGTTGCAATATTCGCTCGATTTCTTCAAATCGATATTCAACTTTGATTTCCGATATCGATCGTCAAAATGATTTATTATACTAAATTCGTCTAATTTTTCACCAACAATATAAAGTACACTGGAAAAAAAATTTATTTCATTTAAATAATCAATTAATCTGAATATTATAAAATAAATATTTTATGAAATTATTTTTTACTTGGAACAAATAATTTTTTATTGAATTGTATTCGAGTCAATAATTTTTTTTTTTTTTTATTGAAAATAAATATATCTTTTAATTGACTCGAATAATAATTATTGGATACAAATATTTATTTGTTAGTCAAATTTTTATTTATAGTCGATTATTTGAATCAAATAAATTTTTTTCATAAAAAAAAAAAATTATTCTAATTAAAAATATTTAAAAATTTAGATGCAGCGCGTTTCTGTGTGTAAATCTTTAAAAATGAAAAATTTTATGAATAAAAAAAAACATTCTGTAAAGGGGTGTTTAAAAAAGAATAAAATTTTCAATTAGAGAAAACAAAAATTATTATAAACGGCCTCAGTTGAGAACCTCCATATGATAAGAAGTCAGGCTGCTTATAATATATAATATATATATATATATATATATATATATATATATATATATATATATATATATATAAAACTTGACCCACACTCGCAAACTAAAGTCTTTTATGGCTTATGTGATTAAGAAAATTTTGCACATTTTTCGAATAGTACTTATGTTAATAAAATAATCATTATATTTAACTCAATTTCAGGATTAAATTTAAAAATTAAAACTAATCTTCACTAGAATCTCAACAAAAAAATATTCTTCAATTGATAATAAATATTTGATATCTAAAATATTTTACAGAAATTATTTTTAAATTAAAATATTCTTAGCGTAAATATTCCTATTTAAAGTGTAAAATTTACTAAATTTAAAAATATATTCCAAAATAGATGTCCAGTGTATTTATTTTCATTAGAATATTTTATTTTTATAAAATTTAACTGATAAAATGAAAAAAAAAACCGTTTTTTTGTAATATTTCTAAAAAAAAAATATTGTCCTTACCATCTTTTATCATCCTTTGGATGATAGTAACCATGTCTTGGATTTCCTCGACGTGATAATCATTTTCACCATCATTTGGAAAACCAAAGTCTATTTTTTTTATATATAATGTTAAGGAAGAATAATATTTAATTTTTTTTTTCTTTTTTTTCCATATTACTGATAATGAAAAATAATATTAAGAAGCAAACAACTTGTTTATACTAATCACAAAAATATCCATCAGACAAAATATAAACATTTTTAGAATTTTTTTTGTCAAACTTATTTTGTATTACTGAGATTTATTTAATAAAAGTAATGAATATTTTTTGTTAAATAAATATTTTCCTTGCCTTTCTTTTTGCAAACCAGAATTTATCAGAATAACGTTACATAACATTAATGGAATATTTAATTACATGAAAATATATTGTATAATAGATTCAAAAATGACTTTTGAAATTATATTTCAAAAAAAAATTCTTTGTGCCTTAGTTTCTAAATATGAATAAGTAAATTTTTTAAAAAAATTTTAATTATTAGTAAAATTTTAATAATTAAGAATTTATTATAGACATTATTAATTTCTCATAATTTTAAGAATAAAAAATAATTTTATTAAAAATGTTCACTTATTGATAAAGAAGGTTTTTTTTAAAAAATATATGATAAAATGATATTAAAAAAGATTGAGAAAATCAAGAAAATTATGAACAATAAAAGTTACAAGCTATCATTTATTCATGTCAATTTTATCACGCGGAAGATAGTCAATGGTCACTAGTTGAGAGTTGAGATGTCGTTAAAAAAAAGTTTTGTTTATTTTTCTTTTCATTGTGATAAGAGATTTGTTTACATTATGAACATTAAAATGACGGATTTTATGTTTACGTAATAAACCCTACATTTAGCGCATAAAACATCCGCAAAAAAAAGATGCAAATAAAAAAAATTTTTGTTTAATTCTAGATTTCTCATTGATATGAATTTTTTTCTTTTTTCTTCCTAAAAACATTTCCAATAAAAATTCGAAATTTAATTTAAATATAGAAATTAAACAAATAATGTAATAAAAATTAATTAAATAAAAATCACTAGTAATTACCTAATAAATAATAATTAATAATTAATTTTTAATTATCATTAATTATTTATTATTGTTTAATTATTATTAATTACTTATTATTATTAATAATACAGTTGTAAATAAATTGTATTTTAATTAAATAAACGATATTAATTAAGAACTTTCGTTAATTGGCGGATGATAAGAAGTCCACAAAGTACATGAAATTAAAAATGTCATCATTTTGTTTATGTACAATTTACAAGAGCAATAATAATTAAAAATTTCATCATTTAGGGAAAAAAAAATTAATTATTGATATGTATTTCAATATTATTAATTATTCCAATTATACAATTTCATCTTGAATAGAAAACCAAATGAAAACCAAATTCAGTAAAAATACAAAATTTTTAATAAAAATTCGAAAAATACATAAAAAAAAAACCTAAACATAATAAGAGAGAAAATTAAATCCGAATAATTTCAAAATTCCCTCACGAAAAATAAAAGAAAAGAAACAAATTTTTGGATTCAAAAAATTATCAAGACAATATAGTATATATGGGGAGAGAAAATAAAAAATTTTCATTATTCTCAATAATGAAAATGACGTGGCTATATTTAGAAATAGAAAAAGAGTGAGAGAGAGAAGCCTACCAAGAATGATGCGAAATTTGAGATGTTGAGCAGATGTTGAGGGACTTTGTCATCCGGAAGTGAAAAATGTTTCCAAGGCGAAGGACGCGAGAGAACTAAAAACATCAAGAAGATGCTGGACCGAATCGACGACGACAAAAAAAAGAAAACAAAAAAAAAATATAATAATAATAAAAAAAAAATAAAAAAGCCCAGAAAAAAGTGAGTTCAAGTCAAACGGATCAAATGAACACTGATCTACTGCATAAAACGATCGATTAAGAACCAAAGAAACTGTTCCGTTACCAATATCTTCACGGTGGTGACCTTTAAACTAAATGGAAGCTGATAAGGTCGACCAATCTAACTTCTTTCACTAAAGAAACGGCCAATGCAATGTCGAAAGACTCAACAACTTTTCCGTTATATATAATGAATAATTTCGAATTTATAATTTTCTCTCATATTGCAAAAAAAAGATTTTATCTCAAATCTAAAATTAAAAAAATTTAATTAAAATTACGTGATTAAAAAGAAAAAATTTCAACCAAATTTTATAAAGTTTAGACAGAATTTACATAATAAAAGAAAATCTACTAAAAGTAAATAAAATAGAAAAATTAATTAAAAAAAAATAAAAATAAAATGTAAATTTAAATATAAATAATAAAATTTTATTTCAATTAATTGTGTTTCTCGCAGGATCATTTTTTTTATCACTAAAAGATTTGTATGTTACGAAGGTAATGGAGTATATCAATCGATATCACCTGCAACAGGTGGTTTTGTTTTATTAATTCTACAGGTATGACTAAAGTATGAATGTCTCAACACTCTACTGCTATATAATATACAATTACTGACTTTGATTTCCCTCTCAATTATTCCAAAATTATTTTATTCAAATATTTTTAGAAAAAAAATTTTTTTTATAAAATTTAATTTTATAAAATTTAAATTTATAAATAAAAAATATATTAAATTATCAAAACTGAATTTCTAATATTATTAATAATATTCAATAATATTTAATTTACTTTTTATATTTTTTATTTCAATAATATTGAATTTTACTTTTTAATAACAAAAATTAACTTTTATCTATTTTTATAAAAGTTTATCAATTTTTTTTTTTTTTTTTTTGTTATTAACGGAAATAATTGATCGTATCATTAAATCTTGTATAATAAAAATAAAAGGGGAAAAAAAACTGTTATATGAATGATTCGAAAAACTTGTTTTAAAACGTGAACTTTGTAACACTTTGTCGAGACACTATAAAATTTTCTTATTTACACAAACTGTATTATTCCACGATTAACAATTTTTATAAAACTAATTTAACTAAATTAAACAAAATTATGAGAAAGCAACACAACATTCCAATCATCATTCCAATAATAATTATTTAAATTACAATTCGAATAATACTTTTTTTTTTTAAATAAAACTTAAAATTTTAATATTTACCTTTTTTTTCATAAAAATGTATTGTAGTGATTTCTTTCCTATCTCAATAATGAAATTCTTTAAAACTGAATCATATAATTGTTCACAATTTTCTTTTTTTTTTAACTTCACATGAAAAACAGAAAATTTAAAAAATTTTAAACTATCGCAAATATAACAATAACGTAAGCTTTACAATTTTTCTTTGTTTGAAATACTCTTTTTTTCTATTTTTTAATTACAGTAGAGAACGTGTCAAAGTATAGCGTCTGTTAAAGATTTTTTTTTTCATACACGTGTGCCAAGTGTTCACGTTAGTATGGTTAAAAGACGACTGCCAAGAAGTAAAGCTTAACATTTTTATGAGGCGCGCAAAGCTGTTTTTTTTTTTCAATCGACCAATCAGAAAAAAATAGATTTATTCTTTAAATTTTTTTTTTAAGCGTGGAATTAAAGATTTTTTTAAATAAAAAAAATTCAATTAATATAAAACATATTAATTAATTGCGAAATTAAAAATTCAATTATATAATTATTCATAATATCCCCGTATTATTACATATAAATAAATAAATATCAATTAAATTCAAAAAAAAATTATTTTAATTTAAGAAAAGAAACGATAACAGAATATTTGAATCAAATTTTTTTCAGTTAGAGAATTTAATTTTTTTCCGAAATTGATAACAAATTGATTGAATTGAAAAAAGAAAAGTAAATTTTAACATTATTTGTAAATTTTAAAAGTCTTTTTAACTATTTTTTTCAAACATAAATTAAGTTAAACTTAATATTTTCCAAAAAAAAAGTCTTCAATTTTATATTTAAAAAAATATAACACAAAAATATGTATTTTTCACAAACAATAAATATTTCCAATTAATTTCAATTTTTATTAAAAATTAAAATATTAATTTCACAACTATAATTAATGTCAATGAATCAAACAAAGTTTATTACACACGACTGAAATTATTTTGTTGAATTGACAAATTGCTTCTCATTTTTCCCCTGAATTGCAAAAAATAATCACGTACAGTGTTTTCAGTGAAAAAAAAAATAAATAATAATTTATAAATATTATTAAATATTATTCATTTTAATAAATATTCAAATTAAATTATTTTTATTAAATTCATTTAATTTTCAAGTTTAAAAAAAAGAAATTACTCCAAATAAAATAGATATTAATTAAAATAATTTAAATTATTTCAATAATTGTTAATATTGTTTAAAAACAGACACTTAACAAGAAATTTTTTTTGAAAACTTGAATCGAATCAAAAGCCGTTATTCTCGAGGGAATAATATATAAGTACGAGAAGGGACTTGGAAACTCGAGATCGAACTACAAACAGTGGATCTCAAAATTTTCTTATAAAATATATCAAAAAAAAAAAAAATTTATACAATTTAATTTAGTATTATTTTTAAATTAATTCTAATTATTCTCATCATTATGTGTTTCTCATTAAATTTTGTTTAAATAGTTAAATGTAAATAATTAAAATTAAAATATATTTCAAAATAAAATATAATTTTAATTAAAATATAGATACTTTAAATTTAAATATACTTTTAATTTAATTGCAAATTTTTCATTAAAAAATCTAATGATATGAATTTAAAAAAAAAACAAATTATTAAGAAAAATACTGTATCGTTTTAATTAATAAAATAAACCAGAAAATAGAAATAAAACTAATTTTAGACAAATTGACAACTATTTTTACAATCGAAAAATTATTTATACTTCAAGAGACTTTATAATGATTGAGGTTCGTTAATACGAGTGTATAATCCATATTTTTTAAAAGATAAAATTTATATCTTATCAATATAGATAAACTTTTCAGTAGCATTATATTATTTAATATACCCATAAACATAATCGAAACTCCTTAACTTTATAGAAATAGCCGTCCGATTAATAAAAACAAAAGTAATTTTTTTTTATCATTTAAATGAAAATTCGATTTAAAAAAATAGATATTTTTCACAATTTGAATAAATAAATTTACACCTTTGTAATAATCTAATCAACATGAGAATCACTGACATCATTGACCTGTGTGTGTCTCATAACTTGAGACTATACATGTATATATATGTATAGAAAATATTTACACACATATATATTAATATACTGAATATCAAACCACAAAGGATAGGCGAGGTCGCGAAACTGAAAAAAGTAATTTACTGTGATAACTACTTCTCGGTTCATTTTGCCCTTTTTCAAAGACCAAAGCAATTTGTCATGGGCAAATGAATTTAATCAATTTTTTAATTATAAATTCCCTCTTTTCTATTTATAAAATTTTTTTCCAATTTTTAAATATTCAAAAAACAAAAGTTGAGTTATGTCCAGTTTTTGGCTTATTTATTATTTAAAACGATAAAAGTACTTTCTGTTAACTTTAAATTTATTCTATTTTGAATTTTAATTAGATTTTTCCTTATTTTTCAAATTTCGGAACATTTTTTTAAATACTTAATAATAATTGCATCACCAGTGACCATTGACTATTGTACAAAGTACTTACCAAATTTTTTCCCAAAAAAATAAAGCTAAAAAAAAAATGAATATTTTTAGAAAAGGATACATTGAATCATGTCCTGAATGCTGAGGGGTGAAAGTTCATCCTGCGAGGAATAACAGGCTGTGAATTCTTTTCTGAGGTCATGAAAGTGGGAATAATGACTTGGCAGCTCGATTTCTTTATTACAGGCTTCAGGGTGCAAACATTGTCTTAAGGGTGCTTGTCCATCGACAATGAAACGAGGCGTACTTCCGGCAGCCACACATGTCAACGATGACCACCACGTTTCAAACTGAAAATAAAAAAAAAACAATTATTAACATTATAAATAAAAAAAAATTATTACAAAGTCATAAAAAAAAATTGCTAAATAAAAGAAAAATAAAATACAAATAGTTTCTGATTTTATAGAACAAAAGAAACATTTTTTACGATTTTTTTTTTCTATAATACCCTAAAAAAAAAGATAATATAAAAAATAAAAGGAAAAACCAATTTATTTTTTGTTCCATCATTTTACGAATTGATTTTTAGGAAGTGACTTGTTAAATTCTTGGTCCTTTTGAAAAATAAATCTTTAAAACCATGTTCCCATGTAACTTAAAAGGTACTTCAGGAATTTTTTTTTTTTTTAAAAGGGACTATATACCTTTGGTTATATACAGTTATATAAAATTTAAAAGGAACTACCTGGAAAAAAAAATTCCTGACACTCTGACCCAAACCCATTTGAAAAGGCAATTTTCTTTAAATTGCCTGGAACAGGTTGTTTTTTAAATTTACATTTCGAACCGTAGACAATTTTTTTCCATTTCAATATTTATTACATTATATTTCATAAAATTGTTAATTTTTTTTTTGTAAAAAAAAATAATTTTATTATATACGAAATGTTGGGCTTAATGTTTTGTGTGATAGTAAATAAATATAAAAACGATATATATGTATGATTAAATGATTACGTGGCGTACAAAAGCACAAGGATAATGCCCCTATTACACGTGCAACTTTTGACAACGGTGTCGATGCACCTTGCTACCCGCATCAAGTGAAAGGCGCAATTTATACAAGCGCTAATTATTTCAGAATAGGTAGCGATATATAATATAAATTTTTTTATTTTCCATTTCGACCGGATCATGAAAGCAGGTCGATATTTAAAATCCTTCATTTGCTTCTAATTTAACAAATATACGAGAGACAAAACTTACCGTTTTTTTCTAACAAGTATAAAAATTAACTTTTTCGTCTCTTTCTTCTTTATTTTATCGTCAATTTCTAATTATACAAAAATATAAATTGATGTCATATCTGTCAAATTATTAGAATTTTAGGTTAGGTTATATTAAGCTGAATTTTCAAATGGTTCGATAAACAATCGATATTTAAAATTGACCAATCACGATTTTCCTGATTTTTAATTGATACATTTTAAAAATCGCGCCGAAATCGGATAATTGAAATTCAGACCAATGAAAAGGCGCCTTAATAATTCTATCAACAATTCATACAAATTCTGTCAAAAATTAGCTAGTTAAAAATTCAATTAAAAACAAATTATGTAAAATTAATTATTTTGAAAAAAAAAATTGAAGATATAATTTGAGGAAAAAGTAAATCTAATTTCAAATAATTAAATTTATTACATATAAAGGATATTGATGTTTATTTGTGTTTGGGATAATAACGGAATTAAGAAGCTTTCCCGGTGAGAGTAAAGAGAATTTTCGCGAAAGCGGTGCGCTGTACTGATTGGACAATGACCTTAAGGTGAGATCGCAGGTGCACGACGACTATTGAAACCCGGATGTAAGCCTTTCGAACCTGACGATGCGAGAAAGAGTTGCTGATGATGATTAACGTCGCGCACAACCTAGCAAATTTTATCCAATAAGTCATTTGGCTAAATCATCATTCTTAATATAACAGGATATACTCTCCAACTGTATTTTTTTTTTTTTTTTTGGGCTTCGTTTTATTAAATACAACAATCTCTGAAGAAAGAGCTCCAAACAATTATAGGTTATGTTTTGAAGTAAAACAAAAATCAACTTTCAAAACAGAGGTAATATAACCTCAAATTGTCTATTGTTGTAAAAAAAAAAAGAGAAAAATAAGTCTCACCTGTTGAATGGCTTGATGTAAAGGAATTCCGCGCTCTCGAAGTGTCTGTTCCGTAAGTGTTGGAGCATGTGCCAATGCAGCTTCACTAACAACACCACTACTTCCGGCAACAACCGGATTTTCACTTCCCGAACCATTTGTCGTTGTTTCGTCCATTACCATAGGTCGCACAATGTATTGTTGTCTATCCATCACCTGAAACAGATCATGTGTGAATAACAAAAACAAATCTTTTTTTTTCAAAACAAACATTTCCTGCGCCATCTACTGGCGGAGTTTCTAGTTTTTTATATAAACAGCTGATTTATTGATATATTTGTCCTGTAGATGTCCTACAATATTTTTTTGATTACAAATGTTTACAAAATATCAAGGATTGGGATTATTTGCTATTTAGTGTGTGACATTTAAAAAAAATATTTTAAAAGAATGTGATGTGCAAAATAGTGCAAAATTTGTTGCGGTAAAAATACGATAAGAGAAACTGTAACCGGTTTTTAGTATCGTACATACCAAAGCTTAAGGAATAAATAATGAGGCGATAAGAAACGTAACGTTGAGAGAAAGGTTGACTTTAAGATAGGAAGTGAGAACCCCTGAAGCAGGTTACTCCTGTAATTATACATCCCGCGACTGACTTCTAGCGTGCTTTTCGAGATGCATATTCATAGGCGCAATTTACCAAAAAAAAAAAACAATAAAATTTAGATAAAATTTTTTTATCTAAATTCCTCAAATACGGTATTTTTGAACTAACCTAAAACCCTTTAATTTTCGAATTAAATACCCAGAGGATTTAAAATATTTTTCATTCGAAAAATATTTGCTCTACCTTTCTATATTCAGTGATTTAAAGAAATTAATATAAGAAAATGAGAAACTGAACATTAATTCTCTTTAAGGAATATTACATAGTAGCCTACAGGAAACGATATATATATAGGAATAAAAATGTAATTTGCTCCACAACTGTGTTTTACCTACTGAAGCATGTAAGGAATGCCGTTTTACAGGCGCAGGCGTTCTTCTCAATGGATCAGAAAACCAGAGGTTTTATATTTATTATACACATGAAAGATTCTACTATATATATATTATAGTTCGCATTACACAAATTTTAATTATTAAATACATTAATGAAACAATAATGTAAAAATCCATAATATTCGAAATGTGATTGTAAAATTGTTATGTAATATTTTATACGCTTAGTGAATATTATACAACTTTAACTTAGGCGAAGATAAGGTACAAGAGATAACAAATTTTTATATATACAATGAGAGGAGTTTCAATTTAAGAAAAAATGAAACGTTTTTTATGAAGATGAAAATATTTTTTTTTCATCATATAGACAAATTTTCTATATTTATTAATAATTTATTTGAGACAAATAAAAAATATATTTGTCTCAAAGATTAATAACTTTTTAATTGGTTTCAAATAAATAATTCAATTCAATTAAATAAAAATTTATTTGAATCAAAGAAAAATTATTAGGCTCTGAGACAAATATATATACAATTTTTCTGGGTGTAAAAAATATATTTTCTCATAAAAACAAAATGATTACACTCAGAGAAATGGTATATTTGTCTCCGAGCCTACTAACTCATTTATTTATTGCAAATATATTTTATTTCATTTAAATAAAAAATTAATTGGATCGAAAGAAAAATTTATTTATGACAAATAAAATTTTTATTTACGCCAAATAAATAAGTTAGTAGGTTCTGAGACAAATATTTGTTTATTTAATTCAAATATATTTTATTTGATTCAAATAAATCATATTTCTCTGGATGTAGTCAAAAAATTGGTGAGAATTATATATACTAAAAAAAATTCTAATACGTTTTGTCGAAAAAATTACAATTTCAATTATATAAACTGTTATCTCTCACGAAAATCAGAAAGCACAAGTGTAATGCTATTAAAATTTTAAATAATTTAATGTGATTATAATCACACCCTTCCGAAGGGAAACTCTCACGATTTGGAATTTGGGGGAGCTTATATATCAAGAGGATTAGTATCTATAGAAGAATCGAATAAATTATCAAGTTTATAATTTCTCAGGATTAAAACTCTTTTAAATGCCGACAATTTGAGGAATCTTTAATAATTTTTTTTTTTTGTGAACATCGTCATTAATCTGCTTTTGCGTATATGTGTATATATATAATGGAATGGACGTTAAACCATGAATCAGAGTCAAAGGGAAATCCTCATTGATGGGGAAATCGATGAAGCACCTTTCACCATTTTCCCCTTCTTATATTCATCGTATATATACATTTGAATTTACGTTCTCTTGCAGACAAACAACATATATCCAAGACCCTGTGGATGACCTGCATTGTATTCACGGATATATATTTTAAATATATGCATCCTCGGTATATATATATATATATAAGGAAGCTGTACCATCACTTTGAAAGCACTAACCTGATTCTTATTTATTGCCATACATAGTTTGCATATTTCAAGATCAACTAAATAAATATATATAAATAATATAAAGAAATAACTATTAAAGCAACTTTTCCCCCTTTTTTTCAATTTAAAAATGATAATTAATAAACAAATAAATAATTAATAAAATATATCTATGAAAGAATAGTATAAAATTTCACTAATATACACCCAGAGAAATGATTTATTTGAACCAAATAAAATATATTTGAGTTAAATAAACGTATATTTGTCTCAGAGCCTACTAACTTATTTATTTGGCGTAAATAAAAATTTTATTTGTGAGAAATAAATTTTTCATTGGCTCAAATAAATTTTTTATTTCAATGAAATAAAATATATTTACAACAAATAAATGAGTTAGTAGGCTCTGAGACAAATATACGTTTATTTAACTCAAATATATTTTATTTGGTTCAAATAAATATAATTAATAGAAGTTTCACTAAAATTTTAGTTGTATTTTTACATAACCTAAAAATGAATTTAAAAAAATTTATTACACCCAGAGAAATGTTTTATTTGAACCAAATATATTTATATATATATATTTGGTTCTTATATAATATTTAAGTTGAATAATCGTATATATATATATATATATTTGTCTCCGAGTTTAATAATTTTTTTATATTTGGCATAAATAAAAATTTTATTTGTTTTTAAATAAATTTTTTTATTTGAATGAAATTAGTTATTTTTTTGGATAAAGTATACCGAATAAGGCCGAATAAGTACCGAATATTATTATAATAATAATACAAAAAAATTTTTAATAAATAATATATATATTTGAAAAAAATACTTTTTGGGTCAAACTAAAATAATAGTTAGTCCATTCAACAAATAAATATAAAATAAATTATAAAATTATCATCAGTTTAGAAATTTTATTCAGCTTTTATCGAAAAAAAATAAAATAAAAACAAAAACTCGACAAAAACTAAAGTACTTTTATGATAATATATAAATGCCAAAAATTTTGTTTCAAAAGTGCGAATTAATATATCCCTCCTATATATATAAATTTATGTTAATCGATTACATTACGATAGTATTATCAATTTTTTTTTTTTTACTATTGAATTGCAAATTTCGAGTTATTTACATTTATGTTAAAAGGTCAAGAAATTGCATAAAAAATTAAAGAGACTTGACAAAATAATGTTTAAATTTTTAGAATATATTCGCGCGCATTTAAATAATTATTTTTAAACCCGCAGATAAATGTTTTATTTGAACCAAATATATAATATATTTGAGTTAAATTTGTCTCAGAGCCTATATATTAGCCCATTTATTTGATTTGGCAAAAATAAATTTTTTATTTCAATCAAATAAAAATTTATTTCAATTAAATAAAAATTTATTTCAATTCAATAAAAATTTATTTCAATGCAATAAAAATTTATTTCAATTCAATAAAAATTTATTTAAATGAAATAAAAATGTATTTGAATCAAATAAATATTTATTTGGCTCTGAGACAAATATATATAATTTCTTTGCGGGTGTCTTTTATGCTAAAAATCAGTAAGGATATTATTTCTTATAATTTCTAATAGTAAAGAAGCTTAAATTGAGGAAAACATTTTTTTAGGTATATAACTTTTGAAGATGAACGAAACTTATATTATATATATATATACAAATTTTCTTTTAATCTTCATGCGACACTATAAGTATATAAGAAATATGAAATGTAATAGACAGGTTCTGACAAACTGAGGTTAACAGATCAAGGCAGTTTGGTATAAATGTATATAAGCATCAGTGTGTGTCGTCGTTTCATTAATATTAATGCCGGACAAAATTCAGCGTCATCGTCTATATGCATATAATATCGCGATATCCTTTTTGCAATTGTTTTGTATTTCATTCATCATTTTTTAAAAATTGAGTTGACAGGAAATTTTTTTTTTCCATAGCGGACTAAGAGATTTTTTCTTCTTTGATTTATATATATAAATTTTTTATTTATTAATTTAAATAAATTCTTATTTGATTTAAATAAATATTTATTTGATTTAAATAAATTTTTATTTAATTTAAATAAATATAGGCTATAGTAAGCTGTGAGACAAATATATATATATATACGTTTTATTTAACTCAAATATATATTATATTTGATTCAAATAAAACATTTCTCTGAGTGTAAATTTTACTATATTTTGATAGAAAAAAAATTTTTTTTCCACTATTAATTAATTAAATTCAAAAACAAAAAAAAACGAACTGTACGTTTTCTTATAAATTGCAAATTTGCTTCGAGAGCGACAAAAAGAGCAAAGGTGAGGTCATGGTCACTGCTTCTATTTTGTATATATATATATATATATATATATATATATATATATATATATATATATATATATATATATATCATCATTTATCTCAGAATTATATCCGCAAATATATAATTTTTTTTTCTACTCTTTAAATTAAAATTCGTTAATTATTTTAAATTAGTGAAAAATTGCTCCCAATTTTTTGTAGTCATTTTTCACTAAAACTTTACAAAAAAAAAAAATTAGTCAAAAATTTTACAATTTTCTTAATGTGAATTATAGTTAAAAATAACTATAATTGTTAGTAAAAATTAGTAAAAACTAATTTTTTTAATAGAAAAATAACTAAAATTGAATTTTACTAATAATTAGTTATTTTTAACTAACTAGAATAAATATTATAATATTTGAATCAGTGAATGACTG